ATTAGTCAATAGAATTGTAAATTTAGTCAATGGAATTGTAAAGTTAGTCAATAGAATTATACTATTGGATTGGATTGTAAAGTTTGCTATAGTATTAGAATTGTAAAGATAGATCACTAGAAATGTTAATTTTTTCAACAGAATTGTATGTAAAGATTGTAAAATAAGGCACTAGAATTGTACAGGTTGTCCCTAGAACTGTATAGTTAGGCACCAGATTTGTTAAGTATGCCGTTAAAATTGTAAAGATGGTCTCTTTATTTGGAAAGTTTGTGACTAGAAATGTAACTTTTTATTACTAGAATTGTAAAGTTGGGCCCCAGAATAGTAAAGTTAGTTGATAAAATCGAAAATTTATACGTTAATTTCTCCTATCCTATGTTAACTTCTTAGAAATGTAATTCAGGCATTTATCAACATTTTCTTATTTTATTTTATACATTTAGTTAGTGATTTTTTACATCTGATACTCAATTATTAAGTTACATAAATGTAAAGCACCTAAGAATTGAAAATTATACTTACACATAATAACTCCACCAATGAATAATGTCACTGTTACACGTATGAACACGAAAATTCTCTAAAATTGGTAAAATTAACCAATATCAAAAGAACTGTACATGTAGCAAATGGCAAAAGGCAAATTTGCAAAAAAAAAAATGTTTAAAAAAGGCAAATTTGCAACAACAAAAAAGTTAAAAAAAACATAAATGCAAGATTGTATTTATATATGGTTCAAATTATTTATTACATTAAATGAAATGATGATAAAAACAACGATTGGTTTCATAAATCAGATAACAAAACGGAGGCAAAAATAAAGACCCTTAAAAACACGGAGACGGGATCAGGTACTTTGTACGAGTAAACATCCCCCGAAGTAAGCCCTTTGTAATACTTAGGTGAACAGAGTAAACAATAGTCAAAATTAATGTGAAATCAATGTCCTATAACAATTGATATGAAATATTAAGTCAAATACCAACCAAAAGATAGGATGCGTTGGCATTTTTCTATCGAGCATAGAAATTGAAACACTCTGACTGACTTTAGAAGAAATTGTTGGAAACGCTGTTACATCAAATTGTTTTTCATTAGCCCGATTTATTTCAAATCTCGATAGTACCCATAAACTGCTCTTACATACAGAACCAATTGTGACACATAAACATCATTTGCAGGTGACATCATTATCAGACTTTGAATAAGGGAAATTGACACTGATAAAATGACCGATGGATCCAAAAGAAGGTTACAACAAAATTTCTCTTTTCTTAAAATTCTGTCTTGTTAAAGTTTTTGAATAATTCCCGCTTTATAAGGTTATTAAAACTATTAGAGTAGCACACTTAGCGCCGATCAAAATTCCAAAAAATTGTTAGAAGACTTTTTCTTCAAAGAATATATAAAAAGTGGCAGTCAATAAACATACGCATCTTTTTGTCCCCCGCTTGAAAAGTGGGGGATATTAATTTGGGTTTGTCCGTCCGTCCGTCCGTCTTTCTGTCTGTCTGTAACGCTTTCGTTTCCACATGATATCTCGAGAACCCTTTGAGCTTTTGCAATGAAATTTAGCATAGCAACTCCCTATGGACTAAAGAAGACCCCTATTGATTTTGAGGTCAAAAGGTCAAAGGTCAAGGTTATAAATAAGCAAATTCTGTCTGTTAAAACACTTTCGTTTCCACACGATATCTCCAGAACCATTTGAGCTATTGCAATGAAATTTTATATAACAACTCCCTGTGGCCTAATGAAGACCCCTATTGATTTCGAGGTCAAAAGGTCAAAGTTCAAGGTCGTAAATTTATACATTCTGTCTGTGTGTAATACTATCATTTCCGGGCGATATTTCAGGAAGATTTTGAGCTTATGCAATGTAATTTTATACCAAAACTCCCTAGGACGTCTCTCGCCCCTCTCAAAGTGCCCCACCCCGTTTGTTTTATGTTCTTATTTCATTTATTTTATGTTCTTATTGTTCTTTATGTTCTTATTACATCTATTAGAACTGTTTAATAATGGCTAAATGAATCAAACACCATGGATTGTGTAAAATTTTGAGAATACCGAACATGAATATATACATGTATGTGACTTTAGTTCTGCATATACTTAACGCCGGCTAAAGCGATTCCGTGGTCTAGTGGTTATATCACTCGCTTCACATGCGAGAGGTCCCGGGATCGAATCTCGGTCGAACCTGTCTTTTTTTTCTTTTTTAAATACTTTTTTTTTTATTAAATGATAGTATTCAGCATGTGAAATGAAAAATTTATGAGGTTATAAAATCATCATTACAGTGTGATAAATATTCCATATAAAAAGAATTCTATACACATAATACAGAATAAGCAATCAAATATTTATATGCATATTGACATACATGTATTTTATTTGCTTCAGTATACATGTATACATTTAATAATTCTACAAATTCAGTCAGGGGGATCCGACTTTTTCCCTAAGCGGGGGACACGAATTCTCTGAATTAGCTTGTTAATATCAATGTATGTAGACTTGGTTTTTATTTACAATGTACGAACATTTCTTGGTTATAGAAAAGTCCTACCGAACTAGCTTAGAAATATTGACTGTCCACTGTGCATTTTAAAATTTCTAATTTTTCGCAGGAGTTAAGAAAGTGTTCTTAAAACTTTGCATCAATGTTGTTATTCCAGTGTAACTTCTTGGTTATGAGGAGGTTTAAAATAAATATGAATCGCAAACTTTCTTCAGTTTTTATTTGAAGAATGATTTGAATTTTAAATATATTACAGGTTATGCTGAAAAGTTTAGCTTACATTTTTAGAGTAGAAACGAAGACATTGGCTGTCAATTAAAATTAAGATATTTTTTTTTACCTCTTTGCCACGAATTCCAGGAAGGATGATGAAGAATGAAAAAGCTAATATCACAAAGGCGTAAATAAGTCCCGACTCCAGAATATCCGCCATAAAAGGCGTCTTGTCGGAGTCGTAATAGGTCGGGGCGCCATTGGACCGAAAGGCGTCAAAGATGCCAGGAGCAGACATTCGACAGCTAGCTATGTTCCCTTTAGTAAATAAAGAAGTGAAGTTGCTGAGGACGTACAGAACAGTTAAGTATTTACGGCATATATGAACTCGAGGGGTAATTTCTTCCAACCTTTTTCCACCTTCTTCCTTGTAATTTGTGCATTTGCTTTTGATGATGTTATACCTACAACTAAACAAAACTAAACTTAAAAGGTTAATGCATAACCAATGGATGACAGATCCGAAGCCCTAATTGATATCGAACACTTCTTTGTTGTTTTAAACCAATTAAAAATATCCTTTTACGAAAGTTAATTCTATGGGGGTTATTATTGCAATTCATTTTTGGTTACAACCCGTATCATAAATAACATCTTTTTGGTAAAAAGAAAAAAAAGGTTTATTTTGGCTGATAAAGGACTGTAAGGAGTATTCGCAGTCTGATTAAAAACAAACCCCTTCTTCTATTTTGTCAGTACGACGATAGGAGAAGGGGCTGGTTTTAATCGGACTGAATGGAAGAATATTTGCTAGGACGGTGTACTAGTACTTTCATAACGTGTAGTGCATGCATCTATAAATCATCGGGATTTCAAACCATCGTACATGAAGCCTCACAGAATATTTTCAAATTGCGAACTATTAATCTCTGATACATCAACTTATTTGTCAGTATTCTGAATGGGTTTAAATATGATTGTACTCAAAACATATGGAATAAGGCATATGATCAACAAATGCAGGTGATAGTGGTACATGATTACCGTTCAGTAATAAGAAGAATTGAAATGCAAGTTTGTCAGACAGAGGAGTTGTTACGTTTGCCATTATCGACTCTAGTCAACAAAACATTGAATATAAAACAAATGTGGTAGACTCTGTTGTGTCATTTGTTCCATGCTCATGGGGATATATCGAGTCGACATATATATATGTAGCTGTTGTTAATTGATAAAACGAAACGTAAATTTCATACATGTATATTTGTCTATAAGTGAAACTATAGGCTACAAAGTAAGAGTTTTCTTCTTATCGTGTAGAAGTTTTGAATAATCTCTGCTTTATAAAAAAAATATAAAACAGGTCGGATATTAATGGAGCTCAGTGGTGTTCATGGCAATGTCAACATATTGTTGGAAGATCTTGTTTCTAGATTAAATAGATATTGTCATCAAGGAACTCAAGCAACTTTTATAGTAACTTTAGAATATCGTATGTAGATGCATTATACATGTAATTTTTAAGAAAGTAGTTTTATAGATGACCATTTACGAGATATAAAAATTTTGTAGTTCCGATTTTTTTTTTAATTTGTAGAACCAGTTGGACATATCAAAAAGTCTCATCTTAATCTACAGTAATGCCGTTTATATATCATTGAAAATTCACAATTTGTATTTTACTTCATTTAGAAGAAAAAAATATGTTGTTTTTTTTTTTTAATTTTCCTTTTTAAAATTTATGGAGATTTAAATTTGATTTACACTTTTAAAAATATTTTGTATTACAGTACGCATGAAGCTTCTCCTTAGAAGTTTTTTTTTTGGGGGGGGGGGGTCATCAGAAAAGAATAGGACTTTGTGGAGCATTTTCTAGAACCTATCTCCTGCATTTGATTGACTGTATCCCTTCTTGTAAGTATAATTATGAAGGAAAGGAATACATTAACGGTAAAAAGACAGAAAGGTGATTTTAAAGAATTTCATCCTTTGATTGCCTTGAAGTTTGAATACGTCATTTTCTTTTAATAATTTTTTTTTTACGTGAAATAGTTCGGTTTTTCTTCTTACACTTGCTGATGAATTTCCTGTTGCAAAATAACTACTTAACCTTGATCTCTCTATTGCTATCCTCTGTTACACGAACTTTATAGAAAAAATGTCGAAACAAGGTTTTTTTTAATTTATTTTTTTTATTTGTTATTGTTTTTTTTTTTAATTCCTGTTTCGAAGCTCGAGAAAATTTTTAGTTTGCTGAAACTACATTAATACATGTATATATTAGATCCACACAAGAGTTGAGCTTTTGTAACGAATGTCGCCCTGTTCTGTTATCATTAAAACCATGATTAGAAGTCTAAGGGGTCATTTATTTCATTATCTAAAAAATATCAAAGAAGGGGTATCAACGGAGTGAAGGGCAGTGATACGTTGTAGGAGAAATCATAAAGGAAATGCCGTTATTTCTGCTATGTATTGTTTTGGATTCGTTCCTTGCAACGAAATGAACTAAATGTTTTATGTATTTTTATATTTGAACACATGATTTATCGAATTTTCTCACGTGTCATTTTGATATTTGCAAAAATGAGGTAATGACCTGCACCCCCTTTACATTTGAAAGATGATATATCAACAAAATTTATAAAAGTAAGGTTTATTTTATAAAGAAAACGGCAAGAAAAACTTATACAATACAAAGTATATAAAACATTTTTACAGTTGATATACATTAAGTAAAATAAAATAAAGTGAATACTCTTCATGCGTTTTGAATAATTCATATCTTTTTAATTTTTGGACAATATAAGAACGAAATTAATACTTTAAGATGAATACAGAGTCGAAAAAAAATTTCCATGAATTTCCATGAATTTCAACAAAATCTTGTGTGTATTTAAGACGACATCTTGTAGATCGTGATTTTTACATTTTTAATTTCTAAAACAAAATATACAAACAAATAGAAAAGTATATCAAAACGTGAAATACGGACTATCATAAACGATCAAAATGAATGAAAATATACATAAATGCAGTTACATGTAAAACATTATATATACTTTATCATTAACATGTGTCAAGTGAAACCAGTTCCTTACACAGGAAGACATTCTGTAAATTTTCATGGAGCTTAAAATTTTTAATGGCGGTATCCCATGTTGATATGGACTTGATCTGGATTTCTAAAAATAGAGAAAAATAATTAATTGGCAATAATATTTAACATCCTTTCAGTCGTTGGGTAGGTTTCATTTCGCAATTCGTTAACATTGTAAGTTCTATATACCAAATATATTAAAATAAATTCTCAAAGTGAAATTAACTTTTGCTTAAATAAACTCAAAATCTAGAGATAAGAATTCTTCAATAGATAATTAAAAAAAACGCTGAAGAATACATTGCACTTTGTCGGTTTTGACAATAGCATTTGATGTACAGAGTACTATAATATATGTGCATGTATATTTGATATATTATCGGAGTAAAAATATATACTGTGTATAGAATAAACATGCAGTACTATATTTACTATACTAGGTTTTGCCACTATAAATGCTAAACATGAAAATTTCATGCCTAGTACATTTAGCACTAATCTAACACAGGAATACTAGTACATAAATAGTGGACAGTAACAGGAAATCAGTAGGATATGATTGGTACGAGGCGTCCGGGAAAATTGAGGCATGCTGTGAAAACGAAAGGTACATGCACATGAAGAAGGAAACTTTTGGGGAAATGCAGGGATGAAGTAAAAAGAACATACGTTTAACTTGCATGACAAAATGGAATTATAATTATTTTTTTAAAAAAGCTGGCATTCATGATGCCAATTCATTAAGTAAAGAGGACACAAGTTCATGAAATAATTTATTAAAATACACCAAAATGTTATCCCTCCTTGATCGATATGTACATAGTTTGAAGAAAAAGACATTTATAATTGATAATTATATTTTTTCATGAACCCCAGTGAATTACAAGCAATTTGAATTTTTCAATAAAATTTACTAGTGTTGCCTTTTGTACAAAGGTTTACAGGACAAATTCGATTTGATAGTAAAGTCAAGACCGTTGGAACGGAGGGGGTGTTGGGTGCCCCCCCTCCTTAAAAACACGTGAAAATATGATGTTTGAAACAGATCAATTTAATTTTGTTTATTTTAACATATACTACAATATTTTGGTATGTTAAGAAACTTCTTCAAGATCGCACCAGAAGGCACGAAAACTGAACACAGGACACTGGTTATGAAAATTCTGGCTTTGAGAAAGGAAGAACCCTCTTAGACCCCCCTCCCCAGTGCCCCCTCTCCCAAAAACTTGTTGATGGCCATGAAAACACATTACTCACATAAATGATTTATTCATATTTAGTTACACGAATTTCAAGTACCTTTTAAAAAGAATATTCCTGTTTTATGGAAAAAAAATTCATCCAGTCAAGTAAAATCTTAACCTAAGCTACATTTTGAACGAAATCCCCTTTCTGTTACTGAATGAATAAAAGGATAAATTTTATATAAGCAAGCATGCATTACATAGCAGAAGAAGGGACATTGTTGTCAAAAACGCCGCTGAATTGCCTTGTATTGCTGTAAAGGTCCTCTTGGTCATTGTCGTCTGGGACGGGAGGTGGCGCGCGACGTCGTGGTCTCTGCAGACGTTGCGTCAAACCACGTGATCTACGCTTCTCAAACTTGGCTGCTTTTGGTGCAGAAGGAGGCTCGAATACCTATAATCAGAATAAAAACATATTATGAAAAAGAGATGAAAATTTAAAACAAAATGTTTTGGGAGGTACAAGAGTAGAGTGCGTTCACGTAAGCTCTGATATAAAAGCAATAACCAAGAAAGGATTTTTCAAGAAGCTTTAAAAATGAAAATGGGATCAGCAATCAACAACTAGTGTTGACTTTGAATCTACTAGTATATCATCAGGTAAAGAGTAGTGGTGTTCAAACCAGCACTATGAGAGTTATGATTTAAACAAAAACAAATGATACATAAGTACTGTAACGTACTGGAGGTTCATATATTTCGTCATCGTCGTCGTCATCATCTTCTGCCGCCGCTGCTTCAGAGGTTCGTGGCGGGCGGGTGACGCTGTGACTGCCATTCGGTTTTCCGTCCACAGGGGACATTTCCATGCCGTTCTTTTTCTCGATAGTATCAAAATTATCTCCTTTATCAAAAAGAAATCAAGAGAAAAAGTGCAATATTTACATTGTCATTATAAGGGATTTACTAAAGACCAAGAAAATTTTTTAGAACACTACCTTGTATAAAATTGTCATCCTGCAGAGGGTCGACACCAAAGAAATTGGTGACTAGTTCCGGGAATCGGAGATCGAGGATCCAGATAATAACACCCAATACAATGCATAATAAACCTAAAAATCATTTATTTTACTATGTTGTATATCAATATTAATTTTGAAAAGGAACAATAGCAAAATTTCACTTTAAAGAATAATTCAAGAAAACTGTCCAAACCTGTGATCAAATTTAAATAAAAAGACGGTCCGAAATGAAATTCGAGCTTGTGTTCGGCACTAAACGGAATTAAAAGTTCGTTAACATTTCTTATGGTGGCCCAGAGAATATTGGCAATCACCATGACACCGCCGGTCAACATGAGGAAATACGCGCCATATTTTAAAAGAATGAAGAAAAGGATTATTGTCAGAACCCAGAGAGGAAGGGCCAACCTGAAAGATGAGGGTAACATTTAAATTAGTATGACTAGGGACAATGGTAATTTGGGAACAAAGAGTGATGATTACAGGTAGTAAGTAATTTAGATTTGAAAAATATTATATTAAAATGAAGTAAAATATTTTAAAGTTTAATGCGTACTTACCACATCATGATATGGGCGTACCACCCTGCCTGTCTGTAATGTCGCCCCCATCTGATCCCCTCCCCGTCAAATATAAAGTACTCAGCAATCCAGATAATGGGAAGGGGGGTTCCTCTAAACTGAGCAGAGCGAAACTCTTGTTGAAAACGACCAGCTATAATGATGAAAAATAAAAAATATAGAAAAGTGGGTTTTTTGTCATGTATATTTTCGATATTGCAAAGATTTATGACAATAACAAAATGAATCTGCACACCTTTCTGATATTCATGTTATTTTACGTTAGATGTTATACTTACAAAATATACCGAATCCTATTCTGCCCTGCTCCCATCTCCAGTCGAAGTGTTCGTTGTAGTTTATGGTCTCATTAAAAGGACCGCGGTTTTCGCCCTCAGCTGGAACCAAAATTTGAATTCAAAAATGCACATACAGCTTTTATAGTTAGTTAAAATTTATTATTTTAAGATACTTTAAGTTAGATTATATTAACTAAACACAGCAGATGGGTTTAAGTTATATACTTCGATCCAAATAAAGCTGCTTAAACTGGGTGAGCTTTTATTCCTCAGGCCAAGCCAGTAATTATATCTGGTAGAGCTTACACAAAGCAAGCTTTCCCAAAGGTGGAATGGGCTACTATTATAAAAATAACAACTGAAAAATCCTATTTCGGGGGTAGGGTAGATCTTTCTATAACTTATTTATCTATAACAACACAGTTATGCATTCACATTTTTGAAATAGAAATCATAACTGTAGTACATATTGAACGTATAGTCACCCGCGAGGCGCAGTGGTTTGAGTGTCTTGAATTTATCCTTGTGTCTCGGGTTCGAATCCACTACGGGACGTGGAGACCGGTCCTTCGGATGAGACCGTATAAACTGCGGTCCCATGGACAACCGCAATAGGTGTTGTCACGAAAAAGATCCCTCACTGCCCAATGGCCCAAAGTGCCGAGAGTAAGTAAAAATTTGCAGCCCTCAGCCGGTGAATGGTGGTGTCTCCATATGAATGAAAACTTTTCGAGAGGGACGTTAATCAAACAACAAACAAACAAAACACACACATTACTCATTGATATAATGGGAGCCTGGATCAGATGACATTGGAGTAATTACCTTTCAGTGTTACATTGATCCCTCGGAGGCCCATGTATACGGCGATATCTGCGGTAATCTCCCCTGCTGATCCCGCTTTATACTTGGTCCTTACGTTTTTGGCCTCGGCGACTTCCCATTCATATCCAAAGTTAGTCACTAGAATTGGAAAGGTTGTCATTAGAATTGTAAAGTAAATAACTGGAATTGTAAAGTTAATAACTAGAATAATTGTAAAATTTAAATACAGAATTGTGAAGTGTGCCTCAAATTTTAAAGTCAGTCTCTAAAATTGTGAAGATAATCATCTCTAGAACTGTAAAGTTTGCGACTAGAATTGTAAATTCCGTCACTATAATTGCAATATATCTACTGTGCAGCAGTAATTTATACTTTAAAATATGTGCAAATTATTACATTTACGTGGATATCATACTTACACATAATAACTCCTCCAATAAATAATGTCACTGTTACACGTATGAACACAAAAATTCTCTGAAATCGTAAACGATACCCTTTGAAAATCTTGAATATAGCTTAGGTGAATATTTGTGAAAAATATATTTTGTAAAATAGTTTATGTTGCGTTTCTTAATTATTATCTATTTGACATAGTATGGTGTATATGTACTGTCATACACGGTCATGAACAACTTGTAAGGCGGCAGCATCTTGAACAAGTTAAGACAGATCGTCAAAATTTCCATACCTCTTTGCCTCGAATTCCAGGTAGGATGATGAAGAATGAAAAAGCTAATATCACAAAGGCGTAAATAAGTCCAGACTCCAGAATATCCGCCATAAAAGGCGTCTTGTCGGAGTCGTAATAGGTCGGGGCGCCATTGGATCGAAGGGCGTCAAACAGGCCCGGAGAAGACATTTTGACTAAATTTTTCTTCTGTTACGTTTCCTCTGAAAAGAAAACAAACAAAAGTTGATAAATTTGCAATATGAAAGATATACATCATATTTACGCATTGGACTATGCAATAAAGGTACTCTAATTAAACTTTTCTAGCTTTATTTATTGGTTGTTTTTTTTTTGTAGATACTATTTAGAAGATTGATTTTGTCTTTCTGAAAATAGAACTTAATTTTTGAAAACAACGACTATGTAAACATGGTTTAATAACTGGTTTAAGTAGGAAGTATTTCATAGAAATTATCAATCCTTTCTTTTTTTCAAGCAATGAGTGATGTTTTTGGGATTTTTTTTAATCGGTTTGGGGAGGGGTGGGGTGGTGGCGGTCATTCAAATTACAAAAGAGAATATCATCATTCTTCGAAAAGGAGGGGGTTGAATGCATGCATTTGTAGTCTGGTGGCAAACCCTATCGCTGTGATGTCTCGTTAATTTTCATACTGTCCGGTTTTTAAGCACAGGTACTCATCAGAGGATGATATTCCACTTGTCCCTTGTCTCACAGGAAACTTAACTGATGTCACAATTACATGGTTAGTATAACGTCGGATATGGCTAAGTGTTAGACGAGGCTTACATTGGATGGTGGTGGTCATGACTCAATCCTATAGTCTTACTTGTGAGAAATATCATATACTACGATGCTCCCCATGTTATACTGAAAAGCCTCCTTTTCTAATTTATTCAACTTTGAGTAGTTTAAAGCATTTAAAATTCTTCTGAAATAATAATGGGAATAAAAACACAGCTATTGCTTATGACATTAACAAGCACTGTTAAAATTGTGTTTCACTTGTATTTATTTATTTTTTTTCATTTTTAGAAAATAAATTTTACATTAAACTGCATTTAGGTACTTAAATCATGTACGGGAAACAAGACAGTTTCCACTCTAGCATCATAAGATCGTATCATTCCTAAATCACCCCGAACAAAAGTCGTGGTATTTAAATTTTACAAAGGTGGAGATAATATTTAGCTTGTCAAAATTCACTTCCCCTTTCATATTTTAGTTGTAAATACCAAAGGTCAGTGATTTTAAACGAGGGTTAACGTTACTTCTTTGAAAACCCATCGTCTATCTATATTGGAAAGCCATATATATAGCAAAGAGGAAAAGTTCGGTGTTTACTTACACTTATTGCTAACAATCTTTTGTGATTGAATGTATATCTCTATATGCATGTAGAATATTAGGCAAAAAAATATGTAATAATAACATAATCTATCAGTTATAAAATCATATCAATAACATTTTTATCAAACAAATACAAAATAGAGCAGACAGCAACAATGTGAAAACAGACAAAATGTGCAGTGTTTAAGATTGTGGAGATTTCGCCTTCACATAAGATAAATTTAGTTTACATGCGTGAACAGGATAAGTTTCTTTAAAGCACTTATAAAAGATACAAAAGATTGGTTTAATTAGCAGGAAGCTGATTAGAAAAAATGCAACAAAAACTACAACAGTACCTACCTTATATCGACATTTCGCTAAACAGCGTTTTAAACTTCCCGTTTCGGGCTGATAGGTTTGTGTCACGTGATACGATCCAATTGGCAATACACCAAATGCGGAAGTACATATTTTGGTGAGACAAGTTGACTGAAGCCCTCTTCAGAAATCACGACAGTCAAACTTTTTTTCTTTCTTTATTCTTTAAGCCAAAGGCTCATCAGATTTACATGTACAACATATAAACACAATAAAGAAAACAGAATAAATATTATATATACAAAAATACACAAAGGATATAGATATCAATAGTAGTTACAAATTCGACTTTCGTAGAGCAGTAGCTTTATATAAAAATTTCCCCAAATTAGACAATTCTTTAACATTTTCGCTACTCATTAAACATACAACTTTAAAAACACTTGGTTTGACATAATAATATTTCTTAATGTACATACTTCTCAAATTTTCATAAAATGGACATTTTAATATGAAATGAAATTCATCTTCAATATCATTACAGGCGCAAAGTGTGCAAATTCTTTGAGATCTAAGTGTATTATTATATCTACCAGTTTCATTTTTTAATTGGTGGTTTGATAATCTAATCTTGGTAAGCATTCTCCTATATCTATCATCAATAGGTTTTGTTAAATATCTTTGTAAGACAAAATCATTCACAACATATTGGTACAATTGTCCTTTTGAAGATGAAGTTACAAATGAAAAAATATTTTGTCTATAAATATCAGTCATCCTTTGTTCAATTATTTTATATGTACAACTATCAACAATGTTAGATTCCCATAAATAGCTCAAACCTAGTCTCTCCAACTCTTCTTTAATACACATAATCCACTTATCGTTACGTAAAACCATATCTTCATAACAGGCCCTAATTATACAATTATCAGTCCCTCTTAACTTGAGCCAATATTTGAAAATTTTTAATTTCATTTTTACTGCTAGTGGATATCTTCCTAATTCACAATATATGAAATTATTAACTGTTTTCTGACCCACTCCTAAGACTCTTTTACAAAAGTTAAGGTGGATTTTTTCGATATCAGTAGCTTTATGCCATCCCCATACCTCTGATGCATTTAAAAGTACACTACTTACGTAAGTATCAAAGACCGATAAACAGTTTTACCTACCGTGATTTCATAAAGTGCAGTCCCAGAAAAAGCTCATCATATTGTTTATTTAAATAAAAGAGGGGGGGTTGGGGGTTGGGGTTAAACCGGCCACGAGCACGATTTCATATTTGATTTGAATATATTTAAATTGATGGAAAGGGAAAAACAACAAGCAAACAACATTGATTTTAAAAAAATTGTAATTTGAAAGATTTTTAATATTTATTGATTCATTGAACTTGTCTGACTAAATGGTTCCAAAGATTTTACTTTAAATCAAATTAAATGATTTATCTACCCGGTTAATAAAGGGAGGGGGGACTTGTAGACCGAAAACACGGTTTCAGATATATGAAATTATTTATTATTTTAAGAAATAAAACGAACAAACAGCATAAGAAGAAAATAAAACAAAACAAACAAGATGTGTTTGTGAAACCCCGATGCCCCCGTATGATTAAAGTTTCTCAAATGCAAGCTACGCTCAAAGGTCAAAGCCAAGAGATAAAAATGCTGTAACCCTAAGAAAAGAATTCAAAAGACATGCCTGGTAAATATGAACGCTCAAACACCAACCACTCAAACGGTTAATGTTTCCTAAAAGTGGGTCAAAGTCCTAGGTAACAAATCTTGTCATAAGAGATACACGTGCAAAATATAAAAGCCCTAGCACCAAAAGTTCAAAACTTATAAGGTCAAGGTCAGAAGGTCAAAAATATTTACACCCGTGGAATGGTCTTGTCACGATAAAACCACATGTGAAATATGAAAGTCCTGCGTAATCCAACTGTTGAAAAGTCATGACCTAGGTTAAAGTTTAATAATTTTTTTTTGCAAAAGTGGATCAAACTCTAAGGTCAAGGTCAAGAGGTCAAATATTTTGGTACCTAAAGGAAGGCCTTGTCACAAGGAAGATACGTGTGAATTATGAAAGCCATATCTCTACACAATCAAAAGTTATGGGCAATGTTAAAGTCTGTGTGGACAAGCAGACAGACGGACGGACAGGGTAAATATATGTACTATATACACCCGAATCTTCGATTACGGGGCATAAAATGTGTGAGTTTTTTTTAATATAATTATGAATTTAGAGATTATAGTATTTATTGATTTATAGATCTTTTCCATGGATACTTTCATTGATTTTTCCTGTAAATAATTGATCTAGTCTGTAAAATATTTTAACAAATCCATCCAAAGCAGATACGATGATTAAATTTTAACCTTGTAATATTCCTTAATCAGGCTAATCGTGCTCTGATAATCGATGGAGTTATTTGTTTTCAACTTTACAAAAACCTTCAACGGATATTTGATTAATATTTCAATGTTACTTTATCTTTTTACATATAATCTGATACTAATTATACTGGAATTCTTATGGGGATCATTGATACATTATTGCAATATTGAAGCGTTTTTTATTGCATTATGTTTTTGTAAAGAAAAGAATGACTAAACAGATAGTATTCTCCCTGTCGTCATTTTCTCCTGTTTGTCACTCAATTGTGTGTGTGTGTGTGTGTGTGTGGGGGGGGGGGGGGGGTAATACTAGGACACTAGGTAGTTTGGTCCGACGCTTGCCAATTGCCAAGTAAGTTTTCTAGGTCCAAGATATGCCCCCTCTCCATCTGGATCAACCCAGACTATTTATAAACAAAATGTAACAACAATATATAGAAACTTATACTACTATACGGTATATATGTTTGAGCATTGCTTACGATCATTAATTTATTTTCAAAAACTATCTATCAAAAGAGAGGGGATGTAATATATAAACCATCATAACTAAAATTCTTTGTTAGATCCACTTCTTACATATTTTTCCATTCTTAAAATGTTTTTTTTTTAAATCGTCTAACGTCTTCATAATAATTTTTGAATTTCATCTTGATATACAATTTATTAGAATTTGTTGGGGAGGAGGGGGAATACCTTGGAAACATCAAGACTCTCCTCAGAGCAGTGGAAATTTAAGTTTATGTGTAATCGATCATTTTATCGATTGCTACGCCATTACTCATTGGAGCAATATTACTTTGTTTACGCGTTGAAGCCATCTCGTTACATTTTGTTGCTGGAGAAATTGGAATCGGTTGTCATGGTAATATATTTTCGCGCATGATCAGCAAGCTGACATCCATCGCTGTCTGCACTCTTAGACATTGATGCGTCTGAGTCTTTTCTTCTAGATTACATCATTAAATGTTCATTATGAAATTCCAGTTCTTCGAGGATTAATGGTTTATACATTCACTGCATTTCTTGTAAGTATGATTCTTTCCTTGGTATAGATACACTAAGTAAATATCGATTCACCTTTTCAAAGAAATTGGCAGAATGTATGTGTTATCGCCTTCGTACGTGTTGATTTGTTGATTATAACTACTAGTATACTCCCAAAGAAAAAATATCATGGGCGGATCTAAAGGTATTCTCTATTAAGAAGTTCATGGCTCGTTTTAATACCCCCCTCCACCCTTCAAGGAGTATTAAAACGAGCCACCAACTTTTCAATAGAGAATAGATTTGAAGGGTATATACATGCAGCGAAAGATATATAATACAAAGAATCGGCTTGCTTGGAAATCTCAGAGTAAACAATTTTAATTACATTGTATATAGCCATACATAGTTTTACCAGTTTAACCTATTGACCCATCCATCCCAATGTGAAAAGAACAAATATCCTTACACTGTTCTTTTGTAAAAAACCAATGATAACGCGCACATATCACTTGAAGGCAGTTGACGTGGGACCAGAAGTAATTGTATGTTTTAAAACTGGGGTGGGGGTGAGGGTTCATATGCAAGGTGATGTCTCTCTCGTAAATGAATGAAGTACTGCCACTGCTGATATTTTGTATTCAGTAATTCGTATGGTTATGAATAGGCCTAACTGATGTACGTGATGAAATACAACTCCGTATCAAACTGTCATTTAAAGTGGAAGTCTAAAAACTGGTATATTTGAGCATTGAAAATACCATAAATTGAGAGTAAAGAGACTTAAATTTCAGTAGATGATTTGCGCTCCAACAATTATTGAGCGACACATACAGGTACACATGCACTGCTCCTTAAGCTACTGTATTATAAAATTGAATTATTTATAAGCCGTTGCAAAATCAAGCATTGTTCTAGAATCCATTCATTCGAACCTGACCTGTGCTGTAATATTTCATTATTCTGAAATCTATTCATTTATTCATAAAATCGTCATTTTTGAAATTGAAATCATATACGAACATGTACCAGTAAAATGTATACATGTATCTGCATCACAGGCACCTGACTTTACTTATTTTTCTTTTAGTAACAAAAAATCTATCCCTTACCTTACGTGGGGGGGGGATATTTTTTTCATAAAAAGAAAAATAAGTAACGTCAGGTGCCTGTGATCTGCTGGATAAATCACCATGCAATTTTCGTGTGTCTCAAAAGGGGTAAAATTAAATGCTTGAAAATAAAGAACAAAAATTATGATTAGTAACCAACAGGATAAATCAATATAAACGTGTGAATGTAGATTCGAGGGAGGGAAAATATTTAGGGGAAATTCATATTGTGGACTCAAAGTCAGAACCAGGAATTCCAGTGGGGCGAGGGGACCACGCGCTTTTAAACGTACTAATTTATACTATTAAATTAATTTCTTTAAGGGTTGTTGCAACCCCCCCCCCCCCCAAAAAAAAGAAAACAATACTGGACGAAAAGCAGCATGCAGTAATCAGTTTTGTAAAAATAACATAGGAATTACTAGTAATTAAAAGCTAAATTTCATCAAGGACAACAAGAATAGCCACAAAATTCTTACAATACTTGGTCCTGATGAATGCAAGGAATAAAATTAATCGCAGTATCAATATAATTGTTAGTCTACAAACTTAGTAATTCAATAGCACGGTCAAGAATCCAAGAAAATCGACCGTGCCTAGCTAAATGCACGTAAAAGCCTTAATATAAGCGTACAATATTATCAATATTGACATAGTGCCCATACATTTCAGTGACCCATTGACCAGTGATGTAGGGAAGATGAGACAGCGAGAACCTGCTACATGTGTACTTACCATATTCACAGGACTGCTACTTTGTTCTTACAGTGGTGAGTCGCCATCGTGTGTTCAGTTAGATGCAAAATTTTATATTAATTAGAAATTTAGAATGCAAGATGTGTTCTTGTTCTCCCTTGCAAATATCCATATCCACGGTCCGTATGAAGCAATCTCAGTTAATGGGAGAGAGAGGGCAAAAGAAATAACCTACTATAAGCAAAAAGTATACGCTTTTATTGAAAACTGCAACCGTAATATAGCTATTGATATTAATTTCTTCTCTTTCTAGCGAATGCCATTGGATGTTTTGTTTGTACCTCACTCAACAGAGGAAACTCAGGTTGTGAAGACACTTTCAATAATACAGGGAAATACTACAGATCCGATTGTAAAGCCAGCCGAGACGGGAGAATGGGGATGTTTCCAGCGACACAGTGTATAAAGATGGTGGCCGAAGACAGTGAGTAAAGAAAGTATTACTTTCAGTTTTAGCTCACCTGAGCCATTCACTCAGGTGAGCATAATGGACCATGGCCCTTCATTTCGTATGCCAGACATATAAATATGAATGACTTTATTTCAGCTGATGCTGGCTTTTCTTTGATTGTGAGAGATTGTGTAGTGGACAATGGCGGTACGACGTCAGAAACAGAGATTGGGAGACAGAGTCACTGCGGCTGGATGAAGGTCATTAAGTACAATGGACGCCGCATGAGTGGCTGTATTCTTAGTTGTGGACAAGATGGTTGTAACATGGCTAGTTGGAGTAGACACATATCAGTTGTTACCGTTATGCTGGTTTTTATTATTACTAAAACATTGTGCTAGTTTTGAGTGAAATATGTATATATATACAAATAAAATCAGGGGAAATTCATCAATATCATTGTAACAATCCATCCAAATTGTACTATATAAATCATTTTCTGCAAATATCAGATAATACATTAATTCCCTCCTGGATATTTAAATATGAATATTAGAATTTAGAAAAACATTTATGGTATTAAATTGGTTTTGTTTGGGAAAAAAGAGTACAATATTGAATCCTATAAACAAGGAATATTGTATCCAGTATAACTTCTACATGTACAGTCAAACTCTGATTTCTTAAACTCAAATGGGTCAAGAAAAAGTTATGAATATCCAAGGATTTAAGATATCAAAAGTAAAATACTGAAGGAATGATTATTTGGGATTTCCAAATCACTTCGACTATTCACGGTGTTCAAGATATCAGAATTCAAGATAATAAGGTTCAACTGTATAAGGAAATATAGCTACATAATATTTTTAAAGTATTCCTAACTGTTTAACAAATTATGTAAAAGTTAATCTTACCAATTGGATTTTACCTTAGTACAAAACTCATACAGTCTTTTCAATATAGTTACACAAAATGACATTTTTTCTAAACTTGTTAAAAGATCTTGAAGCAGATATGTGCCAAATTTTTTTGAAATAGAAATTTCAAATGGACCATGTATACTTCTAGAAAATGTTATTTTGTAACCAAAGTTTTATATGTTGCAGAAAAATGTTAATTAATAATTTTTGATTGTACCTATATCATTTATTTAACACTACCTTAATTATGATGTTAAAGTTCATAACATTCTATACTGCAAGTGATCTTCAATTGTGGAAGTATATTTTTCCCTCTTTGCATACATTATTTTGCAAAAATAAAAGAATGAAAATGTTACTTTAAATATCACCTTTTCAAGACTCTGTGTTGCAGCTTTGGGATTATGTATATTGAATGTTCACATGTAATTCTTGGATTCATTGTAATGTCAAGATAATCTCTATTATCCTGCCTAATTGTTTTAATTGTATTGAAGTTATTCTGTTGTGTCTCTTTTCAAGACCTTTTTTGTATAAAAACATTCAAAAAGATGAGGAATATATACAGATGTTGTTGTTTTTTTCTTTGTTCACTTACTTGCATTTTTAGATTTTCTATACAAGTCCAAACACAACTGCCAAGATACACTTCATAACTTTTAATTTTTTTTTCTATGAAATATAGAAATTGACATATCATTGTGTGGTAGGAGCAATATTAAAATAAACATGATTTAAAATCTTGAAATCACTGAGTTAGAGAAATACGCTGTACAAATTTTCACACAATATAAAAAGCTGACAACAAGTGTGGCTCAAACCAACTCTGAAGGGTGTGTTCCGCGAACGTCTAAAACCTATATAAACAGTATAATTATCACACTCAATTAAGAGGCCCTCTGAGGGGCAAGGGTAGCGTTTACCTGTGTTACCTGTGTCTTAAACTGTATGAATAAACTACCTGCATTTATATGACTCTTTCAAAGACTTGTAAGTTATATTGGAAAAATCTTAGCGATAAGTCCTATAAAATGAATTAAATGTTGTTCAAATTTTTAAATATTTTTTACTCATATGTTCAAAGTATTTACTAGGTATTTTAGTCAAGCTATATTAATCAATGTTTCAATTACCAATAATTCCTATAAATTGAATTAAATGTTTTTCAAATGTTAAAAATATTTTTCTACTCAAATTTTTATAGTATTTATTTTAATTTTGTAGCATAAAACTACCTTCATTTAGATTAGAAAAAAGTTTATTTTATTGTGCTAATTGATCTTGACATTGTAGATATATATATATATTTTTTTTTTCAATGTTGAATTCTTTTATTTTTTTTATCTTAATAATTTTCATGTCCGTTTTTAGCTTAAGTTTTAAGCATTTACTCTGAATACATTTAATGTAATAACAATTTACCATTTTCAAAATCGTTTTAAGTCTCCATGATAAAACTTAAATCTTAAGACTATTAATTTTATTTTATGTATTTGTGAAAATGTAAACATGTAGCATTCAATAATTTGAAAACAAATCACTTTACTGTGAATTTTGAATATAATTTCAACTAACAACATAAATTATGAATAATTGGTATTGAGACTGGTTAGATCAGTTCACTTTGAAAGTTAGATAAGACTTTTTCTGTGACTCATTTTACACCTGACCTGTCCCAGCCTCAAAATCTGAGCTAATGAGATGAGAGATTAAACCCAATAAATGTGAAAAAAGTTCTAATAAATGTAGAGAACTGAAGTGATATAAACTCTGCTTCCCACATTAATATAAGATATGAAAAGCGTATTAAATAGTACTTAAAATGTGATTTTAATGAAGAGTACTCAAAGTGTTTTATGTATTTTAAAAATTAAATATTTGTAAATAATAAACTTGTCATCACTTTACATATTTGTATGAAAAAACACTTGTTTGGTGTCTTGAAATATAGTTATTTAATCAAATAAATTATGGTTTGGTTCATATTCTTTCTCAGAAAAATAAATATATTTGATTTAGAATATTAAAGCAAGATAACTTTCTCAAAAAAATAAATATATTTAATTTAGAATATCAAATCAAGATAACACAGGTAAACTCTACCTGTGCCCCTCAGAGGGCCTCTTAATTGAGTGTGATAATTACGCTGTTTATATAGGTTTTAGACATTTGGGGAATAAACCCTCTGAAGTGTTAAAATGAAAATTCATTGTCAATCATAATGGATTCAACAAAACAACAAATAAACCAAAAAGTAACTTGATTCCATGTACATGTCTGTTTAAAATTGTCATAATTGATATTTTGTATGCTCTCATGGTCATTGATGACAATTAAGACGTAATAAAATTCTCCACTTTTTTTTTTAATCCAAAGAAATTGAATAAATCACACTAAATGTAGTTCATAAATTGTCCTGCACAAATTATGATTCAATCTACAAAATTACTAAATTAAAAAGAAGAAACAATAAAAGAAACTTTAACCCTTACTAGGTCATAGCACCAAACTAACCAGTACATGTATTTCTGATCTAGACATGTACCAGGTAAACATGGAATAAAAGGCCTTGTCTGAAGTTGGACAATGCTGGATGGAGTTCTCTCCCCTCTAATGCACAAACCAAACAGGTCAGGTAAATATGGAGGAATAGGTAGGAATTTTGGATTTCAGAATCAAAAGTGAGTCCTAAAATGAGGTGGAAAAAATATTAAAGAATATCTTATCCATTCAAATAGATGGGGAAATTCACCACTTATTTTTATAATGATCAAGTTCAATTTATTTCTTTCAAACCAATTAATGGCACATGAGGTTCTATGTACAATATATACAAAGACCTATAGACCTATTTATTAACAGAAAGTGATTCCTAGGGTATTTAATGTTGTAGTGTATTTCCTAGCTAGTACCGTATTTAAATTTAGATACAGTAAACCTAAAATGAAGAATGGAATATTAATCCATATAGTTTTCATGGATTTAGATGACAAAAAACACAAGTATTCTTTAATTAAGGATATTTAATAACTAACCTTTCCACCATTTTGTTCCAATCGCTGCACCACCTCAGTGATACGATCCTTATATTTCTTGTCCATCATTCTCTTTGATACCTAAAATCAGAGACAGGAAAAAGATGTTTTTGTTGCGACGTATCTACTTTTCAGAAAAATAAAAGTGCAGATATTGGGAATGTTGGAGATGCCTACTGGTACTAATATTGTCTTAAGATGTTGATTAAGCTCTGGTCCCACAACATCACTCAACTGAACTAAAGCATCAAGGCCGCCTTCAAACACCGAGTTTTCTTTGTGGCTCTACAAAATAAAGATTAAAAATTTACCTTCGTTTTCAACTTTTTATTTATACATAAACTTGTGCAATAAATCAGAATATAATATTAGCCTGTTGATAGATGTTTTATTGCAATACATGTACTGATCCTAAAAATGGAATGTTACTTGTGTATCGATATTATCACCTCACTTCCTTTTCTACACTTAAACACTTGTTTCCTTATATTGTAATCTTTCAAGGAAGATAGAGGCACATTGTACATTCCATACAAGCATTTTACTTTAGTGAATGTATATGTATTAAAACATAGATCACCAGTGCAGCTCTAATGGAGAAAGTGATTTTTGGCAAGATAGGCAGGACTTTCTGTTGGGCTCCGTCCACCTCTAACATTTCCTGGAAGCCAACCCGGGACACAAATGTATAGGGATGTACAGTCTCCTTCAGGCCCTGTAACCATAAATATAATCTTGTAGCATTATCATCTTCCATATTTTCTGAGCTTTTTTTTTTTTTTAATACATTTCACATTTTTTTCTCAAACAGAAAGCTTCAGATAGATGAAACTTTGATCATTCCTATTTAAATGTTTAAAAAACAATCCAGAGTTATATACATGTAGCTAGATAAACTGTAAGTGAAAAAATCCTACATCAGCAAGAGTGACTAGAACTGGATCAAATGGGAGTTCATCAGGTGGAGTGGACCACTGTAACTTGTGTTTCACAGAACCATGCACCAATCTGTAATATACAATGACCTTTATTTTTATTTTTTTTATTTTTTGTCATGGAGAAATGAAATTTAGTTTGGCAAAAAATAATACATGTACACCCATGTCTACACAGAACATCTGAAGACTAAGGAGTTTCTATTTCCTTTTGAAGCATAAAAAAAGTTGGTCATAAGCTCCATGATAAAATAAACAAAAAAGACTATCTAAAATTCATTCATACTCTGAAAGAAAGCAACTGAAATCTTATATTATACATGCTATAGTTGCTATGAAGGAAAACCAAACAGCAGTTGTCTGGCAATGCATTATTTAGTTATTTAGATGATGTGCAACATGGCCACCATCATATCATTTTCCTCTCACAATGGAGTTGGAGGATACAGTAATGTGTGTGTTGGGGGAAGAAGGGTTTTGTTTGTCCTTGTGTGCATAATGGAAGAGATGTAATTGCAGGCATCGGGATCTATATTCTCAAATACTGCCTTGATTTATGCCCTTTTGCATAGGGATGCTCCACTTTGAATGGGCGCCCATACATTTTTATGATTTTAATTAAAAAGTTCACTGACCTGCAAGGAAGACCACCAGTCATATAAACAGATGCAAAGGCAGACTGATTTTTTGTGGTGGCTGCAAACTGAAAAGAAAATAGACAATAGAATTCTTATTACATGATACAGTGTTTTCCCTTTAGGCCTAGAAAAAAAGGATGTTTGTTTCCGCTTTCAGGCTGAAAAAAATATAGGGTAGGTCGGTAGGCAAATTTTTTTTTTTTTGAAAATTATTTTTACTTCTTTAATCAAAACGTGTATAGAAGTAACATTAATGACAAAAGAAATGGTGTTTTCAAGCATTTCTGTGACTTAAACTTATAATAGAAAATCAAACTTCTTTCTGTCTTGAAAAGCTTGCGAAGTTGGAGACTATAATTCCCTTGAAATCTTTACATGGGACAAAAGCATTAAAAAATTTTTTAGGGTCGGCACTATAAATTAGGGTCGGTCGGGAAAGCGGAAACAAACATATTTTTTTTTCTAGGCCTTATTTCAAAGTAAAGGGTTAGAGATAAGTTGTAACAGGCTAGGGGCTGAGGTTTATGAACAAAATCTCTGTGGACCTTACAACAAATTTTTATTTCAAAGCAGCATTTTTGTCAATTGAAGCGGTCAATTTGGCTGGTAGCCGGTTCTTAGGGAAAACACTCTGATATGATTTGAAGAAAAAATGAAGATAACTTTGGAATAAACACTAAACAGATAAAGCCTTAATTTGCATGAAAACCATCCCTATCTCCCCCTCACATTCCAGCATCAGTTAAAAAACACAAAATCTAAGTAACATGAATTGATCCATATCTGAATTTCTGGACAGTAGATTTACTAAGGTTTTGATAACATAAATAAGTGATTTTAAAAGGATGGCTTTAATTAATGAAATGATGTTCCATATAGTCTATGTTGTCCAGATAGGATCAATTACATAAGTTCAACAGTGCTCTCAGAAAAACTTGGCAATCGTGCTAACATACAACATGCAATTATGCCAACATGCTTTCAAACAACACACTGTTGGGCTTACAAAGCTTAACACAACTCACAAACACACAACAAGTCGTCATGCTAACAAAATTTAACACAACTAAATGTCACGCTAAAACAACATCACACAACACACCATCACACAACATGCCTCTGGCTTACACACAATTAACACACGGTCACACTAACACAATTATATACAAATGTGTAAGTGAGACCGTGTGTTGTGCAAACTTGTATTAGCTTGACAGCGTGTTGTTCAATGTTGTTAAAGGGCAACTATGCGTTGTGCGTTAGAGCGACAGTGTGTTGTGTATAAGTGCAGTGTGTCGTGCGAACTTAATTGTGTTAGTGTGACAGCGTGTCGTTCATTATTGTGTGTTAGTGTGTTGGGAGAGCTTGTGTTAACGCATTGTTTAATGATGTGTTAGTTTAATGATGTTCATTTGTTTTGTGTTAGCATGACGGCTTGTTGTGTGTTGAATCGTTGGCATGTTTTTCTGAACACTGCTGAATGCTCGTGCATGCTGTTGAGCTTTTGCAATTGCCCCAATCCGAACACCATAAAAGTCAGATAACCAAGGCAATTTGTTTCATCAATTTTTTTCTGTTCACGAGAGATATAATAATATTTGAACAAACTCATTTAAAGTACTAACTGGATTAACAGTCTTTGGATTAAGCTTATCAGATGGTCTTGATAGCTTTTGAGGTTTTGTATTCATCAAAGTTTCTGATGAACTTTTCACTGATTTGTGTTGGCCACTCTTTTTCCCTGCACTACCGGGTGTTGACATGGATCTTGAAGATGCCATTCCAATGTGTAAATATGAAAAAAAAATCTTGATCACATTTCTAAATTCAGACCATGTTTACACCGGAAGCAGGTTTCACATGGATCGGAAGTAAAAGTGTTTCTACGACAACTTAAATTAATACGCCATGTGGAAAAATTATTCTTAATAATACAAACAGTGAAATTTATACAAATAAATTTTAATTCTTATTTAATTAATTTTGCATAAATTCGAAGAATATACTAGATATAGGCCAATATCTAAGATTAATCATGATATAGTTTGCACTTATTCTTTGAGCGTAATGGTGGAATTAGTGTAATAAACAACATGGCGGGAGTCGGTGCTCGACGGTTTCTTGAAAACTAAAAGAACTTGATTTCTCGTTTAAATTTGAAAGGAAGATTAGTAGGAAAGATGGATACAAGTATTAGAACATTGCTTACTAAAGCACAGGCAGTTATAGGTGCATATTATTTCATTTTCTTGGTTTTTTTTTTTGATTGCATCAATATTCAAAGTTCGAATTTCCTCAATAATTCTGATAGATTTGAACTACCTTTTTTTGTAGCATTTGCATCACAATTAGTAATTACGTTATTTTGTAGCCATTTTTATTAATCGAGTACAAACTTTGATTCACAGGACAGGAAAACAATCAGCATTTACAACAGGCCTACCAGTTACTGAGAAATGTTGCTGAAAGCAAACCAGCCGTTGACACACCGGAATCTTTTGGTTCAGATTTATATGTCATATGTGCAGAGACTGCATTCCAGGTGTGAAATCTTCATAAGAACAAAATTAAATTCATAATGTTTACAATGCACTATATCTTCCAAAATGCCATTTTTTGCACATAAAGACTGTGATCTTTATTTAAAAAATTAGAAATTAATACTTCTTTCTCAAACACAGCATCCAATAAATAGAAAGTAAAAATGAAAAATTGAAATTTCTTTAACAAACATATATTCATAAGAAAAAACAAATTAAATTCACATTCAGACACATTTGACTGTATGTTGTTATTTTTCTTTTTTTCTGATTAGCATACATGTTAACTCTACAAAATATTTAGGAAAAGGGTCTATACTCTATACCTTCCAAAATGCCTTTTTGCACATAAAGATGATGATCTTTATTTAAAAATTAGAAATAAAAATTCTTTCTCAAAAACAGCATCTAATAAAATAGAAAGTTGGGTATCCATTTTTAAGCCACTCTCATAAAACCTCGATTTAATATGTTTAACAGTGTTTAATGACGTTTATAAAAATAAAACTGCTTTTTTTGTATCGATGTGTACATAGATTTCAAGCATGAATTTGACAACGACAACAGCACAAGATTACCAGTGATTACATTGGTTACGCAAAAGTTAGCCTTGGTCATACACACTGCCATGAAAAAGGAGATACAGCTTTTAATAATTAGATGAAAACGTTTTTTTCTATAAAAGCACATGAATACAAATTTTATCATAAAATTAAAGTCAATAGAAATCTCCGGCCCGGGTTTTGTTACACATTTTATGGCACATCTCCCGATGTGTAGTTTGTCTACACACGTGCATGCGCAGGGATTGAAAATTCCGTCATTTATATAACACACACAGAATGATTATTTTTTTTTTTTAGGAAATATATGATAATTAATGAACAATGTAACATGATTTTTTTGTTGATATAGTACAACCAATTGAACAGTGAAAAAATATCAACCGAAGAATGACCTATATTCTCTGTTATCAAACATGTTAAAAAAAAAAGCTGAGGAGGGAAACAGCCAATCACATTTTTTATTTGCAAGCAAAGTGATGAGCATGAAAAATATTTGAATTTTGTTTCAATTTATGTCAGCAATTCTTATCAAGGACAATTATGTTGTTTCTACTTATTAATGCAGTTGATATTTAAGATCGAAACAATTTGTGTGGTTTCATTTAAGGTAATATATCATGTATATATTGCATGAAATATATTAAAAATGACTTTCTTTAATGTTTGTGATCTTCTGAACAATAACAACATCAAAATTAAAATTCAGACGTTTGACTATAGTTTGTTGTATTTTTTTTTTCTGAAGAAATTAATAGAATTAGGATGATCATCATGATAGATTTTCTATTTTAATAAAAATTCTCTTTTTTCTTGGGGTATATAATATAAACATATTGTTTATAATTTAGAATGGAATGCCAGATATGGCCAGAGAATGTCTTAAAATGTACTTTATGAAGCCTCCACCAGCCAACCAGTTCTTCTGTAGAGCTTACCTATGCCAGGCTCAGCTCCTAGCTCCCAAAGAGGCCAACAATCCAGTAAGATTGCCTTTGTGCTGATTCATTAATCAAATCATAACTTCTTCTAATAATTGTTACTTGATCATCACATGAAAATCTTTATAAAGGTTTCAGGGAATTGTTTTTTGCAACTTGAGTTAACCCTGTAATCATGCATAGTCATGGCTTATAGATTTAATACATGTACCTCGTACTCAACACAGAATAATCATCTTTAACAGGAACAACTGGAAAAGGCAGTAGTGTACCTTGTAAAAGCAATATCATTTGCCAAGAAGAACCCAAGGTGAATAACTCATGACTGAAGTTTATTACTGAAGTTTCTATTACAAATTTTTAATTCTGCATTCATGTACAGTACCTAATTTGTACCTCATGTACATTTACATGGTTTTAGTAATTGTTTATAGTGCTTTAAAGCTTACTGATTTATTTCCCTGAGGTGAAGACTCTGGGGTTTTAAATTATCAGACTCATGAAATTTACAAAGCAAAAGGGGTAAAAAATTTCAGCTTAACGTAGTACATGTATTCAAACTTTGTTTTATTCAGATATCATTTCCTAGTATACAATGCTTCTGTGATATACTGGCAATTTTGCCGACCTTTTCTGAAGCCTAACTATCGTCAGTATCTAGCTCGCAGTTTGCACCAAGTTGTCAAGGCACTGGATGATATTGATGACAAAGACTTTGAATGGCGGGCACAGCTGATGATGTATGTTATTTATGAGATGTAGTTCTTGAAATGTTCATTGTGTAACTTTTTTGAAATTAACGAAAGTTGCTTTTTAGCTATGATATCAATACATGTTGTTCAAAATGTTGATATAAAATTTTTAAATTAAATTTGTTATAATTTTGAAGCATCTCATTGCAACAGTTACTTTTCTTGAAAAGAGCTGAACATGGTGATTGAATAAAATTTCCATATTTGTAGTGCCCTGATGGAGTGTCATTTAGATGCTGGGAGAAAAACTGATGCCTCTAGTGTGGCAGGAGCTGCTGCTACATTTATTAAACAGAATGTACCTCACCTCTATAAACAAGTGTTTGGTCTGATTGTAAGTTTATATTTGTACTTCTGCTTTCATACTTTTTATTTGTCTATTTATAGCTAGCACAATTTCTACTGCACAAATTAAAGTCTTCAGAGCAAATATTTCATATGAGAAACTGTTTGAACTTAAACATATTTTATTTGATGTGATTTTTAATAATTTTTTCTTGCAGGTAAGAAACCAACTGTTGGATTCATCAAAACTTCATAAAGATGTCAAGAACTCTCCTGAATTGTCCGTCTATTACAAAATTCTTAAACTCAAAGTGTATGTATGCAAATCAAATGAATATTGAATGATTTTCTTGTAAATTGTACATTTGTATTAAGTTAACCAATTTTATTTTATCTAAATAACTATATTAATTGGTGTAGATCTTGTGACTTGAATGAGCCTCGTGAGTACTACAGTGAGATTCAGTCCATTTTGAATCAGATGGGCGTCGCTCATACCAGTATAGTTCAGGTGGAAACGCCCACTGGCAAAGGGTCAAAGTCCAAATCTATCAGGACTCACTCCCCTGCAGGTCCCACCAAAATGGAAGAATTAGAGAAAGACAGGTATGATGAAAAAAAATGAAATAGAGAGATAGATAAATGAAAAAGGAAATATTTCTAACTTAAATGATATAGTCAGGAAATCTAATGGCCAACAATGACACAATCTTGAACTCCTGTTAAAGTTGATTTCAATATAAATACTGTAATCCTTTATCTAAAAATAATTTTTAAATATATATTTGTGAAGATTTCTTTCTCCTGGAAATATGTGAGTCTTATTACAAATGACCCATTTAATTAAAAAAAATTACAGTGTTCAGTTATTCAATTTACAGAGTTCAATTTGTCTTTATGAAATGCTCTTTTTTAAGTTTCTCTTTTTTTCTTTATTATTTGATCCATGCATTTTTTATTAGCTTTGCTCACTTTTTTTTCATATTTTAAATTTCAATTTTTTTAAAGTATCAGTAGTTTCTATATACATTTTTAAAAAGTGTGTAACAATGATTGAAATCAAATGTTTATTAGAGCTGATTAAAATATGAATTATTGCATTTGATAATACCATTGAGAGAATGCTGTATAGGAGATAAAAAAAATAGATTAAAAATATCTATTGAAAGATAAAATATTTCAGAGTCATTGATACTCATTGGAAAGAGGAAGAAATGATTTGCTATCCCTTTGTGCTTTAGGAGAGTCACATTATAGTCGCAAATATGTTGGTCTGGAATATTTGAGATATTTTTGTCCACATCATAGCCTATTATGTCTGTGACACTTATTTAAATGAAACTGATTCTTATAGATAAGATTCGCCCAAAATATAAATAAATTATCTAATTATCTGCTACTGTTTTACCCTGAAGGGCCTCAAGCTCTGCTGGATCGGTCTTGTCAAACATTGACAAAGATCCGGGGTCCAGGGTGTCTCAGTGAGTATATCCACCGTGTTAGTTACCAGTACACAGATTTACACTGTCTAGTGTGGACACCAACCTCATAAACAAAGGATCTTATATAATTTGGAAATCAAAAATAGACCCTTCTTTACAAAAAAAAACAATTAAAACACTGAGTTATGATTTTATACAGTTGATAACAATCCGGTATCTGTTTTCCTCCAGGTTTGCTTTTAACTTCCAGTTTTATCCAAAAGTTTTTATAAACAATGTGAATTTCCTTGAATAACATATTTGCCATAGCATTCATGCCTCAATATGAATTGTATACTAGAAATTTGTCAACAATTTTTATTTTCTAAGGTATGTATTTTTCAACCAATGTGGCCATTTAACATGTTGCAAAGTCAGAATTAATAGACCTACCCCCAAAAATAAATTCAGATAAAATGATCTATATCTGTTCATCCTTTGACATCTGTCCTAAGTTTCAATTCACATTAACAAATCACCTTTACGTTCAACAGTTCAGAATTAAGTCAACAAACTTTAAGTGATCGAGAAAATTCAGAAGAGTCTGATGTGTAAGTTCTTTAGATGAACCAGTAGCTAGCATGTGATGTGTTTGAACCTCGTGTTCATAGCTGTGTGAACATGGTTGAATGATGTTTTTGTACCCTTTTGGGGCACTAGGCATTTTGAACTCCAACCAACAATGCATGATTGATGAATGAATATTTGATTATCTTGAGCATGGAATAGTACTAGTAAATTACAATTGCCAGATAATGATTAATGCATGCTCAGACAAAAATGTACTGTTTAATACAATAAATGTACTAGAGGGAAAAAAAACTTACAGTATTTAATTAATGATCATTAAGATCAAGACAGTATATACCGGACACATTTCCCCCATTTCAATCACTTGATCAGTAACTAATGCTTTCATTCACAGTCAACAAAAAAGATTCTTCAAAATAATTGCACAATTAAAGTGTTTTTTTAAAAAGATTGAAATGAGTGGCTTAATTTTGCCTTGGAAATTATGAGTTTAGTAACACTTGGTGATCACATGTATTTGTACATATATTGTACATGGCATTCTCTGAATATACTTTCGAATTCTGCACCAAGTTAGAAAGTTACACATAATTATTTTATACATGTATTAAGTACTGGTATGTGAAAACCATGTTTTAACTTTGAATTCATCCTTACCATGTTTTTGGAAACATTTTTCTCCCTTCCAAAGCTTTGGCTTCTGATGTGAGTTTTAGATGTTGGTTCTATGTTAAAACATGTATATATATACTAGGTATACAATACCATAAGTGTTGAATCATTTTGACAAACAACATGATTTCTCAGAAATCATATGAAACTTAATTCACCAATAAAGATATTTAATTTGTGCCACTTATTATTATAGTAAAAAAATTGATAAATAGTTACATAATTTTTTTAACTTACTGTTTATCCATGTAGTTAGCCAGAATGTTTGAGTAGGTTTTAGGTTAGTTTTATATAGCTATAAACATTACATGTAGCAGATTTCACTGAAAAACAAAAGGTCAGTTTTTCAATCTTTAATAGAACAATACAAAGTCAAAAGGCCAATTTTCATTTACTAAAGCATATTAATGACAGTTTAATCAGCTGAGCTTACTTTTGTTTACAAATATAAGGAAGCACATGCATAGAAAATTTTACAACTTTTGCTCTAGCATTTAAAATAGTGTAACTTGCTTCATGTACTAACAATTTTATTATGATAACCTTTTCATCAGAAAAAGCCCCACCAAAGGAGCTGGGCGGAGAACCCCCACCCCCACCACAACCAAGAGACTGGCCACTGATAGTGCAGATAAGTGAGTCATTATATAACATTGTGTGGAGTCATTATATATTGGTGATTGAATATTTGAAAATATATTATTGGTGAAGGTTGCAACCAATAGTTGATCTGATGGTGAAGTCTTTCTTCTTTTAATTTTGAGTTTGGAATGGTAATGTAGAGAATCTTTTACCTACAAGTAATTATATCAGAAAATGGAAATTTCGCAGCTTTAACTTTTTTTTTAAGACATTAATTTGTTTGGTTCTTTAATATCGTATAGAAGAGTCATTCTGGTTTTGTATTATGTTGGATAGTATTATTGAATTAAATGTCTTGCTCAGATTTGTACCTGTCCAGTAATTCAAACAGTGTATCTCCCAGTATTAGGAAAAGAGTCCACATGACTGGTTTTTATTGACAGGCAAAAGGCTTATTTGCTGCATAACTAATCTTTTAAGGACAGAAGATCTTTTCAAATTGCTCATAACATTATAAACTGTTGCACTAAGACACAGTTCTAATGCTGTGAATTTGTTAAATAAATGTAGCATGAAACTTATAAGCATGTTTAGCATGCCAACTAATTTGTTTCTATATACATGTGTACTTAAAAATATGATTTCAGAATAGCATTGCCAGATGCAGAAAGGTTGGCAATACTTTCTTAGTGTTGAGTTGAATTGTGAGAATTTTATGTTCAATTTTTGTCTGTTTTTATTGCATGCATGTTTTTTGATGAAGTTTTTCATGAGATTATGTTATCATACATAAAAATTTGATTACAAAATGTGTGGATGATAAAATGTGTGAGTTGATTGATTTGATTAGGATATTGAATTTATTTTACATCTGAGGTTTTTTTTCTGCTGCTTTAAAATACATTAGTTCTGTTATTTTGTAAAATAAAAGATATATCTAGACACATCTTAGTAGAAGATTTTTTTTAATTACACACTGCCTTAGAATCTAGCAAAGTTAGATTGGCACTTTTTTATACCAAGTTTATGTTGTTTTCCAATTGCAGCTTTATTACCCATCTTATAGAAAATAAAATTTTAAATCTGAAATTTGTATAGTATGATGTACCCAACTATGTAAAAGTAGTCAAACTTGGTGGGCTGTTTATCAAAATTAGCTTTTCTTTAATTCCAGACCATACCTTCTTGTGGAGTTGGCCAGGTTTTGTGTTGAGTTAGACTTCCCAGACTTGGCACAAAACTGTGTAGATCATATGAAAACCTGTGTTGTTAAGGTAACAAGCTTAATGTTGTAGCTAAAATCTAGAATGTAGAAGTCACTCATGTTCGCCTGCTGGTAGTCAGTTTTAATTTTCTTTCTTTCTCTGTAACATTTGTGATTGGTTTTGTAGGACCCCAGCTTTTACCTTGAGTTGGAGTTTCTTCAGTGTGAGCTGATGGTGAGAAGTCTAGGAGACAAACAAGAGACCTTCAATAAATCTGTGGTGGATGTATGTTCATTTGTTTATATCTATCTTATCTTCCATTTTTATATAGTCACAGAAAATCATGTTTATAAATGGCATTACTGCAAGATATGTATATTAATATACAGTTAATTCTCCAATCATTGCCATCTCAAAATCGTAATGCATATATATCATTTAAATGAATTTATCATATAAGAAATTGCAGGAAAGTTAAAGCACTCAAACAAAACATCTGTTGTTTACAGCTGAGAATACAAGCCATTAAGAGATGTGAGGAGACAATAATGAATGCCATCAGACAGGGGGACCCCAATGTGATACAGGCCGGTTGTGTGACCCAGTGGAACCTTATCCTCCCCCTCCTACAGCCAAACCTCCGTAAACATGTCAGGAAACCCCTCACCCTGCTGGCAGAGGCCCTGGAGGATATACAGAGGTACAGGACAAACATAACAGAGGAAAGGGGAAAAAAATTCTATCATAAGACAAAGGATCACTTTGATAGACAGTTTATCTATGTGAATTTTTCACTAAGAAAATGTAAAATGCTTATGTTTTGATATGTTTTCTGTGGCAATCTTTTCTGCAAGTTGTTACAGCAATTTATAACCTACCCACATGCAAAATGGTTATCAGGTGATAAGACTTGATTTTCTCCCTTTCAGCTTGTTAATCAGCCTGAGGTGTCAAATTCACACGGAACTCTCCAAATGTGAGGAAGACCAGGAGCAGATTCAGGTTGCCATGGAGCACCTCAGAAAGGTACACAGTAGTTTCAGTGCTTCTATCTTAGCCATCAATTCTTGTATGTTAACCATTGTCTTATTTCCGCTCCTCCCCTTTGTTTCTAGGCCCTTTCTCTGGATGATGGTGGCCTCTATAAAGAGAGACTGGAAGTTGCTCTGCACAGGCTAGATCTCCGATCCCAACTTTACAAGCAGCCAGAAAGAGCAGAAGACATTGCAGCCATGATCATTGAACAAGTAGGTTGCTGTCATGAACAAGTAGGTTACAGTTATGAATAAGAAGATAACTGTCATGAACAAGAAGGTCAGTCATGAAATAGTAGGTTACTGTCATGAACAAGTAGGTTATAGTTATGAACAAGCAGGTTACATCCATGAACATGTAAGTTGCAGTCATGAACAAGTAGGTACCATCCATGAACAAGTAAGTTGCAGTCATGAACATGTAGATTACAATCATTAACAAGTAGGTTACATCCATGAACAAGTAGGTTATAGTCATGAACAAGTAAGTTACATCCATGAACAGTAGGTTATTGCAGTATGACAGTAGGGGCCCTGATTGAGATTTACTGTATGAAACTTATTTTTAGAAAGCTATAGAACATCAAAGGGAAGAATTGAATATATTTCCTTATTTGAACTTCTTTAAATATATTTGAAAATAAAGATTTAATGAGCTGTTGTGATTAATTCTACCACGATTACTGAAAACTTCAAAGGAAACCGACGGACATTATTCTCCAATAAATCACGAATGTCATAAAAAAATTATCAGATCAGAAACACGTATCAAATCTGAACAATTCAAATGCATGTTTGGCTGTAGAATGAAATACTTGTTTACACCGCATCGATGTGTTGTCTTTTGCAGTATAAACACTGTAAATTGCATCAAGTTGCTGATGAATGTCGGTTTTTATAGCTAAGCGGGGCTATTCCACGGACCTCCCTACATATTAAACAACGTTTTAGCAGTAAAACAGGAACATGATTTTGTTATTGTATGTTCATTCTAACTGATCAATACATATTACGAACAAATTTGTAATCTAAAAAGGCTATTTTTAATGCAACGAAAGCTCAAATTGTCTGCATTCTATACACAGGTAAGCAAACAAATTTTACTTCTGGTGTTAAATGGAACAGTGAAATCGAGACATGGTGACCTAATTCATTTCTCTATAGAGGAAACGATCAGCAGTATTTATCGATCTTGGCAGAATAGAAATAACGTCCTTTTTGTCTATGAATGATGCAGGAATAACTTCTTTACATATATTTGAAAAGAAATGCTTAATTGTTGTGAAAGATTAAAGAAAAAGCTCTCGGCTAACGCCTCGGCTTTCATCTTTCAAACAACATTTTCGACCTTAAATTAAAGGTATATGTCTGCAACATTCACGAAAACGCGGACTTTATTTCTTAAAGAGAATCCACTCTCTGCTTATCACAATATTATAATCTTGGCCAGTGGTGCTAACTATAAATAGGATTTTGGTCATACAGGATCAAACGTAACTTTTGAAGGTAATGAAATTTAAAATGTATTTGTTAAAAAAATAATATATACTTGTTAAAGTAATATAATGGGACATTCATGATGCATAGGCATATGTTTAGTTCAGAAAGAGAAAAGAATCTCAAATGAACAGTCACTGTAATCACAGGACTTCTTTATTGCTTTATATAAATACAGACAGTAAAATAAAAGAAAGTGAAATTTTGATATGAGGTAAAAACAAAAGAAAAACAATTTTTCATTAAGATTTGGATTTTTTTAGGCCAGGAAAGCAGACTCAGGAACAATGAGAATGAAGAGGTCCCTGTTGGTGAAGGTGGGGGAGGCCTTGGCCCCTGATGCCTTCCAGTTAGTGTTGGACAGTGAGAGCGACACAAAAGGTAGGGGGAGGGGGAACATTGTACTTATTTTTACATACATGTTCTTCTCTTTGTATATCTGTGAATGTTTGTCTATTTCATTTTGCATTGTGCCAGAGCTTTGTAAATAGTTTTTGTCAATTTTAAGAAATGGTTTTATGATATGCTTTTATATGTCATGCTTATGTATGTTTCTTTTACTTGCATCAATATACTACGATATTGCTTACTTTTTGATCCAGATAAAGCTGTTGATTACCATTAAATGTTAAAGGTTTTGTTAAACATTTTCAGATGTTCTTTTATTATTGAGTAAGGGAATAATTCAAAAATGCATGATTATAAGTATTAAAACTAAGATTACGGCATGAAAATAAATTGATAGATAACTTAAAAACAAAAATTATATTAGGAGTGACTTAATACAGAATTATCACCAGTCATAATAATTTGCAGTTCTTTGTGCTAACTCTTTAAGTTTTGAAAACAAAAAGCTGTTACCATATTTGCTTTCAATAAAAAAAATCTTGTCTCTTTTCATATGTTTATTAAGTATAATCTGCTTGAACAAATATGATATGCTTTTTCATGTGTTTTCACTCTTTACCGGTACTTTTTGAAACATGGATGTTATTCATGCAGCATAGTTTTTAACATATTTATTGCTTGCTTTTATTTCAGAAAAAAGCTCAACTGAAAACAAAAAAGGTTTTAGAACACATTCAAATTTATATCAAAGTTGTCATTGCTTGTTTCCAGATTTTCAACCTTCTAAGACATCATGGCATACAAAATCTCCATTGAATGGAAAATTGAATTTTCATTAAATGATAGACTTTGTCTTTTTCTTTTTTAAAATCTGGAAACAATCCACAGTGACTACTATTATGGTTATAGTTCTGTTCTATCAACCTGAAAAACTAGGTTTGGTGTGACTTCAGTCTTTATGTTTCAATAGTCCTATCACTTGAATCCAAATATTAAAAGGAAAAAAGTCTTCTCTAGCGAAAAATAAATGAATAAATAAAATAAAATAGGTTTAATGTCTTTAATAATGATCCATTGAGTTTGAGTGCACCTCAGTTTTTTGAAACTGTAGAAACCATATAATTTCTTTGTAGTAAAGTTTTATTAAATGTGAACTTTGTCAGCAAACATACTACAATCATTTAGATTTTTTTATTGTGGAAATTAGAATGTTGACATGGAACTATAGAACAGGACTAAATCAGAAAAAAAATCAATAAACCATTGCATGTAGTTGCAAAATTTTAATATACAAAAAAATCTAGATGCACCATTAACAGTTTAGATGGGAAAATTTTTATCACATGTATTCTAGTATCATATGTGTACATATAATGTAGTTCAAAGCTACTGGGTACATGTAAAAAGTGAAAGTGTACATTTTACACTGAAAAAAAAGAAAACATAGATGACTTTAAAGCAATATAATGCCCTCATATCCATTAGAGAGTAGTTTTTAAAATTCAGAATTTAGTAATTTTGTATTGGATAGTTTATATGGTTCCTATAAATTTTAGCAAATATATTGAAATAATTATTTGGTAAAGTAGGAAATTGAAAGAATTTTGCACATTCTGTATCACCCAAGATTGATACCAAAAGAAAAGAAAAAATATTTAACCACAATTAGAGATTTTCTTAATGCTATTTAGATGTCATAGATGTATCAGTAGATTAACATTATATAAAGAACTGAGATATCTGCAATGAATTTAGTTTGTTCACATTGCATGTTATTGGTGTTCTTAAGATTTATTTTTTTTTATTGAAGCAAAATCTGTTTTATCGTAGTTTGCATGATTGCAATCAAAGAAATACCCATACTTGTAATATTTTTACAACTTACAGTTCAACAATATTTCATCTTTGTTCATTTAATTTACTTCTGGATTTATGGAAAACTCTTTCAGATCTAGTCTTTTAACACTGGAATTGGCATTCTTTGATCAATATTATATTGTTGGAAATTTTGGGGGAGCAGACTTTCTTTTCTCTCTTGGTCAGAAACTATATATATTAATTATTGTAAGGTACACAGATGATTTCTATTCTTATTAAGTCATATTTAAGTTTATGTTCCTTTTAATCAGCTGTTGGAGGAGTTACCTGCCCTTAATCGTGGGTCACACAATGTATTTTGTTGCTTATTTAAGTTTAATATTTTATCAGATGTCACAGGAGGTAAAGCCCCTCAAACAGCAATCCAGAAACTGGCAAACAAGGCTCGACAGTTCAACAAGTGTGTAAGAAAAGCAGAGGGGCATCTAAAGAGACTCGGGGACGAAAACGACAGGGAAAGGTACACATTAGCGAACAAGACAAGTCTTTAAAAATAGGTCAACACATTTTGAAACTCTGGCCCTCAGTCTAGCATTTTTTTCCTAATTAATAGAATAAAAACTTGCAGAATTTGTTACAATTCTGATTTTTTTTATCGCATAGTCCAGTTTGTTTGAAATTTATGTTTTAAGAATTAAACAAATTTTGCTTATATCCTAAGACAGATATTTGATATATTCTAGTCCTGTTGAGTTAGAAGATACACTTTAATTTGAATACATCATTGCACTTTTCTAAGAATTTAGAATTCATTTTAAGTACATACATGTATATTATATAAAGTAGATTGATTTGTGAATTAAATTTTTTTTTTCACTTATAAACAATCAATTGGTTCCAGAGTTGAAAATGATAGAGAACAGTTAAGTATTGTGTGATAAACTACATACAGCTAATAAAAAAAATCCATTTGCTTAGTCAGCTGTTGGTATTGTTGTGTTGTAGCTTTCAAAAAAAATCATATTCATAAAATTCATAGTAGTATGTACAATGTACATGTAAAAATTATTAAACCTCCTAATTTTGAATAGAGAATAGGGATTTTGAGTCTGTAATTTGAACAACCCCAGTCCATGTAATAAATATTAACTTTGAAATATACTATAATTTAGATTATGGTATAAATTGTATTAATGTAGAATTTTAGTTAGTGCTACATATTTACACAATGTAAATTATTTGATTTTCAACAAGATCATTAATTCACTCTATTTATCATCAAAGGGTTCTTAAAGAATAAATGGATGAAAATTTATTTTATATTTTTAAAAAGAATTAGATAATTGTAATACACTTGAAATACTTAATGTAAACAGGAAATACTAATGACATTGACAGCTGCAACTTTTAATTCATTAAATCTATTAAACAGATTCACTGCATTAAACTTTAAATGTTTGAACTAATGATATGCATGAAATATCATAGTCTTTGACTAAAAATTTTAGAATTTTATGAATTTCATGATTATTTCTTATAAAGTCAGGACAAAATCCATTTTCTACATAGTCTTACATGTAGATTTTTTTCAACCCCTGAATCTTATATTGAATTAAGATTACATTTAATGATTTTCAGAGCGAGACTTTGGGGAGACTTGGCAAAGACAGCACGTAAACAGGAAGTCTGGGATGTTTGTCGAGTCGCTGCTCGATTCTGTCTCCTATATGATGATGAACGATGGAAAAATGTCCCACCCCCTAAAATGGAAAGGTATGGCTCAGAACTTGGTTTAATTATTTAACTGAAAAATATGGTTTTTAAGAATATGAATATATTGCAGCAGTAATTTTATGTTGGTCTTAAAGCACAGTGGCATCCAGATGACAGTCGCTTCTGGATGATAATTTTGAATACATGTAGTGTATTTTACAAAGCTTTTACAAAGGGGATTTAGTGATATGGCAGGTTTATCTATCCTCTGCATCGACTTTATTCATAATGAAATATTCATATAAATCTTTCATGATTTGTCCTTGTGAATGATTTAAGAGTATGGTAATTCTCTTTGAAATTTAATTTAAACACTATTGTTTTATTTGTGGTGATAGCATAACGTAAGTATAAATAAATTGCATGCTCTTTGATGTGGAAGCTAGTCAGTTTTTCAATCAAAATCATGAAAAATGTCATTTCTCAGCTATTTCAGTCAGCTATTTCTACCTGCAGTGTGCTGTGGTATAAACTGTGATCCTTTGCTTTTTATCTTTGTCAATGCATATACCAAATTTGGTATTCAGTGAACTAGTAAAGTTTTAAACATATATGATATTTGAATTGTTTTTCCATTGATATTTTATCTTCAGTGACAGAAAATCTTTTAATTTTTGCTAGAATACATAGTAAATAAAAAAAATTTTGTCTCTAAATTTCTTGTGATACCTGTATATGAATTTAAAATATTTATATTTTGGTAATGCATAATTATTTTAAAATATATTCAAACCGGTCAAAATTTTCAAATTTTTACCTAAATATATATATTTTTAGCCCAAAACCTTCAGAGAAGGCCAAGACTCCGGCGCCACCTGTTGAGCAGTCTACCACTACAGCTGGGGGTGAAGTGGCTCCCTCTACTGTTGACATGTCAGACAGGAAGAGCCGCATGATGACCCAGCAGTCCATGGGAGGCAGTCGACCCACAAGTCCAGAGCGGACCGTACCACTGTATGACAAAGATCTCATCAGAATGCTGGCAGAGGTCGCCTTCATTCAGGGGGAGGTAAGCAGCATCACAGTGTGCGCGAAAAACTTTTTTCAGCACTAGCAGAAATCGAGAGCTAGTTGTCCAGAACAATTACTAGCCCGAATCAGATTTTGCTAGCCCACATACTTTACAACAGTAAGTACAAGTCATGGTCTTTTTCACCTCGTGGTATTGCAGCCAAGGCCGCCCCTCCTTCCACTTGATTGAATATTGGTCTTGTCCTTTTGACTATATATATTGAAATTAGGAATGTCAACGAATTCTGTCGACTATCGTTCTCATACCGACTATCGACTAAAATTTCTTTAGTCGGTTATTCTTAAAAAATGTATTTCATCAAAGTAATTTTGAATTCAAGGAATAAACTTATATTTGCCATCATTTACATGTAAGTAAATGCGATATTTTCATATGTAAAATAAGGGTATGGTATAACTATTCAAAGGAAATTATTTGTACCTCGATGTATGTTCGGCAAACATGTCTATTAGGAAGAATTATATTAAACTAGTAAACAGCTATTTCAAAAATCGTAAATACATGAAACAGTTTATATGAGAATAATTAAAACGTATTTTATTACTTTTGATATTAGATTTATACAATCAATAAATGTAAAATGCATGCAATTTAAATTTATCCCAAGCTCTTGCTCTCTCTTTGTTTTTATAAGAGGCGCGCTTTAATTGTTTACCTGTCAAAGATTTGACGGACACGCATAATTGGCTTCAATTATGGGGCACATGTAAAGATAGAACAAATTTTTCGTGTGATATCTGCATTTAGATAAAATTGCAGCTAGTATATGAATTTTGAAAGAAATGACAGATACATATTGATGTAGTTTTTATTGCACTACGTACACGTTTACAATTCAGAAATTCGTTGTACTAGTATTATGGTGATAGCGTAGGTTAAATATTGTGAACTAGTCTGTGAAAGACAAACAGTGAAACTGATACGAAAAAATAATTAAATTAAACGAATATTCAACTATCGTTCGACTAAAGCATCCGACTATTGGTAATTCAGGAGCATATTGACTATATATATTGAGATATCATTTCAAGTTAGATTTTAGTATAAATTATGTCCCACTTAAATTATCAGAAATTAAGATCATGTGGACAAGTCCTATGTGAGTTAAGATAAGATGAATTTATCCTTTATCTTATCATATTTCATTGAATATAAAATTTTACTTTGAATCAAAATCCTTTACAGTGATTGGATAAAGTCTCTGTCAGCTGATGCCACTCAGAGTTTCCTGAGGGGTCTGGAGTTGGGGGTGGAGCTAGAGGAACCCTGGCTTGTGTGCAGTGCTGCAGCTTATATCTGGAACTATAACAATCATGTTCTGACACAGAGGAGGCACAGAGAGGTCATGGACACTTTGACAAAGGTCGTAGAGGGCATTAAAAAAGTAGGACATGATGGGTAAGCAAAAGGTCATATTGGCCTTTATGATTCATTGTATTTAAATTTGATTTCAATAGGTAATTTCATTGACCTCTTTTTTCATGATATTTATTTTCTACATATTTTATGTCCTTTTATGCAATTTTATTTTTTTTGAAAATTAGAATTTTAAAGTATTAATGACTATTTTGTTTTACTTTACTTAAACAGAGAAACCATGATGTTGGTGAACATTTGCGGAGCTCTGGCCTTCGCTTTGATGTGCCCCTGGATACCAGATGAACCAGTCAAAGAAATGCAAGAACCCTCCTCTCCCTCCCCCACAGCTGCCCCATCCCCAGGGGGAGGCAAAAAGGGGGGTAAAGGAGGACCCCCTGCTGCTGCCTCCCCAGCCAAGGGAAAAGCTCCCCTTCCCAGCAACCAGGTCACCATCAGCCCTGACGCCATGCCTGATCTCAAAAAAGCCATCGAAGTATGAAAATTTTATGTCTGAGAATATTGATCATAGTTGATAAAAGTGTAGTATTTATTACACAGCACTTCAAAGGAAAAAAATTACCTCCTCTGCAAATGATAAGTTATAAAGAGAATATTTAGGTTAGTGTTTTGCTATTTGACTTAAAATGTTGATATTATTATCGGCAAGCACCAGTGTTTCTTGAAAACCCTCGAAGTACATGTATTTCCAAGATTATTGTACACATTATCACATTATTTTCACTACGTAAAGAGTAGAACATCTATGTATAATGGTAATTGTAGGTATGTGACTATGCTATAGAAGTAACCAATGGCAGTAAGGAGGCTAATGTTGTTCCTATTGGGGTGAGACAACCATTGCTACAGACCTGGGTCCTGGCTAAACAGATGGCTCAACAGCAGATCCCCAAGACACTGGGAGCTGATGACGAGGTAAAATATGTGTCAGGGCTGTAGATCTGTAATGAGGGTTAGTAAGCTCCTAGATATACACACTGTAAGGAGAAGTATTTATGTTTTTCGAGGACCAATAAATCTGCCAAGGTTCTATGTCTCCGATTTTTCAATGGAGCTATTATTAAAAGCATAAACTGATTTCTTGCTATGCTTATTCATCAGTGAAATACATTAGAACAATGTTAAACTTTAAATCAACTGTTTAAGATATAGATTTTCCTGTTTGTAGCCCTACTCTGAGGGTCAGAGACAGATGACCAGGGCTATTGTAGCAGTAGAGCTGGTACATGTGTCCAGGAATGGAATCATGGAATTCAAAGAGGCACCAAATTGCAATGAGGTAAAACACAAAGAACATCATTTACTAGTATTTCTAGTATTAATACTAGCTAGATAAGTACAAGTTAAGTACACATTTTTGTGTGTTTTTGGTAACTCAAATTTTTTTTTAATTTCCAGATTGCTAACATGATAGAGGACTGTAAGTGGTCTGATAAGTTTGTGGAGCTCCAGCTGTGGACCCGCCTGGCCTCCCTGTCCTACCAGGCCAAGAACCACCAGCTGGTGGTGCGGTGCAGCAAGAAGGCCCTCAGGTTCGCTACTGTTGGCACTCAACCAAAGAACAGGAAAATGGACGCGTAAGTCTCAGCTAGCTATCTTTTAAAAAAGCTGAAAATTAGGCTGTCTTTTTAATCTGAAAGTGAACTTTTTTCCACCTGAAACTAAAGCTATCTTTTTAATAATTATTGGTAGGTAACTTTTAGATTAATTGTGCTTTGATGTATTGTTCTCTGCATAAATATTTATCATTTTTATTATTATCTGTGTCAAAAGATTTTATTTCCATTTGAAATAATTTGTTATTAAACTGATTTCTTTCAGTCACCGCTATGCGGTGGAGCAGGAGATGTTGTCCTACGCCAGTGGTGTGCTGGGTCAGAGCCTGATAGACAACATGTCTGGTAAGAACGCCATCAGACGCGAGGCTCTGGAGGCATTCCTCAACAGCGCAAGGTAAAATATCTCAAGAAAAAGCTCAGTTAACAACATACTCTGAAAACATGAAAAATGAATGATGATTTTAAAGTGAAACAATAGAGAAATGTTATAACAAAGTTTTCCAATGTCATAATATATGATTTTTATGGATGCATCAAAGAAATTCCCAAAAATACAAAAGATTTTTTCATGATTTATATTGATTGTTTTTCTTTCAGATTTGCAAGAAATGCAGAAAATTACGATCTAGTGATGACAGCTGTCCGTCACTACTGGAATGCCTGCCTCCCTCTTGTCAGTCAACCAATAGAAAGAGAACTTCTCAGAGAGCCAATTAAAGTCATGCTCCAGTGTATAACAGCCACAGCAGAAAAAGTCAAGAAGACTGAGGTATGCCTCTTATGCTTAGGGAGGGAAGGGAGGAGCCTAATCCTTGTCAAAAGATTGCAATTTTTTTTTAATTTCATTTTCTCCAAATGCATTGTGGCAACGCACTTTGAAAAAATTACGCACTTTGAAAAAAATTTTCAAAGTGCGTTAATTTTTGGGATCATGTTAACGCACTTTGAAAAAAAAATTTTTTTTTCAAAGTGCGTTAATATCGACCATATTAACGCACTTTGAAAAAAAATTCTGCATGGCTTAGTCAATATTCCTACAAATCTCAGGTATGATAAATTATCATTTGAACCTGATTTGATACTTTTTGTCCCCCGCTTGAAAAGTGGGGGACATTAATTTGGGTCTATCTGTCCGTATGTCCGTCTAGCTGTCCGTCCATCCGTCTTTCTGTAACGCTTTCGTTTCCACACGATATCTCGACAACCCTTTGAGCTTTTGCAATGAAATTCAACATAACAGAATCCTTGTGGCCTTAGGAAGACCCCTTTTGAATTTGGGGTCAAAAGGTTAAGATTCAAGGGCGTAAAGAACTACGAAGGATAGTATTATTCTTCCGCCTATCTCTAAGTCAATTCTCAAAAGTTAACATATTGGAATGATTCTCAAAATTTTTATAGATATTCATATGAATTTTCATAAAACTTTACTTATTTGGGATACCAAAGAGAGATAACTCTATAATTTTGGCAAAACTTGTGTTTTCACTATAGAAATCAACGGAAAACTGAAAAATATTTTTAAAACATACCCCCCCCCCGTGAAACAAAAATTCCTTATTTACCGGTAATATGGACTGTCATTTTACAAATTTATGCCAAAGCTTTTTGTGTTTCACGGGGGGGGGGCATATGTTTATAGACAAAACACGAAAAAAAAAATGCTTATTTTTCACCAATTTTAAAGCTATTTAAAACTAAATAATTGTATTTTATTAATGTATATATGCTTTATTTATTTGCGTAAGACATGAGAAAAGATATTAGATACATGTTATCATATTTATGATTATTTCAAAATATGGCGATTCTTGAAAGTTCATCACTATATGATATATCCCATCATACGTTGCGAGGGGATAATACTGTTGTCTATTTCTAAAATATATGTCTAATTCCTTTTGTTTCATGAAAATTTTTTCAAAGTGCGTTAAATGTTTACATGGTGTAAAATTATGATGTACAGTCTTAACGCACTTTGAAAAAATTTTTCAAAGTGCGTTGATTTGGTCCCAAATTCAACGCACTTTGAAAAAATTTTTCAAAGTGCGTTAACCTGGTCCCAAAAATTAACGCACTTTGAAAAATTTTTTCAAAGTGCGTAATTTTTCAAAGTGCGTTGTAACAATGCATGTTGATAAAATTGTGTCTAAAATTTTTCATTCTAAGTCAAGTTGAATTATTTCATTGAGGTTGTAAAAAGATATGTTTGAAATTAATAAGAGATGTTATACATGTGCATGCATTGTTGCAAACCACAGCCAAAATGTACGATCCTCTCCCATTCTGGCATGAGAAGAGAATATTTCTTAGCTCATTAAAACATTGACCAATGGGAGTAAAGCATAGTTGGATAATGAACTTTGAGGCGACCTTTCAATACCCAATCGCAGTGTACGAAATACCGCTGATGTAAATTGTTGATTTCAAATTGCAATGGAAACAAAACTTGTCATTGACTGAATATGATGTCACCATGGAGAGGCGTAAATATTCAAGATTGTGTCACTTTTTGTGATCAAGCAGCCATGGGTAGGAGAGAGCTGTATGTGGACTCCGTATTGTGGCTTGAGACGATGATGTGCATGTTGAATGTACATATATAATCGAAAATGTCAGATAAGCATACTAGTCCAGTTCTGACATAGAAATGTAAAGCTTAATCTTTTATTTATATTTATAGGAGAAGACAGAGGAGGATGAGGAGGAGGGAGGTGAAGATGATCAGGGTGTGGAGACAGCCCCAGAGAAACCAAAGAGTTCCACCATCGGCAGTCCCGAGGATGACCTGACTCTGAGGGCCTCCATGTATGGAGTTCTGTTTCAGTCTTATGCTGACAAGGTGAGCTTACATTTAAAGAGTTTCCCAAGACTGGGGTAATAAAAAAAAAAACAACTTATAAAAACCAATTCAAAGTCTTACATTTAGTATGTACCAAGCATGAGTGATAAAATTTAGATGGAATTTATATTTAATAGTTTGTCACCTTTATAAGACATTGTCTAAAAGAAAGGTGATTTTTTAATCCTTAAAAATATTGGAGAAGTAAGATAACTTTGAAATTCAATGATTTTTGGATTTTTTCATCAGCAACAATGGGAAGAGGGTCTTCAAGCTATGGACCAGGCCATTAATGACATGCCACGAACCAAGCACAGACTGTAAGTGTATCGTCAAACTATGAAGCAAGGCACAAATTGTAAATATAATGCCAAACTCTAAATGACATTGATTAACAAAATATTTCTGCTGTATTTTCATTGCATTGAAATTAAAGTGCTCAATTTTGTCAAACTTATCTACTTTAAAAATTCTTAAAGATCATAGAGGTTATGATGTTATAAATTGCAAAGAAATCGAATATTTAATAAAATAACTGTCTTTTTTGTAGATTGATATTTAAGCACAGGGTTATGACCAAAGCAAAACTAGGACGAAGAGTTAATATGGATATTCAGAAATTCAAGGTAATCTTAGAGTTTATAACTGTTGCTTCTGTCATCACAGTTAATCTTCTCTAATAACATTTAGTTTTGATGAAATTCCAATGTTTCAAAATTAAAATAAAACTTTATAATGATTAATATTGCATCTAACAAATAATATGCATGTATATTCAATCCAAATATTGATATATATCAGCTTTATGGAAGAAGAGTAAGTGAAGTCATTTGAAAAATTATCTTCATCTTGATTTAATTCACAGAAAGTTGCAAAGTTTTTGTTTTTTTGGTGCAATTATTTATTTCCAGGAAGTTATTAATTTTATTATAGTGTTTATAGAAGTGTTTTAATTTCACTAGGTATATGCTTGTCTTTTTTCAAAAGTTGATTTTAAAATTTTAGTCTTGCTTGACCAGTTCTTCATATAAAATATTATTTCAACCTTTAATTTTTTTTTCAAAATAATAGTAGTGATTGTGTTTTTCTTCAGTTTTATATGCATTTGAAGATAAATGCAGTTTTAAAAATATATCATTATGGTTTGATAAATGACGTACATTTCCAGCTTTGATTTTTTTTTGAAAGGGGGGGGGGGGTGTTGATATGAGCATTTTTTTTTAATTTTGATTTGTTAGATTTAATTCTAATAAATGTGATGTTTTATTGCATCTGCAGGAAGAGGTAAAACAAACAGATTAGAAACTGTAGCTTGAATAAGCGACAATAACTATAATAGAGCTTACACAACACAGATGCTAAGATACATACTGACACTGCCTTCCTACAAATTGTGTGTCCCTCCATAGCGTAGAAAATAATAAGTTTCAGTTGGAGTTTGTATATGTTTAAAAGAACAGGAAATGCATGGCAATGTCCTGATATTAAGGGGTAAAATGATGTACTGCTTAGCACCAGAGAATGTCAGCCGTTAAAATGCAGTCAGCACAACCCACTTATTAAACAAATTCCCTCAAAGCTTGTTTGGCTTACATTTATTTTGAGTTTTGTTGCAAGAATTTATACATATCAAGTTTAAGAAAAAAAGGCAGAATGTACCAGTAATGAAAAGAGATAACATTATAGAAAGTGTCTAAAATTTTTAAATGGGGCTATTTGATGATTTCATTTTGCAACTCATTTGGACCCCTACTTACAGTTGTACCCCACACTTCTATAATGCTGCAAATGACCAGAACATCAGTAGGATTTACATGTAGTTGAAAAGCTCTGTTCAAATTTCCAGTGATCAACTTAAAATCTGAATTTAAAAAGTATACATATACATCATGCAAGTGTGGATTTATTTTTACAGTGACGGTAGAGGATATATAGAATATAAACTCTTGTTTAACATTAAAATCTGTATTTAGAAAATATATATACATCATGTATTAAATATGCAAGTCTGGAATTTTTTTTTACAGTGACTGTAGAGGATCAATGTAAACTCTAGTTTAAAAAAATGTAATTTCAAAAAAATATGAACATCATGTGAATTTATTTATTTTGTAAACTCTCAATATTACTATGTAAAGTGTTATAAGCCTTTTATGTACTTTAAAATATGTCAGAGTTAAGCCCTGTGTACACGGAGAATCTGTAGATTTGATTCTAGTGAATTAAATTAAGCTTACAAAGAGAGATAGAGTAATGTTGAGATGTATCTCCCCTCCTTGCTTCAGTAAATCCAGTGTTTCCAAGCAATGATAGTTGTATATCTGTTAACTTGTGTAATCATGAAATTAGACATTTTAAATATTTTTTATTAGAAGCTAATAATACATCGTACAGATTTACATTACTTCTAATGATAAAAGAATGACATTTATCATTTTTAATTGTTTTCTTGAGATTGTGATATGAAATTTTGAATACACAGCATATGGCTATAACCTAACTTTTAGTTCTGTACCATGATATATATTTTGATTTTATTTTACTAATTTATTCTGATTTCCTGTGACAGGATGAGAGTGAGGACTATGTAGCTCACATGTGGAGAAGAGTCGCCCTGAGCTCAAAAGAAACACTGGAACAGCTGATCTCCTATCAGGCAGCTATTGAGGCCCTGAATGTAAGCAAACTGCACATGCCTATTTTAGTCCTTTAAAAAATTACATGAATTCAAAGTTTAAATAGATTTACCAATTACTGGAAATGTTGATACAATTAAGATAATATTTTTTCTGTCATTCTTTATTCATTACATGACATTTCCACCCGAAACTCCCTGTGTGAAGATTTATGCAAGGAAAATGGCATTGTTTCATATTTAATTAGTATTGTAATACACTTACTTTGTTCAAAGAAAAATGTCAATCTCCGGACTCATTATATTAAACATTATCAATTGACCATTTCAGAGTCCAAGCAACGAGTGGCTTAAGGTGGACTACCTACTGGAGTTTGGACAGTGGCTGTACTCCAATGAGTTCCCCCTCCAGGATGCTGTTGACCAGCTGGAGTGGGCAGTGGACATCATGTTAAACATGAAGACTGAGACCGACCTCAAAAAGGAGGCAGAAGCAGGTCAGAGAACTATACACTCTAAAGAGATTTTCTTTTCGATCATTTAATCAGAGTTTTAAATATTAGAAAACCGTCTAAGTGATGTACTTCATTCTGGAAATGAGTAAGTGTAGAATGGAATTAGAATCAATATAGAAAGAGGAGGTTAGCTTTTTAATGTTTTAAGGAAAGAAAAGTTTCTGAGTATCCTGTTAATGTATTACTATCTGCGTATTTTTGTTGACTTGTAACCTTCCTTACAACAGCATTATCTTCAGTTGATGTAAAATCTACTCGTAAGTGTGTTTCCCGTGTATAATGTGTAGCATCCAGGAGATGGGCTAGAATTTTATTGCTTAGCTTTCATCTGTTTCAAATCTGTGATAGAAAATCTGCCGGTTCAATGACTTTATCTTGAAATTTAATATATAAATGAAAAGTTTTCAATACATGTATTAGAAAAAAATAAAGGGGAGGAATAATTTTAAGATATTTAATATTTCTTTAATATGTCAAAAGTAGTGCTAGTTCTGCTCTATACTGTAAAATGCTGAAGTTTTTTTTTATTATCTTAAATAATTAGTTACATGTAAACCAAATAATTATAAACTGATTTTAGTTTTTGTGCTCAAAATACATATCTGTTAATTAGAATATTTAAGCGTATGAAAAACCTATTTAAACAAATTGAAAATGTCTGCATGCAGCACTTGTTGGTGTCACGGACACGTCATATGTAGTATGACACAGCATGGTAGGGTGTTATGATGTGTTTTGTTTTGTCGTACACAGCAAAAAAAGGCTCGGCTGCTGGGAAACGTGGCAAAGGTACACAGTCAATGTCAGGCACACTCTTCACTCCTTGCACTCACTCTCTTTTGTAGCAAACCTTTTAGTGATGAAGTATTCAATATTTTCTTACCCATACTCTCTATAGAAAAATGTAGTTCCATAAGTGTATCACTTGTAGATGTATTTTATCTAATATTGAACAAAACAATCGGAAATCAGTAAATCTGCACATCTGTCTGGAGTTGCAGTAATCAAAAGAAGCTTATAATCTCCATTCAATAACGTATGCATTTGATATGTGTATGAATACTCTGTATTGCTATGATTTTAAATAGCCATCATGAAGTGCATGTTGATCTGTTTGAGATTTTGAATTGTAAACCAAATTTGAGTAGTTTTATAATACCTTGCACATTATGTTGTGAAGCTATTCTTTTTCACTTTGAAAAGTGAACATTTTTGCATCTTTCTTTAGAAGTTAATCTTTGCAGATATCTGTTTTAGCACAATCTCATACCTTTGTTTTTACTTGTGTTTAGCATACGATCTTATTTTCCTTATTTGTCTGTAGTTATTATAAGTTATACAGTAAAACATGCTTATATTGAACAGTCATCTGAATTGATGCAGCAAAGTGATTATCATTCCCCATGACTTTAATATATATTAAAACTTAACTGATATAAAGAATTTTGCTTATAACAAAGCATAATTGTCAATCCTTGGCATTTTGTTTTAAGCATGTTTTACTGTATTAATTTATGGATTTAGAGATTGAATCAAACTACAATGTACCACCTTAACTAGGAGTTCTATATCCCCTTTTCTATTAGAATCTTGAACATATTTTTTTCTCAGTGGCAAGCATAGCACTCTATCATTCATTAGTCTGGATTTCATAAACAGTGACTCTTCATCAGCAGTTTAATCATTTTCCTTGCAAATCTTTCTTTTACACAATATGAGCTGTTCACTTAAAAGCAGTTTTTACTACACTATCTACTGCAGGTTTTGTAAATGTATAATGAGTATGTTGCAAAAGATTTTCAAATATAAAATATGGGTCTAAATTGTAATAATAAAGATATCTTTCATATTTTGTTGAAGGATTTTACATTAAAAATATTACATAATATAAACCTTGTGCGTACATTTTATGACAATCCAGGAAACAAATTATATGTTTGAAGTGTTCCTAGATTAAAAAAAAATTTACATCCATAACAGGAGCCGCAAAAGGAAAAGCCGACAAGAAGAGGCCAGGAAAGGGGTCCGCCAAGGCTAAGCCACCCCAGATGCAGACCCTGAGTAAAACCCCCATCCCCGGGGACAAAGCGTCTGACGCTGCCTCTGACAGTAAGAGTGTGACCAGTGAAGCTGACAGTGACCTGATGGCTGAAGGCATCATCCCAGTGGCTAAACAGGCCATCATCGGTCAGTGATAACCCCAGAATATGTTTGTTTAAAAATTCATTCTTTGCTCTTAAAGTCATTTTTTTATGCCCAGTCTTTGAAAAAATTACATATGAAATAATGTTATTTATAGTCAAACATACATTGTATTTGTACAATATTTTGCTCATAGTAGAAATTTGCAACACATAAGTTTTTAACTGATTTTCATCATTGTATGTTTTCTGATATGTATACCCCACGCAAGTAGTTGCGGGAGGTATAATGTTTTTGACCCGTCCATCAGTCAGTCAGTCCGTCAGTCAGTCAGTCAGTCAGTCAGTCCTCTTTTTTTGTCAGCGCAACTCCTATTTCGTCAAACTTTGCAGATATTTAGGACACAATGTGTAGATGTGCATATTCCCAGGAAATTCCGATTCCATTATTTTTTCCGGGAAATTCTGCACTTTTTAACTTAGGCATTTGGCCATACCTTGAATATAGAGATGAACAGTTTGTCAGCGCAATTCCTCATAAACCGCTGCACAGAATTTCGTCAAACTTTGCAGATATGTAGGACACAATGTGTAGATGTGCATATTCCCAGGAAATTCCGATTCCAATATTTTTTCCGGGAATTTCCGCACTTTTTAACTTAGGCATTTGGCCATACCTTGAATATAGAGATGAACAGTTTGTCAGCGCAACTCCTCATAAACCGCTGCACAGAATTTCGTCAAACTTTGCAGATATATAGGACACAATATGTAGATGTGCATATTCCCAGGAAATTCCGATTCCATTATTTTTTCTGGGACTTTCCGCACTAAATACTTAGGTTTTTGGCCATACCTTGAATATAGAGATGAACAGTTTGTCAGCGCAACTCCTCATAAACTGCTGCACAGAATTTCGTTAAACTTTGCAGATATTTAGGACACAATATGTAGATGTGCATATTACCAGGAAATTCCGATTCCTTTATTTTTTCTGGGACTTTTCACACTAAAAACTTAGGTTTTTGGCCATACTTTTTACAAAGAGTTGATAAGTTTGTCAGCGCAACTCCTCTTAAACCTCAGATATTTAGGACATATTAAACCAAGAAAAAATACTCACCCCCTCCCCAACCACTTCAAATTAATGTTTGGATTTGTATAATGCCAAGAAATTTTTATTCCATTATTTATCTAGAAACTTCTTTACACATTTAAATTTCCTCATATGCAAGACAGCTCACCTCAACGAAGTTGGGGGAGCTTATGTAATACCCTCGGCGTCGGCGTTTCGTTGGCGTCCCAGGTTAAGTTTTTTGGAGCAGTTTTCTTTTTAACTACTTCTATGTCCTATATGGATTAGACATTGGAGGATGGTTCTGGTGTGTTTCACATTCAAAGTTTCAGATGCTGCAATTTCAGCAGGAATGACCAGGTTAATGGAGCAGGTTAACAGAGTTTTTGGTGCAGTAACTATAAGCCCATGTTGACCAAACTTGCATGGATGATACATCTAAGGATGCATACTATCGGGCTTGCTTTTGCTGAATTGACCTACATTTTCGGGTGAACAATGCAGGTTTCATTTCCACACTATTTATGTTGACCAAACATTTTAGGCCATATTTTGAATATACAGATGAACAGTTTGTCAGCACCACTCCTTTTAAACTGTTGTACATAGTTTCGTCAACCTATGCAGATATTTAGGACATATTCCATTATTTTATCCCAAAGAGCTTTGCCTATTTTCCAAGAAAAAATACTCCCCAAACTTCCCCAACCACTTCAAATTAATGTTTGGATTTGTATAATGCCAAGAAATTTTGATTCCATTATTTATCTAGAAACTTCATTCCACATTTAAATTTCCTCATATGCAAGACATTTTGATGTGAAGATTTTTTTGCAATTATTGCCTTTTTTGATCTATACTATGTATTTAAAGTGCACTAGCTGTGCCTTTCATTATGTGTTTCACCATCAAGTTTTGGGAGAGCGTGGGGTATGTGAGCTAGCTCACTTTTTCTTTCATTTTAATTACCAGGGTAATAATGTTTGCTATTTTACCTTTATTTATATAGGTGTGTTGCCTAACAACCCTGGCCTGACCATTAATGACTTGGATGACGTCAGACAGATTGATGGACTATTTAGGGCCCACGTCCTGCTGGCAGAATTAGCTGGACGCTCATCTCAAGACTACAAGGATTATCTCCTCATGGCCCATGCCTATCTTGTTAGACTTTGGCAGGTTGGTATCTCTATCATATGCTCCAAATTGCACAGTTATGATACTTGTAAGTAAAAGACACAAATCTTAATGAACCAAAAATAATTCAATTTATAATCTTGTTATTTGTGTCACACCTAACTTTTTTAAGTAGAACCCCTGAAACTTCTTTTAAAAAAGCTTTAAAAAGTGCACTGATCTCTTTTAGATCACAGTTCCAATATCTGGCCCAGTAATGAAGGAAATTGCCAAGAATCCCCCCGCAGCAGCTGATGATAAAAATGCTGCCTCAGCCAAGGGAAAAGGCAAGGGAGGGAAGGACGACAAGAAGGAGCCCGTCAAGGAAAAGCCCAAGAGGAAGGGCCCACTCGACATACTGCCCACCACCGTGGAGGAATGGGCACAGTATGACATCCCTGATGAGGTCTGTGTTTTCAGAGCTTATTGTTTTATACCCTGTATAATTGGGTATTGCTGGTAGGATAAGAAGAAAATGTTGCAAAATTGTTCAGCTGTCTTACTCTAATATTCATTTTTTTTTTTGTGACCTTCTCCAGATTATTGAAGCATTCCATCATGATATGATGAAAGTGACAGGAGTTAACTCCCATACCATTCAGAAGCCGGTAAGTTATTAGGGCCCCACAAGGATTTGCGGGTGCCCTATAGTAATCACTCTGTCCGTCCGTCTGTCCGTCTGTCTGTCTTTCTGTCTGTCTGTCTGTCACTCTTCCGTCCACAAATTTTCTGTTTTTTTCTAAGAACTTTTTTTGTGGTTGCCCAATCAAGTTCAAATTTGGTATGGTAGTTCAGTAGGCAGAAATACATATTTTGATGCAAAGTTTGGTTCTCTATGTCTTCTGGTTTGGAGCTGGGGTGGTGTGTTGCATAAGAATGAATGGGCAACTTTTTTTATTGTTGCCCAATCAAGTACAAATTAGGTATGGTAGTTCAGTAGGCAGAAATACACATTTTGATGCTAAGTTTGGTTCTCTCAGTCCCCTGGTTTGGAGCTGGGGTGGTGGGGTAGATTCCTTAACTTTATATACGAAAGCATTGGCAAAGAGAGATAACTGCTGAAGATGTTCCCATTGTAAACTGAATGCTGCTATGAGTCCCTTGGGATTAATTAGCTTTCCTCCTGAAGAAAATCCAGAGCATTATCTTTATCTGTCAAATTGAGATGAATTACCACCTCTGTCTGCAAATGAAGTTTGTTTTGAAGTTAAGTCAATCTGGAATGCTATGAACACTCTGAAATGTGGATTTAAATATAAATTTTTATAATTTAAATTTGTTTAATAGTTATGATTTCATTGAATTCTAATAACAAGAAATAGATTAAAGAGGATTTTTTGATTTACTTTTTTCACTTTATGTTAATTCAAGAATATTATTAATTTTTAGGATAGTTGTATAAAAACCCCATTCTAACATTAATACTGAAAAAGTTCTTTTGTAACTGAAGAAGAAAATGATGAGAGAGGTACAATTAATCCCTTGGGATTAATTATCTAGCCTGCTGCAGAAAATTTAGTAGGCTTTTCTTTATCTGTCACTTTAAGATTAATGAAAACCTTTGTCTGCAACTGCTGTTTGTTTGAAGTTAAGGTCAAGCCTTCATGATATTTGCATTCATTGAAGGTTGGCATTTTATATAACACAAGCTTCATAATTGTTTAAATATACATTCAATGTTAAGTTGTTCTTTACTGCCTAATGTAAATACAAGGATATTATTTTCAGGTTTTTGAATATTCAGGAATAATCTTGAAATTTTAAGAATACAGTTGCTGTTGCTTATTCTTCGTACATTTTTTAATCATTCCGTAAGCTGCACCCTATTAATTCTACCCCATGGCAGGGCCCTTGCTGACTGGTCAGTTTTCTAGTTGTTCATATTATATAGCCACTGTTAATAAGATGTAAGGTGCAAACAGTTTTGCTAGCATTGGATTCATTTTTGTTGCAGGCTTATGTTATACATTATCTTTTTAAAATAACTTGACTGTCTTTAGATTGACATACTCCAATCCATATTGCTTCTTGATGCTAATGTTATGATTTCCTCTGTAGATGCTGACTCTGTACTACCTGGACACTCTGGTGAACTGTTTGAGGGACATTGGCTACAACCACCTGACATTACCAATCCTGGCCTTTGAAGATCTGATGTCCAGAGATTTACTGAAGAGTGAACCCCTCCATGTCCTAGTTCATGCCAAGTATGAATCTAGACAGTCTCACTTCTGGAACTTAAAATACAGAAGCTGTGATTTATGTATCAAATAATTTCTTAAGGGAGGGATGAATTCAAAGTTTTTATTTATTTTCGGAAGAATGACATATGAATTTTCAATTTTTATTCCCAGGGCTGCTGAAGTGTGTTTGGAGCTGAATTTGAAGAATGGGTACAACTTCCATGAGAAAACAGCGGGCCCTGTTGTATTGAATGAGGAGCATCAGGCACTGTGAGTTATCAGTTTAAAAGGACATTTGTTTCCAGGTTTTGATTTCTATCGAAAGTTTAAAAACAATTTCTACATATTCATTTGCATGGCTTGTGAATTCAGTAAATATCAATGGCCATCTGCATCTGTTTGCATCCTTCAGAAGTAAAATCTAATGATAATTTGTCAATTGAATTATTATACCTAGATAAGTGTATCAAACTTGCAATGAAGTTACTGTGTTATTTTTGCATTTTATAGGTCTAGAGATGAAATAGCCCTGTGGAAGGAGAAACAGATGCAGGTGGAGAGAGAGGAAGCCAGAGTAAAGGAGTCATTGGCCAAACTGGCAGAGGAGAGCAGGGGGAGTCAGCTGACCAAGAGGACAACCAACAAAGGAGGGACATCCCTCCCAGACAACAAGGTAAGGTTATAGGTCAGCTGACCAAGAGGGCCACCAACAAAGGAGGAACATCCCTCCCAGACAACAAGGTAAGGTTATAGGTCAGCTGATCAAGAGGGCCACCAACAAAGGAGGGACATCCCTCTCAAACAACAACAACGTAAGGTCATAAGTCAACTGACCGAAAGGGCCACCAACAAAGGAAGATCTTAATAAAGGGGAATAATTAGGGAAATCAGCTGATTTAAGAATGGACAATACATGTGATATATTGAATGATTTTTTTTATAGGAGGAAACAATAGAGTCCCATCTTGGTAAAACTTTGGGTAATGTTACATACAGAGATGTGTGGACAGACACCGCTGAGCTGCTTATCAGACAGGTAAGATTATCGCAAACAAATTCTATTTAGAACTTAGTGATTTGTCTACAAAATAAAAAAAATATGAAAGAAGTCAGGACTTAATAGTATTTTGTTATTTTACCATTACAGTGTCACTACCAGAGTGCTAGGGAATTCCTGAATGAGGCCAACAATGCAGCCCTGGTAAGAACCTCAGCAAATCAAAATATGCTACTTCTATCAGTACTGCATCTAACAGTTAATACAGAATTTATCCAATAATTATTTGGGACATGTTTATTATAAGGGTTTGTATTTTTTAGGCCTTTGAAGACAATGTTTTACGAGGCAGAATCCTGTATCTGTTGGGTCAGTTATCATTAGAGGAAGCCCAGTACAAACAGGCCTTTAATTTAGCTCTGGAAGCGCAGGTTTGTATCCATGCTATGAAATAGATCTGATTTTAGCAAGTCTTTTCAATTCATGCAGAAGCGTAAAATGCCTTCATCTTTACACAGAGAGAATTTAATGGTGATGAGATGTTCTGGTACAAGACAAGCATGCTGATGGTGGAGGCCACTTTGAAAGATTATGAGAATCGTAAAGCACAGAGAATTGTGAGTTCAAACTGTTTATAAGGATTTTATAGAAATAAATACAGCTGGAAATGTCCTTAACCTGCAAGCTCTAATATTTGTACGGGATTATAAAGCATAATGAAATTATTGTCTCTAGGCCCGAGGAATACTTGTCCACAGTATCAATGATATCTGTATATGATTATTATAAATATTGTCACCAGGCCCGAGGAATACTTGTCCACAGTATCAATGAGTTCCAGAGGATTGCTGACGAGAGACCAAACAGAACAAGTGTCAACACCTACATCCTGGCCATGATGGAGGCCAAGTAAGTAGAAGAGGTTCTTATATAAATCGCTAATTAGCTGAAAAAAAGAAAGACATTCAGAACTTCATTCACCTGACTGGTTGATAGATTAGTACATGTACAACAATATGTGAAAATCTGATTTTATATTTGATTGTGATGATAAAGAGGGAGGGATAAACTGAAAAATATAGGGAGATAAATACTGATAGATATTCTGATTTTGACAGACTGGCCAGTGTCCAGACTCAGGTGATACTCAGTGGAGACAAGGACATCAATGACCCGAAAGTCATGAAGAAAATGCTGGCCGCTTGTGAGGTCAGTCGGATTACTATGTGAATTCAGGTTGTTCAGGGGAAACAACTCTGTGATAAGTAAAAAAAAAAAATTCTGTAAATGCTGATAATTTTCTAAAAAGAAACGCAGGCAAATTCAGTGTGCAAAATCTGATACAATCTCTGCTAAAAATATTTTTTATATGATAGAAACCTCTCTCCTAGACTTGTTCATACTTCTTTAATTTAGACATATGGAATGAAAAGTTTTGATGATTTCATCTCAGATTAAGACTCTTTTAACTTGGAAACTTCATGAAAAAAATTGCTGATGTTTTTATCCTTTTACATGTAGAAATTTGAGTCTTCCTCGGAGAAACTGATAAAGTTAGGCTACAAGAGGGAAGCTTTCCCTGTGATGAAGGAACATGCTATGGTGCTGTGTAACATGGCTAGACACTCAATAGAGAAGGAGATCATACACACATACTATCTACAGTCCATGATGGTGCTGAAGGAGGGGGTAAATCTGGCCGAGGAGACCTTCAGAGACACACTCACCCTCACATCACTGCAAGAGGTGACAGAAAAGTTATCTAGATAATAGGAAAATTTTAATTGATCTCTCAATATTTAAATTTTTTCTTTGATAAAATATTCTTTTGATTAAGTTATTTTTGGTCCCTAACAGTAACTGCAGTAGTGTTATAGATATTAAGATCATCTTAAATGTAAGCACTGACATTTTTTCATGAGATAATTTTGTATATTCTAGGTGCGTAATGTAAGCCTGCCCACTCAGAGAGAGCTAGCAGACATGTACATCGTGTGTGGAGAGATCATGCTGGAGTTGTTCAGAGTTCATGCCAAGGAAACTCGATCTCAGCAACTGGAAGATCTCAGGAAAGGATCAGTGGTCAAGGTAAACTCAAACTGGAACTTCAAATCAAACACACTAAAATAACTTCTCTGAACGCTTTACTTATTATCTGTCTGTCTATTGTTTGGAAAATTGAAGTATTGGGCAAATACTTTTTTTCTTTTCAAAAGCTAACGGTACATTTATATCCATCAGATTTTCTTATAAAATATCTTTTCAGAAGTCTGTGGAATCAAAATGACTTTATAATGTTCTAGTAAATGCATTAAGTTTTTATTTTTAAGATGGTGGAGGACTTTATCAGTACAACCCCACAGTTTTATTCTCACATGGAAAAAGAATGGCTAGAAGCCACAAAGTAAGTATAACTTTTTTGTAGCATTGAACAATGTAATTTTAGAGTTATTTAATTTTACATTCTCTACATTGATTACTTTTCTAACAAAATATACTCTGTGTTTGAAGGGTGATTGCTGAGGATGCCCTGCTGAAGTTTGTTTCTGCCCACAACATGTCTGGACATATTCTCAAACTGAGGGCCAGGGTAAGGAATTTTAACATAAGAAGTTAAACATACTTGCTATAGCATATTATTGTAGGATTTGTTATTTATGACAGAAACTGTATTGTTTATTGATTTGCTTTTCTTATTAGGCTTTGTGTGGAGTAGGGAAAACTCTACATGCCTTTGCCCTGTTTGCTAGTCCTGATCCTCCAACTCAGTGGGTGGTACATGAAATGGTGAGTTAACAGTTCAGGAAATGGTAAAAATTATGTAGCTATAACCTGTAATGAATAAATAAAAAAAATAGTTTTGCAATCATTAGATAAGCACAATTTAAAACTGAGCAGCTTTATATCACCAATTTGTTTTGTGTGTATGAAGGAGCTGAGCAGGATAGAGCACCCAGAGGACCAGGCCTCAGAACGCAGTGAGGACCCAGAGTCTAACCAGTTCCTCCGCTACACCAAACAGATCAAGAAAATCAAGGTGGCGGATCCAACTTCAGCTTTTCTAACATTTTCTTCAAAATTGTTCCCCTATAAAGCAGAACTAATCATTTACCGGTATCATAATGAAACAATATAGATATAAAAAGAACCAGTAAATTGCAGATTATTTTTTATTGACCTTGATAGCTATGATTTAAAGACCACTTGGTATGTTGTACTTCCAGAAACATGATGACATATGCCACCACTATCTGGCCCAGGCTTCTGAATGTCTTGTACAAGGGCTTAATGTGGCTCTACAGAACCACTTCTCTGTGAGTATGTCTCCTACTCAAAACACTCAGTGAAAAAAAACAGTGCATCCCCCTGACCATACAATATAAAAAAATTTCATGTCTGCTGCACTAGATACAGATACATCTTTGGTGAAAATCTCTGCTGGGGGTGTTTGTGTATTATTTTTTAAAGTGAAAAGTATATTTTTGCACATTTAATGTCAACTTATTCATGTTAAAATACAAATTCATAATACATTATTTAAAACTCTTACTTGTCATTTTCAATTTCTATTCGACTGTGCTTATCAGAATAAAGAAGATGCTTTTGGATTTTTATTACACATTGTTCATCTATGTTTATGCAACATGTGAATACTATAATAGCAATAAAATTAACACTTCTGACTTTACGTAGGACATTGCTGGCAGTATCTCTCTAGAGCTGGTGGAATGTTGCGGACAATACGACCCCCAGTCTGCCAGTCTCTTCTTAGCATTACATCAGGTATGTTAACAAAAAAAGATTTCCAAGCTAAGGAAAATCTTTAGCTTAGCCTATACATCTGAAATGTAATCTTTTCTAAATTTCACATTATATTTACTTCTAACAATACGTTTTAAGTTGTGTTTTAATTACTGAAAAAAGTAAGTTTTGGGTTTGTTTGAATTTCAGAGTTGTTCTGCATCAATGGAGTTGGAGAAGCTTCTGAAGAGAGCCCAGATGGATCCCTGTACTTCACGCTTGGCTGCACTGCTACATCAGAGGAAGGCGATGTTGGAGCGAGAAGTCAGTCTGAATCTGTCAGTGAGCGAGATGATGAAAACGGTCACGCAGTCACTGGAGCAGAACTGGCAGGTACACTAATAACAACGAAATGGGTACATTATGTAGGCCTTGAATGGGAAAATAAGACGAATATTCACCCTGATAGGAATGAAGAGTAAATTTAACAGATACATAATGAATGTTATTTTAAGTCTTTTATTATATTAATTATTCTTTTGTACAGGCTTGGAAGAATCTAGAGGTCCAAACCAATCATTTGGAACTCCTCAAGGATTTCCCACCTCACTTCAATTTCATTATTCTCCAGCATTCTCCAGACAAGTAGGTTCTAAAATAATATGCCTGGAAATATGGAAAAAATGGATTTTCTTCAAATCATATTTTGTTAAAACAAGTATGAGTGACTTAGGAAAATTCAATAAGTATAATGGAATCAATAACTTTCTGACTATTATCATTGTTAAATCTTTGAAATGTTCTTTTGTAGGTCGTTCTTGTATGGTGCTATTTTAGACAAACCCAAAAACACTGCCTTAGCTGGAGGCAAAAACCCCAAACAACAAGCACCACCAGGTATTTATTAGGATTCTGAAGACCTTATAAAAGATAAATTGCCCTATATTACTTGACATTTCCATAACCTCAGCACACACAACTAAAGGAACTAAAGGATGAGGCATAATGGGGGGGTGGGGGGGCTATTGAACAAAGGTCGAGGTCATTAGGGAACGTAAAGATCAAGATACCAGATGTTGTAATTTCAAGGAAAGGGACTTTAAAATTAATGTACGTGTGCTTTCAAAATTAAAGTTTAAAATATACATCATTAAACTTGCTCTGACCAGATAAAACATAACCAGTGTAACTCTTACAGCACACAGTAGAGCTAAGGTGTTTGGAGCAGAGACAAGCCCCCAGCTTCTGACAGAGCTGCTGAGTAAGTTTGAGGAGCACCATCAGAGTGTACAGACCTTCCTTCTGAAGCAGGAGTATCAGCGCTCCCAGGCCATGATGAGGCAGAAAATGCTGGAAAATCTAGACGAAAGTCTCAAGAAACACACACAGGTATGACTATTAGTCTCTTATCAAGTATGTTTAGTGGAATTCATTTAATTTTTCTTAATAATGTCATGCAAGATGACAATTTTTCTTAATAATGTCATGCAAGATGACAATCATTTTTTATATAGCTGTGTAGAATATTTTAAAACCAAACTTTTCTATATTTTTAAATAAAAAAATTAAGATTACATGTATCATCAGACAATTAAAGAATAGGAAATGTACGAGGTGTGAGTTCCTTTCTGTTTTCTTCAGCATCATCATGATGAGAAAGATCATGAGGAGGAGGCCAGACTTCAGGAAGAATTCAGAGGTCTCCTCAAGGACATGGAGACTTATCTCAAACCCCTCACTTCCCAGCTAGTGGGGCTTCTGACGTAAATACCTTAAAACTTACTCTCATGTACTGCGAATTTATTTTTTTAAAGTTATTATTTTAAACCTCCACCTCCCATCTAGTGGGACTTCTGATCAGTCTTTCACATTTCAAGTGATGGTCATATATAACTTAGTAACCGATGAAAGTAATAAAAAATCAATGATATAAACGTAAACATTTTAAAATGAAATTTAACCTAGGAGGTTGCTATAGCTGCATTTTGGTGTATATAAGAGATATTTGATAGTTACTGTGCATCAAATATTGATGCTGCACTGAAAGGCTTTTATAGACTTTAATATAAAGTTACAGGTACAAACTAGACAGTAATTCTTTAAATGTAAATCTATTTTAGGCCCCATGTAGTGACCCCCACCAGCACCAATAAAGACAACAAGGGACAGCCTGAGGCCCCGCCCAATGAGTACGTTATCCTGTTAGTGGACTCCATGTTAATGCACATGCCGCTAGAGGCCCTGGAGTTCCTACAGGTGGAGAACGTCACCGCCCTGTGTAGGGACTTCTCTCTGTCTGTGTTCCATCATAGGTTCTACAAGGACGAAGCTACAGGTGAGAATCCAGGGGAGGAAATAAGGGGTGGATCAATGATTTTGAATTCTGGTTGAATTGGATATGAGCTCTCTGTTATTTTGCATAATGTTTCAGAAATTTTGAAAAAAAAATCTAAAATTCCCAAAGATCTAATGAAAGGATATTTTAAGAATATTAAAGCTGATGTGCTTTGGTTGTATTTGTTGACAGCAGTCAACCATGTGTGTTGTAAATTATGAATTCATAAAGCTTTGAAATTTGCATGCATCCATGTTTTGTAAATTTCATAATACAATTTCATTTAATTTTCAAAGATATGGCTAATGGTAGGTAGACATAACTGCCATATATTCTATATCAGATGTTGATGGGATTTCTGGTATATATGAACTAAAAACAATATCTTTTAATTAATAACTAATTAACATCTTAATTGTCTAACTGGTTCTGTAGATTCTCAGTTACAAGGATCTCGTAAACGTAAACCAGCTGGTAACGTGGTTCACTTTTATCTCAGTAGCTTTTAGCTTTCATAGCTATATTTGGTATTTTAGATATCATACATCCAATGTCAAAATTCATTGTATTAGCCAATGAAGGAATCAGACAGGATAACAATTCATACGGCCAGTAAAATTAAGAAAAAATCAGAATGATATAGTGTTTACTGATTGTTTTCTCTGAACCCCATCTAAAAATTAACTGTGAAATATTAGTCAGGTGTCTTTTAACATTTCTGCAGAAAAGGGAGAAAAATGTTGGTGAAAAGAACTCAACAAGTTTAATATTGTGAAATGATTGAGAGAATACGCCTTCACAATTTATATGGTATTAGAAGATGAAGAAAGTACACTCTTTTGAATAATTTTGAAATCACAAGTAGAATTTTTCATGTTGTTACCATTGATGATATTTTTCTCCCTTGAACTTCATTGTTTGTAAAAACTGACTGGATGAAAATTCAGACTTTTCATTCTTTACAAAATCTGCTATTTTTATGGTGTATTTATGTCAGTGTATCAGTGTGTGTACATGTATATACATTACAGCTTTTGATGTGCTTTATGTCAATGTATCAATGAATGCTTGGATTTTCAGACCGTAAAACGCCAACTAACGCCTCTCGTGCTGGAAAAAATGTGGAGTCAGGTAGCCCTACTAAGCACTCAGTCAGTAGACTCCAGATTCTTGGACATTTTCTCTTTTTATTCTGACTTTACAACTAGATTTTTATTGCATGTTTATATGGAAGTAGGAATGTTGAAAATTTAATTCAATTATAATTTCATATTAATGGATGCTATTTGAAATCAGAAAGCTTTGTAAAATTATGCTTACAGTAAAAGTGTTGATAGATTTAGAGCACACACAGTTGAAAGTTTATCATATGTTAAATTCAGAATATTTCTTACAGTTATTTGTCTTTTAGTTTTTAGTTTAAATGCATGCATATTCTTGTTTCAGGTTTCTTATAGGAACAGTTTTTCTGCATAGTCTTTTGTTACTTTGATTTTTCTAGATGCATTGCATTCTTCATCACTACAAGTAGTTAGAAAATCACTTCATACAAAAAAGTCCCATTAGTTATGTAAGATGCTTAGGATTTTTACAGTAGCTGCAGACTTTACCATCTTTTACTTTAGTTTTTAGTGTTCATTTGGATTTAACTTCAGATGGAACTGTTAGACTACATATACAATAAAATATTGGCTAAGATTATAATTCTGCTGTTAAAATTCGAAAAACATTTGTTTTCTTTCATGGTTTTTCAATTCTGTAAATGAAAAATTGAAGTTTTTATTATTAAAGACAAGAAGAAGAAATTGCTGCCAAAATAAATACATACTTTATGATATATACATGACTGTTTGTTCATTATTTTCCAATTATAATACAATTTTGTTTTTCTTTCAAGGGGAGGCAAAGATGTTTATAAACTTATTAGCATTGCTGTTTATCTTATCAAGTATATTCATTATTTTTAGAACAACAAAATGAGGAGAAGAAGAAACAGAAGGCTAAGAACCAAGACAACCCCCTGTCTAGAATCCCCGGGCTCAGGGACGCCAGTAAAAAACAGGCCAAGATTGTAAGTCACAGATAACTGTACAATCAATACTGAAAACAATTACTAGTATATTAATATTTCAAAGACAAAAATGTAACAGCTCTACCATTTTGCTTAATTGATATTCCTTAAACACTATACTAGAACATCAGACTCATCAATGCTATATTGGTTCATAATGATCCATTTGAAAATAGTTTTGAATTCAGTATATTTTATTTCATACAGATTCCATTACACAGAGATCTACAGCCTTGGCATCACACTGTGGATACTATGAACTTCAGATGTATCCTTCACTGCTTGACAATTATTGCAGTCAAATTGATAAATTTATCACTAGAAAGATTTAAAGTAAAATCCATCGATTCTAAATGGCATAAATTAATTATTAAGCATTTATGGTCTAAAAACTCTGAAACAAAGAAGGGAAAATCTGCAAGTTGTACATGTAAGTACAGTTAGATTCATTTATGATCAAAAACAATTCTTTTTGCACAGCAAAATTGCAAGATCCTTGTAACAATTCTTCATTTTTAGTGAATGAATGCTCTATTTTGTTACATTTTATATCTTTAACAAAAAATAGACATTGTGGATTCTCATCTGGATTGTGCAGAAACAGGTTAGTTTAAATTCATTATTGAAACAGATAAAGTTGGAAAAGTCTTAGGTCCTTATACAAAAATATTAAGTTTTTATTGAAGAAGTGGATCAAATTCAATTAATTTTTTCAAGTGATCTCACATTCTACAGTTCATGAAATAATCAGTAATTATACTTAATGACAAACATATTCCTGATTTATTATCTCTGTCATCTAAAACTTTCAGAGGTAAATAAACCAATAGAAATATTCAACAAGCTGATGGAGGAATATGAACAGCAGTTTACTCCCAGATGGTTGGGTGTACCGGGAGATGATCATACACCAAGGTCTGTTGTACTGAGATTCTGTTTCTCTTGCTGCTTTAATAATGTTAACTAATTGAAAAATAGATGTCAGCATGCATTAAATTCTGTTTCAAGGTATATTCCTGGATGCCTATAAATGCTCAATCCTTATTTATAATCACAAACTGAAATGTACATGAAGTCAAGTCTTGTTGATATGGATGCTTCTTTTTATAATGGTAGATATAAAAGTAAATTCTGATCCCCACAAACTTGTCTAGAAAGTGAAATATCTGGATTAACAAGGCTTGACTGTGTAGTAATATTATCACAAGGTGTGAGATAATCAATCCCTGCTGTCCTTGCTCTATGATGTTATTATTACTTTTTATTGTAGTGTAGGAGAGTGGGAGATCTACCTGACAGACAACAGTTCCTTTATCTTCTATGGAATGGAAAAATTCATCAACTACATTCCACCAGCCAAACTCTCAGCCTTAAACATTCCAGGTGTGTAAACAACTATAAATTTTTCAATTTAGTCATTTGTAACAAGTTGTTAGTCAAGTAATACATGATACCATGTGATCATTAATTGCATATAGCCCAACTTTGCCCTCTATGTACAGGTATTGAAAAATCTGGATTGTTGTTTACATATATTATTTTATTAAACTACAACAGATTAAGTTAATGTTGCTTTGTAAATATCTATTAGTAGCTGTCTTGGTCTATTAGAAAGCTCTAGTTTTCATATAGAATTTGATTTGGATATGATAAAGACTTATTGCCATTTTCTTTTTCAGATTGCTCAATAATATATTCACTGGATATGGCAGAAACAAGCAAGAGTTTCACAAGGCAGTCCAAACTGGATGTCAGAAAGAGGTCGGTTTGATGCTTTATGGATACCGTAAATCTGGAAATTTTTACGTCGATTTTATTTTGCGAATCTGGGTCAAAATGCTGTTGATTAATTTTTACGTTTCAAAATTTTGCGAATGACCACTACTTTGTATACATTTTCAAAATTCATGCAAATTTGCTAAAAAAACAGCAAAAATTTAGATTTGTTATCCAACAAAATTTATGAAAAAAACAAATATTCAATTTACCAACAAATTCAATGAAATTTCTTTTTTCATTTCAGTGAGAATATTCTTTCATTGGAGAAACCTGTTGAGACAGCCATGTTGGTTAGTCTTACAGGAGTAAAATGTCTGATGTCCAATCAATGGCACTGTACCCTGGCAGAAAATGCTGACAGACTTAAAGTCTCCATGAAAGGTAAGCCAGAGTGAGATTTATTTATAAACTAAATTGTTAACTGTCATGCAAATATGAAAAAGTTTAAAAGTGTTACTTTTCATTGATTATTCATCTTAACTCTCAGGGAATCATTTATTTGGTCTTGAGCATTCCATAAACTTTTACAGCTTTTTAAAACAAGATAGGGTGAATTCACCATGCATCGGATACCCTTGTACTTCAACAAGTTCTAGCGATATCGCTACCGGTGAAAATTATCAAAATGGAGTTTAACATTTAGTTTGTGATTAAAATAACAATTAAGGACACAATTATATGCCGTTTATTGATAAAATATTGCCAAAAATCGAGTTTTTTGAAAAAGCTGAAAATTCACCATGGATCGGACATTGTTCACCATTCATCGGACAGACGGTATGGAGACCGGAAAAATATCATACCTTTATCACAATGCTTTAAATCCTTAATATGGATATACATCTTTTATCTAAGAAATAATTGAGCTGTAATTTAATGGTATATTGCACAAATGTAGAAAGATTCTAGAGACCTCACTCTGCCTTGGAAATGCTTTAAAATGCTTATAATGCGGTAATTCGCGCCTTTTTCTCATGGTTTATCATACTGATTTTTGAAATAAATTAAAATGGCATTATCGATAACTTGTATTTTTGAAAAAATAATCGCTTAAAAACAGCTGTCAGCTGGGTTCTGTGTGAAAATGGTAGCACTTACCTTTGCATCGAAAAGTGTCCGATGCATGGTTAATTTGTGTCCGATGTACGGTGTAAATAGCATACTAGTAAAAACCAGCTCTAATAAGAATTAAACAAACATTGAAGTGAAATTTAATTATAATTTATGTAAAATTACCAATTGACAAAATTCACCAAAGTTACTCGTTCCGTGGAAGTCGAATTTAAAAGAACGATAACTCTAAAAATTGCAAAATCATAAATTTCGGGTTATTCCCCTTTGATGATGTAAAATATGACGTAACTTCAAGGCCATTTGCGGGGTATTTTTATCACAATATGATAAACACAATCGGTATCATCCTTTATGACAGAAACAAATAAATACACAGAACTCATTAGTTGAAAGAGAGTTTATTGCCTAAAGTTGTCCGAAGCAAGGTATGTGTCCGATGCATGGTGAACTCACCCTATCAAATTCATTTTTTGAAACAAAATATTTCATATTAACAATTTTGAGAAAATTCTCTAACATTACAAGTAGAAAAGCCTGAGACGATACAGACAGACTGTACAGATTAACCAAATTTGACTATTGCTGTACACTCCCTATGATCAGCTTTAATGCATAGTTCATCCAATTTCACAGTTTTTTTCCACTTCTTGATTGGTTTTCAAACATTCTTTCATCAATTTGTACTTTATCCTCTAACTCATGTGACAATGATTTACCAAGAGACTTCATTTTGATGATGTCTTCCAAAAAGCCTAAATGTTTGCCCTCCCGTCTCTGCATATCATTCAACTTCTGCATTTTTGTACATAAAAGATAACTAAAATATGGTGGAACCCATTTTGAAATTTGTAAAAATGACACAAAAAGTCTAATTAATAAGTCAGGTGCATATCTTATATCTAAGCAGAGATGACAGTAAATAAGGTTGTAAGTGTTCATGGTTCATTTACAGATCTATTAGAGGGAGGTAAGACCACTGGGGAAACGGTCCGTTTGCTTTTTGCACCTAATCAGAGAGAACAACCAAAAACAGAGCCTGAAGAAAAGCCACCTACCCCAGAGACTGCGAAGGAGGACGGGGAAAACCAAGCGGAGGTCACTCCAGCCGAGAAGGAGCCCGAGGTAGAACAGGAACCACAGCCCAATAGATCATGGTACAACATGGTGTGCTACGGCCTGCCAAATCTGATGGTGGCACAGATTTAGACACATAAAACATTTCTTCAGTGTGACCGTATGAAGTTCAGTGAAATCTACAAACCTAAATTAATTTTTGAAGAAAAACATTTACATGTATTTGAACCTTTTGTTGAGGTCTATTGCTGTCAGTTTATACAATGTACACATATTTGTTTTGACTGTGATCCATTATCGTTTTACACTTGAATTTCCGTCCAAAATTCTTTATTGCTTTTATATTTTAATTTAAGATATTAAAATTATACTGTTATGCCATTACATTTCTTTTATTTGCAAAGCAATGGAAAATAAATTTTTATACTAAATAATTTTTTTGGTTATTATTTGTTCACATCTATTATCCTAAGCAGAGTTTTGAGGAACATCACCATCTCTGTCTTTCATCAGTCTTATCTATATCTATACAATGTGATGTAAATCATACAAATGTCCATTTTACCGAGAAACCAGAATATCCCTACATCCAAGAATATTGAAAACAAAACATCTCTCTAAAACAATCAGATTTATTCATCAAATTTTTCTCCCACAATCAATATGATTAATTCATACTTTCATTCATTTTTTTAAACCGGTAGAAAACTACAACATTTGACACTCATTTATCCATTGTCCCTTATTCCCACATTTATACATCATCAAAATCAAATTCACCTAATTCATACAAGTTTTTAACTTTTCAGGCATGCACCATTAGAAAAGATAATGTATTAGGATGTAAATAGTACATATGTATATTCATTTTTTCAAGTTTTCCAACTCATTGTGTAGCAAACATGCATAATACAAGTATAAATGTACTGGTACATACATGTACATAACAGCATACATAGTAATGTTGATTTTGTATTAAACCACAAAAATTTTCACTCCTCAATAAATATTATTAATATATGTAACATACTCTTTACCTGTATTTTTGCTATAAAAAGTTTATAATGATTTTACAAATACATTGGCAAAAGATTGAATAGTATGTGTACTGATGTGATATTAACAAGTATATGCAGGTACTATACATACATGTACATCATAACATAGGTATCAAAAACAATGCTTAACTATACAACCAAACATGTTTATTCTTTTGAGAGCAGAATTTATAAAATAAACATTGAAAGCAGAACGAAATTGGAGAAAACACCCTTTTGTCAACCAGTCATTTTCTGGCTAAGACTATCTAAGTAAAAGAGCTTCTGCATCCCACAAATTAATTCCAACTAATAATTGTTTTACCAAAAACTGAACAAATTCTCCCATCGCGAGAGGTGCATTCACATTTACTAATGATCAAATTTAGATAAACTTGGGGACTTTTTTTTTGCAATCTTGCAGCATGCTTCAAATTGGCAACTTTGCATGTGCCAAGATTTGAACAATCAAGTGACATAATGAAGATCCATGTCAATTATGTACTGCTTTCACTTTGTAGATGGAGAGCTTTTAATTATCATTTATGATTTGCAGTCAAACATAAATGTTTTATAAATGTACAGTACAGTATAAATATGGTTCAATGATTACAATCTTTTCAGTTTATTATTGCCAAATGAATGAAGTACCCATGCTTTCCTTAATTTCCATTTAAACAGAATTGAAAATGTGTAAAGCTATCTAAAATACGAGTTTAATGAAAAAAAAATCACTCAAATGGATGGGTTCTTCATTAAACAGCATTTATCAAGTACATGTATAAATATTTCTGTACATGTACGTATATGTAGCTTAAGATTTCTACAGACTTCATACTTTGAAAAACAATGTACATGCATTTTGATTGAGTTTTGTAACTTCTTTAAATTGTATATTAATCAAATATGAATAGCATTAATTTGTGACTTAAAATTTAAAAAAAAAATGCTTTGTTGCAAAAATTTTACACTTTCAAATGATCACACCAGAATGGCCTTAATTTCACATCTTGCACATAAAAATTGTGCCATCTTGCATAAAAAATTGTGCAGCTCATCATATTAATAAAGTTTGTCAAAAGGATTTCCAGGATCATAATAGAGACACAACTACCAAACATAAAATACATTTAAAAATGAAACTTGTAGATCAGAGAAACATTTTGTTAAAACAATTTTTCCTTGCAAGTTTACAAAACTACTGCATAAAATTTCTGAAAACATGTTATGCTTACACAAAAATTGTTTGACAACTGTAATCAGTATGGAATGTTTACTATTAAAATCTTTAATTTTGAAAACCAAAAGAGCCCCTAAAATAAAAATGTACATATTATTAATTTTTTGTTGCATAAAGAAACAATATTAATGTATTTCATCAACTAAGAGTTGTAAACATGCTGCAAAATGAAAACTGACTGATGTCTTGAATAAAGAGTTCAAGATAATGCACTTAGAATTTTCTCCCCCAATCAGAGGAGGAAATCAGTAGAATCGTTTGCTATTGAAGCCGGAATCTTTATTGAATACAACATATCCCACCACCCCACAGACAGCCAGGCCGATGATCGCTATGATGATGATGATAAACACTTTCCACCCAGACATACTGCCCGACATGAAGCCACCTTTTGGATCCTCCACATGATCTATAAAAATAAGAGATCCATGAGCATATATACTGGTACTAAACAAAACATTCACACATCTATGAAATTTTGTCATCTTCATTTTCACTACTGTTCTACTTAAAACAGTCAAAATCAGTCCAACTAGAGGGTCAAATAAAGATCTATGTCAGAGAAAAAGATTGCAAGCTTTTACTTAAAATCACTTCATATTTAATAACAATTTATTCTTTGTCTCTATGTCTCAGTCCTGTTATAAATGGAAATGGGTTACAAGAATTGTTAACACAAGCACAAGTGTACTTACCTCTGGGGGAGGCAAAGAACTGAGCAGAAGGCAGCCCTGTGTAATCCGAAGAATCTTCCTGATAATCAAGAGTGGAAATTTGAGTTTTGTTTGTTTTAAAATAAAAGTTTAAACACCAGTATGTTCAATAACATTCCACTTTCTATAATTTACTGCTATTGTAGTTTAAGAAATCCTTTTTGATTTTCAATTTTTTTTTATTTTCTTACCTTTTTTAAAGATTCCAATTCATATAATTTCATAGAAATAATATCATGATTATCTGAAAAAGAAGGAAAATATATAAACATATATGTAGAAAGTCTGCTTTGAATAACAAGAGGCCTATGGGCCTTATAGGTCACCTGAGCATTATGCAACAACATTCCAGTGATTGAATTTGCATTTCTGCATTCACTATTTTTCACTTAGCAATATATAAAATTGGAACAAAAAATACATTTCAACTAACAGTAATAATTTCAGCCCCTACCACACATTATTGTCCACACATTGCACAAGTATCCTTGCTTTTCAAAAATATTTGATATCAGATTTATTGGTACATACCCTGTGGCCTTGAAATTCACAATTCTGAAAGATTATCATAACTATATAGGTAGTTCATCTGCTTAATACCCAGGAGCAAAGAAGAAAATTTTCAAAGATTTAATATATTTTCACCAATATAATACCCTGGGGCCATAAAATTCACAATTTTGGTAAAGGCACTCTTGCTCACCATAACTATGCACTTAGTTAGACAACAGAGAAGAAGATTTTCAAAGAAAACTATATTCCTTCCATAAAATTTCAATTTTTCATTGCTCATCATAACTATGCACTTAGTTAGTTTATAACACCTAGGAGCAGAGAAGAAGATTTTCAAAGAATTCATGTATTTTCACTACATAATCAATAGAGCCCCACCCTAACTGACAATTTCAATTTTGGTAAAGGCATGCTCATCATAACTTTGCACTAAGTTAGTTTATTTAATGCCCAGGAGCAAAGAAGAAGATTTTCAAAGAAATAATGATTTTTCACTATATCAGCCCTGCCCTAGCACTAGAATGCCATGAATTTCACAATAGAGGACTCAAGATTAAAATGCAAACAGTTTGACTGCTTGATTCAGGAGAAGATTTTTAAAGATTGCATTAATTTGAGTGGTTTTGGCCCCACCCATGAGGCCCCAGGGGGGCAGGGACCATAAAATTCACAATTCATAGATGCACCAAATAATCTGAAAATGTTCAAATGTTAACACACGACGGACGACGCACAGCGACAGACGAAAACAGATAGCAATAGGTCACCTGAGTGACTCAGGTGTAAAAATATTGCCATATATAAAATTATTTGCTCATATCATTATTGGTACATTGCTAATTTAAAGCACCAATATAATACCCTGTTGGAAGTTTGACTCCATTGACAACAAAACATTCCTTCCATTTGTTTTCATTGTCTATATCTGTGGAAACCTACAATGACAATTTCAATGATTCAGAGTCTCTGCATTTATGAAGTCAAAATGGTCTTGTTCAGAGAAACTAAATATTTCATTCCAAAATAATCAGTTTCAAAAGATACCATAATTTTCAAAGTAAAAATATTGTAATTTCTCTAAGGTATTGATTAAAGATTGAAGCTCATCCATAAACATCTCTTACACATTTGTTGAAATGCTTGTTAATTAAATGATATTCCCTCTATTAACAGTACACTTTACTAAAATATCATTGAGTTTAATTGTGCACCTTCAGTGTTTCATCTTGATATCGGATGGCAACGTAGGTGTCGTAATCTTTATTGCGGAATTTCGCCTCGCAGCCAGCTATCTCCGTGTGTGTGCCGTCCCGATCGTGGTCATAATGTAATGTCCCATTGTTCACCATGGCAGAAATGTATGGGTGCTCATGCTGAAATGACAAAAAAAAATTTTTGAAATCAAAATACATTTATCAGTTCATCTGATATATCAGCACATTCTTCCACAACATGAACAGCTTGTGTGTCTTATACACTGCAAAAGGCTTTGGTTTGTTTCTCCATAATTTGTGTTGCAGTTCTGCAATACTGCATATTTATTTTGTCCGGTGCACCAGATATTTTAGTTGAAGCCCTGATGACACACATGGAAAATTGTGACTTACTTTCTGTAGCCTGCCAAGAGAATGAGTACAGTCTTTTCTGTACAGAAATATATTAAGTACTTGCTTTTGTCTTGGTTTTTAGCTATTTGTTTGGTACGAAACAATATCTTCTCCACAGCGACTTTCACTTCTACATTCATTTTCTCCAACGTCATTTAAATATGATCTCTCACAATAAAATTTTAATGAATATTTTAATTAGAAAGGTCACCAGATGACCCTGAATGGGGTTTCTTCTGATCCTTGTGTAGCGATCTATGTGAACGGATCAAAAGGTCTGATTTTAATCAGATTGTTCTTCCTTGTAGCATTTTATCTGTTTGTGTTATTTGTTGCCTCAACAGTCTTATAAGGATGACAATGTACAACTCATTCTTACATTGTGAGGTCCATTGTGGTTGCTGTATGTATCCAAGAAAATTCCTAGTCCAACAAAAAAATCCTTATTTCCAAATACTGGACCTACAAAACCAACGAATTAAATAAAATTAGCATTGTTTTGCATGAATGCAAAATGCAGTAAGCTTCATTTTCTTAATAATTTGAAATTATTGTTATACATGTAAGTTTAATTTACCTAATTGATTTCTGTCTCTTGCATACCATACTGCAAAACCATCTCCAAACAGGTTCTTTCCACTCCCATGCACTTTAAAATGGACATGTAATTCCCAGTTTTTTACCATTAATGGCTGAAAAATACCAAAAATTTGTTGACCTATTTTTGCGTTTTCAACCTTTTGGGAACTCTAAATATTTAGCATATCATTTTTTTTTTCAATAAAATATTCACAACTGTAATACAGCAAAAATTACACTGAAAAATAATTTAAAAGGCAATAGATAACAAGAGGCCTATGGGCCTTATAGGTCACCTGAGCATCATGCAACAACTTTCCAACGATTGAATTTGGTTTATGTTTTAAACTAGATGTCATGACATTCACAATTTTGAAAGAGGCACCATTACTTATCATCACTATACACTTTACATGCTTACCATGCTTACCTTGGTTACTTAATACCCATAGATCGACAGAGCAAGGGTACAAAAAAATGCATTTTGACTAATCAGTAATATTCAGCAGTACTCAATAGTGCCACTACCACAAATGAACCCCTGACCCTTGGCCCACACATTTCACAATCTTGGAAAAGCACCCTTGCTTATCAAAAATGTCTGATTAATACCATGGAGCAGATTTCAAACAATTAATTCATTTTCAGTATATAAGTAAAGCCCCCCCCCCTTGTACCCCTGACCCAGGGGTCTTGAAATTCAAAATTCAGAAAGAATGACCCCTGCTCATCATAGCTATATAGATAGTTCATCTGCTTAATACCCAGGAGCAGAGAAGAAAATTTTCAAAGATTTAATGTATTTTCAATATATTATCAAAAGAGTCCCGTCCTAGCATTAGAACCCTGATCCTGGGGCCATGAATTTCACAATTTTGGTAGAGGACTCAATGCTCATTGCATTCATGCCAACAGTTTGTCTGCTTGATGTCCAGAAGTAAAGAAGAAGATTTTTAAAGATTTCATTAATTTTAGTGGTTTTGGCCCCACCCCTTAGGCCCCAGGGGGGGGGGGGACCACAAAATTAACAGTTTTTGTTCCTCTTCACCCTTAGATGCTGTATACCAAATTTGGTTGAAATTGGTACAGTGGTTTCAGAGAAGAGGCTGAAAATGTTCAAATGTTAACACGACACACGACGACAGACGAAAACAGATAGCATTAGGTCATCTGAGTGACTCAAGTGACCTAATAAAACCTATACATATTACTAACCATAGTATTCCATATTCCTCCTTGTCTACTTTGATAATCTGGTGTTAATCGTACATAATTATTTGTAACCATAGTAGTTCCTACAAAGTCCCATAATGGCACAGAAAATCCTGATCCTGAAAAAAAAAGAATTCAAAGGGGATTTTGAAAGATCTGAAAGGTACACCACTGGGTACAAAATAGAGTCAGTGGGAACAAGATATTTATCTGTTTATGCATGTTTATAGACAACAACTGTAAAACACACATACCTTCCAACCCATGACACCCCCACCCCCACTTTGGTTTTAACAGTTCGGACTTCCTCACATATTCATACAACAGCCCAACGTGTAGATCACAGACTTAACATCAGATAATATGATATGTTTCATGTGGTCAATAAGTACCGAGTTGGAATTTTTGGTGATTGAGAAAAAATTTCAGCGAGCAGTGAGCGTCACGAAGCGTTGCTCGCAAAGCAAGCTCAATAAACTAATGTGTAAGAACAGAGGAAATACAGAAAGGTATCTGTACATACGCCAAGCAAATTTTTGTGTGAAACCTTCCCAGAATTTCTTTGCTACCAGGATTCCATGCGATGATAGTGAATAAATAAATAACATAAAACAAAACAAGAAAATACACTACGACTTTCGTCAAAAATTGCACTAGATCTATAGTTTCAACCAGACGCTCGGCTTTCTCCGTAAGCGCCAACAAGCTCCATGACGTCACAGCTAGACGAGATGTCTCGTGCGACTTGGTGTTTGAAGTGGCTGATCAATGTTTCAAGTGTGTTTTTGATACAACTGCGCTTGCCCCAACGGTCACATTGTAAAACATATATTATTCGAACAAGTAAATTCATGACTTGTTTAAATACACAAGGATAAGGTCAACACTGAGCCTTGTTACACAAATTTCATTATGCTAACAAATTTCTGGCGGAAAAATGCAGAGCTTGTTAGCTAAATATATTCCTCTTAATTCTGGATCCCAGGGTGGGGCCAATCGGCAATCCTCGGCTGACTCCGCTACGCTCCATTCAAACCTCGGATGTGATTGGTGGAGGAATACGCATCAGATCCTTACATTTCTCCGCCGGAAACTGCCTTATCACTCGTTTCATATTTCGCTCTGCATAATGTTCTTCGAAATTGTTTCTTAATTTGTGCAATTCCTTATCGTAAACAGGTTTTGATTACAACCTCATGTAAGTAGGCTTTGAAAGCAAGAACAAACTGTTGAGTGTGCCACAAAATAACCCCGATTTCAAATGTATGATATTTGAAAGAAATTCAAAAAAGATCACATGACTGAATCAGCAAGATGGTAGATCACCGTTGACGTCCGAGGTTATGTGCGAGGTACGAGTCATCCGAGGAACTCCGAGTGGGGTGGGGCAATATGAGGAAATTCGAGTTACCGCCGTCTTTAACACCAAAGAGAAAAGAATCAAATTCATGATGTTTTGATGACGGTTGAGTAAAAATGTAATTTTTCCGCTGTAACAGAAATAAGATAATGAAACTTTTCAAGTTTGCTTAATCATTTTTTGTAACAAAACATTTCTTTTATGAAACTGCGTTTGACAAACCACTTACAATTTGGCTGTTGACTGTCAAACATTACAAAAAAAAAGGACTTAATTACCGGAGTATGGTTTAACAAGAGTGTGTTCTCTCTTCAAATAATCTCTCCTGTCGAAATCACCAATTACGTCTGATAAAAACAAGAAAAGCCCAATTATCCAAGAAATCTGCCACCTGCACACGTCCATTTTGGATTATCTTCCCTTTAGTTGGATTAATTTTACGATTGTAACGTCCGCTAAAATTTAACAAACCGAAAAAGAATAGCATGTTTTGTGAGCTTAGCGTAGATAATGAAGGAGACAATAAATACATGTAACAGGTTTCAATATAATTTAATACGCAGGAGTAGATAAAAATAAACCAAACATAAATAATGCATTTTTTCATTATACATATTTAAAGACTCCCCATCCCCTTGGAATTTCCTGGCCCAGAGCAACACAGATTTCAAAGATGCCCATCACAACTATGCACTTACTTCTTAGACTTAGTTATCTGTCAGGAGTAGAGAAGAAGATTTTTACAAAGTTGATGCATTTTCACCATTCAGATTGCCATCCTTACCCATCATTATAGTCATGCACTTTGATTTCTAATCCAGGAGAAAATTGTGTAACAGGAAAGGAGAAAATGTATGGCTGGACCAGGAATCAAACCCGGGACCCCTGTATCACCAGTCAGGTGCCCTACCTACTGAGCTATCCAGGCCAATATCCACGACCCAAACCATTTCATTCCTCCCTCCTTAAATGGTCTTCGCCCTCAAAGACACATGCAACCCAAGTTCTTATTGCCCCTGGCAGGACTTCCACCTGCAATTCCAGGGGTGGTCAACAGCACCAAATCTGTAACAGGAAAGGAGAAAATGTATGGCTGGACCGGGAATCAAACCCGGGACCCCTGTATCTCCAGTCATGTGCTCTATAGCTACCTACTGAGCTATCCAGTCCGATATCCACGACCCAAACCATTACAAATGATATTTAAGAGAAAGAAAGTATTTTCAAATATAACTAATAGAACCCCATTTCATTCCAGGTCCCATGACCAAGGAGCCACAAATTCCACAATTTAGGAGAAGTACCCTGCCCTTCACCTAAATACCTGGGAGTAAAGAAAAAATTCAAAGAAATAATGAAGTTTTTACTATGTGATCAATAGATCCCCCAGCAGCAATATCCCCTAACACTATAGCTAGAGTCACAAATTTTTATCATTTTGGAATACTCACACTTGCTTGTCACAACTTAGCTGCAGAACTGTAGCTCTCTGAAAAAAATATATTGACAGACCGGACAGCTATACAGTTCCACCCATTGTAAAAACTGTATATTTATTGCACACAAAAAGTTGCGCTTAGTTCTGGATTAATCTTTCCAAATTCTTATATAGCTCAATCATGAAAAAATAGATTTTAGAAAATCCCTTACTCCTCTATGAAGTACTCTCGTCATTGACATCTGCACGAAGTTCGTTATACAGAATTATCTTGCAAACTAAAATGGCAGTGTAAAAAGACAAAATTTTCGACAATCTCATTTTTAGGGCGAGGAGGACTATTGACAATAATAATAAGGAATGTATAGTTGTAGAAACAGTGAAAGAAAATGTTAGGAACACATGGATAGTAATATTTTGAGATGACAGTTTAATGGCATGGAGAAATAAATCGACAAACAGCGCACTTTTTTGTGTGCAATAAATATACAGTTTTTACAATAGGCGGCACTGTAGCTCTCCGGTCTGTCAATATATTTTTTCGGAGAGCTACAGTTCTGCAGCTAGTCACAACTTTGCGCTTATAGATGGTTTTCCTATAACATATTTTTCCTCGGAGTTATTCCCCTAATCGCCGCCATCTTGTAGGGCAAAGCAGTGAATTTTCCTCTTTGAGCAACCAATTTTAAACACTCGTGCCAGAAATATATGGGGGGAAATATTTACAATCTTAAAATAATGAATTAATAGAGGCTTCAACAGACATATATTCATAAGAAAAATAGTGTTATCTTTACCTCAGTAACCTGTATAACAAATTGAACTTGGTTGAATAATGAAAGGATCTGGGAATGTTGCCCTACAATATGGCGGCCATGGGGAATAACTCTTTCTTAAATCACCTCATTGGAAAAACCATCTATTTAATCTGGTAAATATCAAGGAGCAGAGAGAGGATTTTCGAGAATTACAAGTATTTTCTTTTTATGATCAACAGAGCTCCACTCTGACATAAGAACACATTTCATTTCTAAAATTCATGTACCCAAAAACTGGTAAATATACTGAATACATGTTGATAACTTCACAGAATTTTTATTCAGATTTTTAAAACAGATTCTGGTTTCAAATGTAAAAGCAGAATAAAAGATCTTTACTCCATACTTTTATTCACAACACAAAAAATCTAACAATAATTTTACTGCATTTGAGCTGACATATTAATATACAACATATTTAAAGTAAAATCCATTTTATCAATCATTTTCAAAAACAATTGAATTCTAAAACAGATCTCATATAATAATGTACTTCTTTCCTTATTTTATAAACCATCTACCAAAACCACCTACAGTCCCGTTAAGTCTGAATAGATAAATTGATTTTTAGGACTTATCACATTTTCTATAAAAATTTTGTAATTTTATGAAAATATCATTTTCAGCCACTTAGTTAAAATACATTACCATTCTTGTAACTATATTAATTTCAAGTGATATATTGAGAGTCAAAATTAAAACATAGTAAATTGCATATTTGAATCACTGTTCTATGCCATGTTTCTATGACATCAAGGGTGACAATTCAGTGAGAGTCAGATGGTAATAAAAAAAAAAAATAAAAGAGTTTCCAAAGTTAGATTTTTTTCATCTTACCCTAAAGTAAATTACCTCTTAGCATTTAAGTTGTTACAATGAAGTTATAAAATCATGGACTGGATTGCTTGATCATATTTACCAGTAATGTAAAGAACAACTTCAATAACAAGCACACCTTGTCCAAGTTTCTGGAAAAGCAATTCAGGAGAGGGTCTGGGATGAACCCCCCCCCCCCCCCCTTGCACCAATATGTTTTAAATAAGTGGATACCTGATCTGTTAATTTTGGTTTGTTTTGGTGCAATCTTGAATTAGTCATTTCCTCACATATCAAATAAAAAAAATATTGAGCAGCCTTACTTAAAACAGACAATTAATTAATTAAATTTGTGTTAAAAAGATATTTTTGAGAATTGTTTCTCTTGTGGGGATGGGTGGGTGAGGGTTGCACCCAACAACTGTCCTCACGACCTACACATGTAGATATGACTACATTATACACAGTATAACATTTTTTTTTTTCAAAAAAGATTACTCAAAGAGGTTACTTTAGTCATCATATAAAAACATATTCTAATACACTGAATCTGTAAAAGCATGATAAAAAGAATATATTGTCTAACATTTGTAAATATAAGATCAACAATAACATTCTATGTAATTCATGCAAAACTTATCTTAATGCTAGAAGTATGTAAAAAAAAAAAAAAATTAAAATGCTTTAAAAAAAAAAATCAAAACTATTTCACTAACATTAATGTTATGAGTAAAATGCATAAGGTAAAAAAAAAAATCATAAATTAATAAAAACAAATTAGCATAAATTTGAGATAACAATTTAAGAATCTCAAAATTAACACATAGTACATGTATTCACTATTCTCAAAAATTGCACTGCAATTCAGTACAAGCAAATTCATTCTATGATAAAACATTTATATTCAAAACATGTACACTTCAACTACTCTAAAACAAAAACACAAACAAACAAACAAACTAAAGTAAACTGTCACCAAAACACTCTTCCCTTCATTTTTCCAAATTATGAATTTAGACAGCCGATAATTGTCAAATTTAAAATGTTAAACTTGTTGAAAAAGCACCATAAACAGTATCAATTTAATAATGGAGAAGCTTTAAAAGCAGATGAGCAAAATTTTCCAAAAATATTAAGAAGAGAAATGTAAACTATTTCCAAAGCAATTAAAGCAAACACTGCTTAGCAAAAAAAGAAAAAAAATGAAATAAATTGTATCGGAATAAAATCAAAGCTTTTAAATTCCAATATTCCCTTAAAAGGGGTCAAATTTGATCCTACCACAAAGAATTTTTTATTCCGAATTAAGGAATATCATACTAAGTTGTTTTATTTTTCTTTATGGACAATAAATTTTAAGGTTGAGTTTATGTATCAAATTTAAAGTATATGTATTATAAACCATATACATGTATATTCAATTGTAAAATTGAATTACATCTTATGTTAAATTAAATTATTATTTAATAACAATGAAATCATAATTAATGCCTCTAATACTGATAAAAATATACAGACGTTACAAGATATTGAGGCTAATTTCAGACAAATTTTAGATTTCAATATTAATTTGAAACCAACACCACACATGAAAGGCAAGCCATCACACTTAGACTAGATAAAGGACTAGAAGCACCAGTCACCACTACAAAAAAATCACTACAAAAAACTTCTATATTTAAAACATTATCAGCATATCAGACACACTAAATAAAATATTACACTAGTCTATCAATCTTCCATTAAATTCCATTGCCATAAAAAAAAAAATTGGCCATTGCGACTCAAATATTTGCTACTTTTGATAAATTCAATGCAGACAAGTATTGAAGATTACATGTAGTAAAACACATGATAGCATCATGTACAATACATTTTAGTCAGCCAGGTGTTTTTGGTCCGATACTTTACAAAAAAGTCTTAATTTTTTAACTTGTAATATTGCAAACTCAATACTTCAGAGAAACAGTTCGACCTCCATTTTCCCAATTGCCATATTTTAATATAGAATAAAATATTCACTGAAAGGCTAGGTGCCCCCTTCCTTTTGGTAACAAACTGAAATCTTTTATTGTCAAAAAAGAAAAAAAAAACTCCCCTCCCCCACAAAATCATCTATTTTAGGCTTGTCAAAGATTTTTCAGGTAAATTATCCCCCTTTGAAACTGAAATTCCATGCCAGTGTTATTTATGCAGGAGAAATATTTGTGAGATAGGCCTATTATTTTTGACTAAAAAATTCTTTCTTCCATAAAAGAGACTTCTTATTTGTATTTAGTTTTAATAAACAAGTCTTCACAAAATGATGAACAAATGATATTTGTTGCATGCATGGTAAGACTTTGCCTAACATTGTTCCATTTCTTAATAAAATGCCATACACTTGTTCAACATACACATAAATTTACAATAATTTTTGTTTCTATCGAAGTCTTAAAGGTTTTTGAGATGAAATTTAATATTTTACCCTTTTATCACATTGAGCTATCAGAAGAAATAGCTTAGGCAATTTATATATGTATGTCAAATGAATGCCTTGGATTTCAGAAAATACCTAATAACCCGTATTATTAGTAAAAACATTACAGAATTTAAAACATAACACATTTTCTGTTTCAAATTAAATACAAGTAGTCCTTCAATTCTGACACACAAAAGATATCTGGGATTTCTTGACCAAAAAATACTGCCATAATTTGAAATATAAAAGTTAACAATGTACTTCAGTTTTTAAGTCAGATTTGATACACTTACATTTTGTATAATATACTATATTGAAAAGGTAACCTAAATCATAACAAAAAAGAAACAAGTGAAATAAATTATCATTGTGCAAAACATTATAAACTAACAACAAACATATTCATTAACAGATATGTCTTGAGCAAGCAAGGCAAAAATCTGTGACATTGTTCAAAACATTGTTATGTTACAAAATTGGCTTGCAAGACTGTATCATGTACAAGTAATTCAAATGAAAGATTTAAAAAACTGATTGATTCTTTATCCTCAACAACTGCTATGCAGGGTCAAAATAAAATACAAGTGAGGTCTAAATGTACTAAAGAGTACATGTTTATATTGCCCATCATACAGACAAGATGAAATTAAATATATTTTCCTTGCTCATACATACAACATTTAAGGATTCTATTTGCAACATTAAAATACAATCTTGGCAGTGACTTTCTAAATCAGAGATGCAAAGTAGGTGGGATTCTATCATACAGCTGAGTCTTTCTCTTTTGACTTGACATCATCCCACCAATCCATTAACTTTGTTTATCCTTTTCTGCTTGGTTCATAAGTAAGTCATAACACACACCACAAACTAGGACCATTTCAGACTGTGCTTGTGGAGCTAAAAAAAGAATTGTGAACACATTTACATACTGTTTTAGCAATGTATTTGTATATACTGTAAAACATTGCTTATAACAAAGAGTCAGGGACAGGCAATTTTGCTTCATTATATAGGTAATTTGTTATATCCATTAGCTTCAAAATATTTTTACAACCCAAAGGGAATGAAAATCCCTTCACTATAAATGCTGATTTATTATCTAAGCATGTTTAAATTTTATACAAGATGATACCTGTTGCTCCAAACATTGATTTGGGAACTTTTTGGTTACAGCATTTTGAACAGAAGTTATTTCCACAATGTCGGCAGTAGAACTACAAATAATATCCCCCAAAATTATCCTTTTTTTTCATATGTTGAATAACAAAACTTCATTTACATTACATTAGGAATGAAATATATTTATTTTTCAAATAAATGACACAAAAATTTATGTGTAGTAATGATTGATTTGGTTGATGTAAAATTTCATCCTTTAAAACAAATTCAAAATTAAGTAGTTATCTTTTACTTGAACTTGATTAATATATACAGAATGAAATACTTACTCTCCTCTTCAATATGGAAGCAAATGAAACATCACATTTATGACAAGTTTCTGAAAAATGGAGGTAAGAACATCAGTTAGGAAAGAAAGCACCCAGAATCATGTATACACTCCAAATTTAGAAGTAAACCATGACAGTATATCTTAAAGTGATACATGTATAGCTAGTTTAAGCATCAAATTTTTAATTTTTCGAAGATTTTTATTTCAATATGAGTGGTCTAAAAACCCCTTGTGCTGATGGCTTAATATCCCAAATGTTCTTCTGTGTAAATGTAACTCACCATGTGCAATATGCTGTCTTCGTTTCCGTAGCTCTAGGAGCCGCTCCACCATGCTGGGTTTGGAGTAGATGGAACTCTTCAGTTCCGAGTCATCAGACATGATCTCCAGCTGACTTGGGTCACAATCCTGGGATTAATATCAATAATGTAATCATAGGAATATCACACTTTCTGTGGTTGTATCATTATGTCAATCCTGATAATGGCTGATTTGGTCTTTTAAATCTATATATTACAACCACTAAGCTTGCTAACACATGAATTCAGCAACTTTTTTTCAGAATCTACTGCATAATTGTGAACAAATAATATTCACAGCTTTAATGCTGGTTCAAAACAGTAAAACTCTGCCACTCTGATTGATTTTCCGGTCTAGACCTTACCTCTGACTGCTCTTTTGTGTCCTCTTCCTTAGATTTCTGTTGATCTTCTTCCAAAACAGTGGACTAAAATATTAATATAGATGAATGAAATTATACAAACAAAAATTCTTGTGGATCAAATCCCTGCTTGAAAATATAATATAATGTATATTCAGCATATTGTTAAACTAAAGGAAGTAAAACATTTTTTTTTATCTGACAACATCCAGTCTGCAGCTGTAACACTGTTTTAGATCTAATTAGTAAACTGAATTAGTCAGAATTTAACACAAACCTCTATACTAACCTTGATGGGCCCATTGTCTTTGATTGGTATGGGAGACAGGGAAATGCCCCACACTTTTTCTCCATATTTTAACAATTCTGTGAAAGGAACAGATACTCATTGTTTTTAACAGGCTTACAAATCCAATACCAATGATTTTTTTAAAAATTCTCGGAAAAATTTCTGTAAATAATATACAATTATACTCACTGTAAAACACAACCTCATTGGCCAAAAAGAACCAGTTAACTAGCATAAAACAAATTCCTCTTGTTGGCAAGACAACCAAACTTAACAAGAATACACATATCTCCACATGGAATCTATAAAATATAATGAAAATTAGCAACCACATTAGAGACAGAATTTCAAAAAAAGATGTTGCAATATACTTGCATTATCAATCTCATTATTAATATTAAACCCTACAATGTTAAATCTAGAAAATTTGGCTAGCAAGTTTCCATGAATTTGCATTCTACATTGATACATATCTTTTTTATTTTCTTTATCTTGATCAAAATATTTTTCATTTTATTTACCTGAGAGAGGCAAGAGTGTTGTCCCATTTGAGAATTCTGTAAAACTGTGTTAGTCCTTCATTGCAAAGTACAATAAAATCATACATTTGTAGGAGGCTACAAAAAAAAAAAAACTTTTTCAAGTGCCAATGGTCATAAAATCTCTCATACATAAAGATAGATTTATGTCATTTCAATGCTTTTTTTTTAAATAAAGAAAAATTTTGATATAATTTGGTTAGTTGTCTCCGTATATTTTATGCAGTTCTTCACAATTAATCAAAATTGTCTTTCCAACATAACTGAGAATGTAAGTATCTAACCTATAGCGGAACTGTTTGACAGTCTTCATTGCTTCTTCATCTTCTATGTCTTCATCCTCTTCCTCTTTTTGAGATGAGGTAGAGGGAAGACATTTATCCAGGATTCTGGTATGTAGTTGTACCAAGGACGTAGTAGCAATGCATATTACCAGCAAAGAAATCAGAGTAAACACAGCACCTGCAAATACCAGAATACACACAGTACATTTGTGATTCTCTTTCCACGTATCAGAACATTTTTATACACTGTAATAGGATATTTCAACTGAATTATTAGTGGAAATGAAATTTTTGTAAATACTTTATCTCAGTCACATGGATACAGTTACGATTATAATTATCTATTTATTAGCTGAATATTCATATTCATTCCCAACAAAAGAATGCCTATATTTTTACCTTTAGTTAAAACAAGACAACCAATATTGCACAGAATCCACACAACCAAAGTCCCAATTGTATATTTCCATCTGTTAAAAGAAATTATGGTTTGAAATTAATTTTAGTTATTATGATATAATGATAACTATTAATGATAATAATAAATTATAATGATATAATGATAAATTTCAAAAGTATACACCAGCTGGTATAAAAAAAAAAGATGATGTTCAAGTTCTGTGCCATAATAAATAATCAACTTCTTAAAACTTAGCTGAAAAATCTTAATACAAAGAAGGCTTTAATTACTATTTCCTTCAAATTTTCTAAGCACATAGAAAGGGGTTGCATGCTGTGACAAGAATTCTTTGTTCATCGAATATAAGAATATGAGGAGTAGAAACCTACTTTCGTATATCTTCAATGCAGTACACAACAAATGCAATCGGTTCTACTAGACGAGAAAATGTTTCAACTTCTGTAACAAAGTCGGCTAGATCCATTCTTCCATACTTTGAACCATTTTCAGTAGATTTTCGTTTTCCATTTGGAACCTGAGGGTCGTTACTCATTTCCTTAAAAATAACAGTAGATATATGAATAATTAAGTTGCTTCATCTATTTGTATATGTACATCTGCAAGTTTCATATCATATTACATTAGGGTACAATCTTGACTTGAATGCCCTGATACACATACTGAACCGTAGGTTTACGGATGATAATAGATCTGATTTGAGGAAGTGGAAATCCAATTTTTAACATTAACAAGTTTAAGGTGATTTATACATCCCTCAGGCTATACGATTGAGTGTTCCGACACGGGTAGATTTCCCAGTCACAGACATAGCCGTCGTGCTCAATATTTATCAATTTTTTAAACAAACCCATATACAGTTGCAATAAAATGAGCAATTCATCTTGAAGTTTCAACAAAAAATAAGATATTTTTAGTGTAAAGTACCAAAAATTCCTGGAATGTTCTTACCATTTCGTTCTTGATATTTCTGTTTTCATTTCGCATTCTGTTACTTCCGGTTCAAATTGTAAACAGAAAAACCTATTTTCCTCAAAAATTAATTTCCCGGATTTATTTACTTTAGGTTGTATGAACAGATGAACAACGAACTTGATAATATTTGTTTGCAAACGTTTTAGTATTTTATAATATTTTTTCAAAACTCAGAAAAAAAACCTGTCATATTTTTGAAATATATATAATATTATTTAAAAAAGAAAGAAAGAAAATTTAGTAATAATAATTTTTAAAAATGGAAATGAATTAAAAAAGGAAGAAAAATGTAATAAAAGATTTTTTGTATAAAGTTAGGAAATTAATTTATTTTTCCTTGAGATATGTTTATTACTATTTTATGATCATTTCTTACTTCGTATTCAGGGAAAAAAAAACACACCCGTGAAATTATTCCACTTCGAAGTGCAAATTCTGAATATTCATATATTTTTATCAATCGTTTGCGACCCCTTTTAATTTTTTTTTCTAATATCATATAATTAAGCAATTACAAGGGCTTGTACTTTAAAGACATTCGAATAGATTGTATTTGACACGTGATAATTTCTCGAGAGTTGCACCACCATTTATAATTACCAGCGATTAAAAAATTACCGTTACACACAATTTCGACAATTTTTTTGAGTTTTCATAGCTGTCACTTCAAGGAAAAATAAGTAACACTCGGCCCTATGATCTATATAGCTAGATGTTTCATCGTGTTTTGTATGTCAACCTGCTCTTGGCGGTTCTTTTATTTTGAATTTATTGGAATTTTCATTCTGTGATATAACTATTACACATATTTTGATTCTTTTAAAATAAGGTAATCAAATTATCGGCTTTCGGTTTATCTGAACAAAAAAAAAATTACAAACCTCGGTTTTCATTAATTAATTTGAGATTCAAATATGGCGAAAATAAATGAATTGCGAGATCGCCTGAGAGAGCAGGAGACATATTACGGCATGGCTTGTCTGCAACTGACGGTACTAAACCAGCGGTTTGAGCAACTGGCCAAGCGGTACGACTGCGCAGACAAACTAGGTCAGAAGTCCTTCCGATATTCTCTAAGAATGAAAATGGCAATCTTAGAGGGTGTTCGAAACATGTTCTATGAATTTGCTACATACAAAGCCTGTAGTGTCAACAAGCTCCGTCAAGAAATCTTAATCGAACACGCCTTCTTGGAAAATAATGGCCAGTACAGCGATTCGGGTTCACTTTACGGTCGCTATGGTAACCCAGTTTTCCTCCTAGAGGATGCTGATGGTGATGAAGCAGACGATGAGATTGACGATGAGGATATTTACGGTACTGATACAGAGAGTGACGAGGACTTGTGACGTAATCAAGGGGGTAAGTCTCGACAACCTGTTTACAACATCAGTCCTGTATAAGCCAAGTATTTTGTTTTTGATTTTTTTCAAATATAAATTTGATTTGAAATTGCCAAAACAAAGAACACAAAGAAGTACTTTAAATGTAATGTATTGATTGGTAACTTTTATGACCTGTTTCAGATTCAGTACTCACCTCGTCTTTTTCCCAGAAGACACACCAACACGTTCTCAGGGAAGTATATTTATATGATTATCTTTTCCGCTCTACAACGTCAACATTGTTTTTTTTTAATTCCTCGTTAAGCTATATCTTCTCATTTACTGATTTCCTAACTTTGGACATGTATAAAGCACATTTTTTAGATAGTTTACATTATACTAACCCTTGAAATGACATTATTTGATGGCTATTGTAGCATCAAAGTGAGCTGTATGAAGCACTCCAATGTGTATGCTGGAGAAGTAGACAGAAGCACTGGAAGCACATACAAGGAAGTGTTGGAAAAGGCGAATGTGAATTCGAGGAGAGAGAATGGAAGAGACGGAAGAGAGAGAGAAAGGAAGAGATAAAGAAAGAGACAGAGCGAACTGTGTAATGTTTTAGCCATATGAAAATGATTTTCTAATTTCTCAGAACTAAACAAGAGATAACAACGTTTAAAGTACGGCGTGAAGATTCATTTCAAGTAGTTGATCGATGAATAGAATTACAGTGAACATATACTGAAGACAGAGCAAAAAGAATAAGAAGTGTTTGGACTAATTATAAAGAAACAAGGAAGAAGAAACAACAAGCGATTAATGAAGCAATCAAAACTAATGTTATAGTCTTTGTTTTGCCTTCTTTGTTAAATTTCAATTTTAAAGGAAATAAAATTTGATGCATGCACTGCACCCTAACACTACAACTTTTTTTGTTTTTTGTCTTGCTATATCAAAATTCACGTATCTAAAAACTTGAAATAAAAGAGACTATAAATCTTACATATTAATTTGTTTCATATTTGGATATTTTACTATAGAAATATAAATAAAGGACAAACTAAGAACTATACTTTATGATAAACACGATGACTTCGACTTTTTTATCGTCAGCTTCCCTTATTTATACAGCAATGTCCTATTATCTCTATTTTTCTCAGTTGATTTGATAATCATACGCAAGAGTATGTTCTAAAACAGAACAATTTTTAAATCAAGGAAAGCTACTGACAAGTTAGTTGATGATCCAAGGATACTCAATGATGACAGCACACAGTGGCCGATCAACAGGGGAAGCTTACTCCTCCATGGCACCTGATCCCACCCGTTTTAGAGGCTCGTGTTTGTGTTCCTTTTGTGGACGTTTGAGCTGAATGTCGTTTATTAAACGTTTGTAAAATCTGTATAGGGATGGAGGGAGAGGGGTTAGTCAGATTTTTAAAAGATAGGTAGAAACAGGGATCATGGTGTATTGCTTTTGTCTCCATCAACTGTTTGCATTTCAAGGAATTATTTTTTAACATTGCTATAACTGTAGTTTTAGAAAGACCCAAGTCGGGGGCAAGGAAGACCAATAATATGAACAATGCAGACATAGATTCCACAAAAATTTGCTTAAATCTAATTCATCTTCCAACATTGCTTTTGCAGATTCAACATTGACAACTGCTCTATAGTCTGGCAAGTAACATTTTAGCATTTTGTTGCGGTGTAGGGAAGTAACAGAAAAGTAGTTGAAAAAAAGTAGTTTTGAAAGAAGTCCCCCCCCCCCTTACGAAATAGGATTGTTGAGTTTAGACAAATATCCTTTTTACCCAAGTAATGGAAGATCCAGGGGTACATGTTTATAGTTTTTGTTCTGTACCCCCTCTGTCTGTTTGTCCACAAAAAGTTAAACCTTGCCTGTAACTTTTGACTGGGTGGAGCTATGGCATTCCTATTTCACAGGTGTATTCCTTATGACAAGACCTCTTTTTGGGTACCACCAAATTTGACCTTGGAGTTTGACCCACTTTTACAGAAAAATACATAACCTTGGCCATAACTTAAGAACAGTTTGTGCTAGGGCTTCATACTACACATGTGCATTCATTGTGACAGGACCTTTCAATTGGTTTAAACAATTTTTGGCCCTTTGACCTTGACCTTAAAGTTAGAGTTGTAATTAATAAATTTTAGGCGCAAAATACAAATTTGAAAACTTATAGACATATATACGGTAGATCAAAGTTCTAATAAACATTAATTTTCAAATGTCACTTTTTCCTGGAAATTGTTCTCTCCTTTGAAATTGTGATTACATCCTTTATTCTTATGTTACAAAAGCAGGTCCATATTGATTAAATTCCTACATGTTTGCCTCAATGGTGAAAACACATATTTTAAATTCAGAACAAAAGCTCATAGGAATGACACTGAATTTATTTGACCTGATATGTTTCACACACATACTGTTTCTCCAACATTGACTTGTGTCTTATTTTTTTTGTACAAAACTATACAAACACAAAAAATAGCATCGTCTTGTTATGACAAGATGAAAGACAATATCCACAAACAGTTTATATATCTGCCACTCAGACATCAAAATGACCCTGTCATTAATTCAATGATGACTTTAGCGAAATGATAAAAATAATGACATGCACAATTTAAGGCAACTGGAAAAACTCCTTGTTCGAACAAATATTTTCTATATTGCTTCAAAAACAAATGGACACTAAATGGAAAATTTTGTGCATATTTCATATGCCATTAACTTGACAATTGAAAAAGTCATGATCGTTAATTTTCAATGACCATACGGTAAAAAACATACAAATGAAAATCATGAATTTGAAAAAATGTGATATTTGGTCACTATATGTTGGTATTTCTGGTACCTCTTTCAATCTTATACATTTCTGTGTACCATTCAAATTGCTGGTTGTAAAAACTTGATAAGTTAATAAACAATTATTTAAGCTTGGTCAATATGAAAGTAAATTTGTGACTTTGTGGCACAAGCCAGATATATTATGTCATAAATAACAAATTTGTATACATGTATAAATATATTTATATTCAACAAGGGAAACAAAAACTGCAATGGCCACAACAAATATAAATAAGAGGAAATGCTAACATTGCAACAAATGTATTTGAGAATACACAAAAAAGAAAATATTTTTAACAATGGTATTTATCAACAACCTTTGTTTGGGACAATTCAAAAACTTAATACAGAGGATAAAAAGTATTAATTGATCAAATGTAAATAGAAATTTGCTTGTACATCCACAACTTTTTGCTAATAGAATGCTACAGCAATGAAACTCTCCCTCTCTCATAAAATAAAATAAAATGCACCTCTACATCTCCTGCCAATATCCTAGATACCAGGCATTCAACCAAACAACAAATCACATAGAAAAGTTGGGATTGTAGTGCAAAAAAAATTTAAGGGTTGTAAACTCTAAGATTTTGCAGGAATTAACAAGTGAAGATGTTCACACCTCCCTCCATACCTCAAACATCAACAAACACATAGCAATAGTAATGTCCAATATATTATCAACGAAATGTACATTTTAGTGAAAAATGACCAAAATGCACCACAAACAAAGTCTGGTTGTTTATAATAGGCTGCCAAAAGGGCTTTAATCTAGCTGAATTCTAGAATGTAAAAATGACCATTCTCATATACACCTTAAATAGTCAGCTCAAACATAACATCCATTTTAAAAAGTTGTATCCTTTCATGCACCTCAAGAGAACACCTGGGTTTCTGCATCAGAAACCAAAACAACTCATCAAAATTGATTCAGTAAGTAAACAGATCCCTTCCTGGTAAAGAAATATGCTCCAAGCTGACCCTTTGTTTTATCTTGATTAAAAAAAGAAAGAAGGGAAATTGTTATAAAAAAATCCTTAAATACCAATCCTTATTAAGAAAGAAAAAAAAATACAAAACCGTAATTAATTAAACATTTCTTTGCACTGTGGCATATTAAAAGTGGATGTAACTGTAATACATTAGCAATTAAATTTCATTGTATTCATAAATGTTACATGTATCTTCTCAAGTGACCAAATTAAATTCACTAGAATAAGTGTTCTCGTCTGCATACATTATGAAATAATACTGGCAAGTAAAACCAATTGGTGCAATGACTGCCTCTGTGAACAGAACATTGCTAGTTTCAGTAGCTCAAAAGCACAGCTCTTTTCAAGTGTTCAAAACTAGTACATGTGTACCATTAATATAACATACCACTACAAAGATTGTACAGCTGCATTTTAATCAGTTTTTAATTTGTGAAAACTTAATTTTCGCAAAACTATGCAAGACAATCTGCTCAAAATTTTTTGTCTTGTGTATACATGTATTTTTATACTTGATTGAATACAATAACCAAAATTTGCAAAAATGTTGTTTCAATTATAAATTGATATCAAATAACTTTCTTGTGAGAATAAAGTGACATGAAAATTTGATGATCTACAGATATTCTTTTATAGAATGTGTCTCTAATTGCTCATTCATAAAAATACACTGAAAAATAGTTATTACCATATCTTCATGATATCTTTATATTAAATTTACCCCTGAGTTAGTAAGATCTGAATTTGATGCAATCAAATGACACTGATTTTTTTCCCCTAGATAAAGATAATTTGTTCCTTGTAGCAAGAGTATTAAACAGAAGGATGTCATCTGATCAAAATAAAAGACAGGGTCCATATAGAAAACAAGACTCCTATAGGGGAATAAATGGATTCATAGTATTCATGTACATTAATTTTCCAGCCATTTCTACAAAAGTAACATTCCATGCCATACATGTTCTATTAAACATCAAGAATGTCTTTAGAATTGATACACAAACAGGGAAATTTAAGTTCGGTGACCTCAGAAAGCTCAATGGCATTTTTCTTTGAGAGTACTTATATGGACAACAACTGGAAAATTATATTTCAGGAATGTTCAAGTCTGGGTTAACACCACTTCCCTGTTTGTGGCATGGTTTATAAAAACCTTCTACAGAAACCTTTGTTCTGCTTCTGTTTATCTCTAACAGGTCCAATTTCTATTTTGTTCTAGTTGCAGAAAGTTTGGTGCTGAATGGGTTTCATTTCCTTCCAACATCAGTACAAAATTTCTCAACTCTCAAACCACTTGACTGGTTCTCCTCGACTAGTTGTCAACCGTTAGGATGATTGACACTTCTGTCCACCATTGCAGACCTCCACCACTCTGAGAGTCTACCTCCTGACATGAGGACCCCTCCACTGTGAGGTGGTTCTGTCACTTGCTGAGCTTGTTGGTGATCTTGGAGGAGATCTTCTTCAGTCTGGAGGAGGACAGGCTGGGACTAGAGGGCTCACTGGGACTCCGATTACTCTCCTGCCAGGACAACGCCCGGGTGTGGGTCCGAGGGTGCTCTGTGTAGAAGGGTAGAGGTTAAAGGTCAAACACAGCATTAGAACTTTAACCCATTTAGGGAAAAGGCATAAATGATCATTCTTGAAAATTGTTGAAGCCTTGACATAACAACACTAAGAGGGTAAAAAAATAATGTTTTAATTGTTACAGGATATAAACATTTCTTAAATTTACCTGAAGTTAGAGATCTGGACTTTGGCCCCTTATTTATAAATCCCTTTCTTTTCTTCTCACACTGAAGTAAAACAAGAAAATTATGATACACTCACAGAATAAACTCATGTTCTGCTTAGCACTTCTTAATGTTTTATAAACTGTGCACAATTCTGTTTCTTACTGGATTTTCCTCCATCTCTGCTTGATGTCTATCCATGATGACAAACTTTCCGTTGGTCTTCCATTCACTCTGTGCCAGATACACATTCTCGTCATCCATCAGTATCCGCCTCTCAACGCTCTCGGAGCTGTGGCGCCGCCCTAACTGGGAGTCCGCACCCGATACTTCCAGCTCCTCCACCAACACAAAATTCCTCAGGTCCTCTAAATCTGAGCGGTGAGCCTTCATCATAGCCTATAATGTATTTTAATTTCATTAAAGCTAAATTAACTCTAATATTGGGTAAGATAAAATTTCTAGATGAGTAAATCACATGCAATGCTTTCCTTGATGGGACTTTTAAGATGCCGTGTCAACAATTGTAAGTTCTTGGAGAGATGCAGTAATAATATATCCAGTGCTGAAATCTGTTCATCCTATTTCTGATTGTCCGTTACCGAGATACACATATACCACAAAATTCTTGTTCATCTAACAAGCTGTGGCACATGAAAACATTTCAGTTAATGTCCAGATTTTTACCTGTGTGATAATGTCCTGTGCGTTGCTGGATGTGGGGGCCTTAAATATGGTGTAGGGCTGGTCAGGTGCTACATTATACACACACACCAGGAACACCTGCTCCACACTCTCCCAGTCTCCTGTGTTGTTCTCAGATTCCTGCTTCCTCTGGAAAGAAAATGGTCATTAGGATGTCAATATGCTTGTTGAGAAAGTTATATGGTACTGATAATGAAACAATGAACAAATATCATAAATTTTAATGTAGAGAGGCACTAACCTGCTGTTCCCTTGATAACATTGTGGTCATCCAAGCTCTGCTGCTGGGATCCTAAATTGATCAAAAATAAAATTTTATCTTCCTATACAAAATTGTAATGAATATTTGCTAAAATCACAATTCTGATGAGGATATATATACACATCTGTCAAAAAGAAGGGGGATGACCAAACCAGCAATAAGTTTTCAATGATAGAAGTATTTCCCTTACATTGCTTAGTTTCCTGAGGAGGAACTTGCCGGCCCCTCTCCACTTGTTCTGGGCCTGGAGAACTTTCTCTGACATGTCCAGTATCCTCTGGACACTCTGCCTGTCCTGGTCTTTCTTCTCCCACCCCACCTGGACATCCTCTACCAACACATGATCAGACACCTTGTCCTCAGCCCGACCCGCCTTGGCTAGAGCCTGGGGTTCAAAAATTAAATTAGAAATGTAGTCTTTTTTTTTCTTTGAATTGTGAACTTCAAAATACTGGAAGATATCCAGTGCATGACAAAATTCATTATCACTGACAATAAACTTTAATGCACAAAGAACTGATCCTCTAACAGTCTTGTAGCACCCTCTCACCTGACTGATGGCCTCATAAACAGATGTATCCTGGGTAACCTTCAGAATGATGTACTCATCAGGGGAGTTAACTCCAAACACGCTCACAAAGAACATTCTCCGCTTCACTTTTGTTCCAAGTGGTGTCACTCCTGGCTATAAATTATCATAAAAATATCACATATTAACTTCATCCACTGCAGATATGACAAGAAAGAAATCATGTCAGAGGATTTTCCATCACAGAATAATCCTACCTCTTTTGAAGCATCGGAAGCCTCCTTGACTTTAGATTTCATGCTCTTGGAAGAAGCTGAGGTATGGAAGCCATTGACTTCAGGCATATCACAGGAAACAAGCAGCTCCTCCTCATGTTTGGAGTAGATGAACAGGGTAGACAACTCAAGAGGCTGGTTATTGGGACTGCGTAAACGGACATGGCGATATCCTAAGTCAAAACAAAAAATAACCAATGAGCAATTATTGTTCTCAACCTTAGCATGCCAGTATTCAAGAATCCATAAATTAACCTATTTGTCATTGAGGCTCTTAAGGGGATAATGTTCTACATACCTGCTCTGAGGCACTTAAGGGGGATTATTCTCTGAGATATAACATGACTAGTGTTGGCGTCCACCACAACAAAACGGATGAAGGCTAGATCAAGAAACATTACCTGTAAAGTAGAAGAAAATGATTATAAAATCTTAATGTTCAAATATACGTGTATAATGTATGGTGGTATTCTAATGAATATATTATTTTCATAGAATAGGGGGATTCATTTACCTGAAAAGAAAAGAGATCATTCCATATAGGATTGAGAGCGTTTCTGGAGACGACTTTAGTTTTGTGTTTGACACAGTCCACGGGGATCCCGATGACCTCTACCTCTATATAAGTACTGGCGGTGTGGTTAGTGCTGACGTACTGACCAGATATTATCTGGTAAAAAAGATTCCATTCATAGTGATTTCAAACAGACATAAAACAAAATAGAAAATACTGAACTTTTAAATTAAGTTATGCCGATGTTTCAGAGTAAAATATAGTAAAACTTCATTATCTTGATGCAAAACTTCCAGATTTCTAAGGAATCAAGATAATATGGTAGAATGTTTTAACAATAAGTGGTTTGGTCTTCAAAATGTTTTAGACATAGAAATGGAATTCAAGATACTGGTGTTCAAGATACAGAAGTTCATCAGTATAAAAGAGAGTCTACCTGTAGAGTAAGAACAGTGGCATGAAGTCCATCAAACTCCTTGTCCATGGGGTTAAAATGGTTATACATCATGTGACTTTTATCCCACATGACAGCCGGCTTTAGGACATAGCCACTCTGACCATTCTGTTCAAACATGGATGTGTTCAAGGCCATAGCTGTGTCTGTAATAAATAGAGATACTGTTACATAAAATTATTATCTAGATATCTTAAGAGTTTACAGGCCTGATATATTTTTTGATCACTGACCTTCAGTTTGGTAATTGAGGGCCACCATTTGAAGTCCGAAGGCCCAGAAGATGACAGGGTTAAAGTTGGAGGAGTCGATCCTCATTCCTGAGGGGTAGGTCCTCATAATCTGCTTCTCTGTATGAGTGACACAGTTAAGGAGGCAAAGGCATTCATACTAAATGTTACTGAGGGAAAGGATTACTGCTAGTAACCCTACAGGGCAACTAGAAAAAAGTCATACTTTAGAAGAGCTTAAATGAAAACCCTACTATCTTGATAAAGATTTTTTTTAATTAAAAATTGCCATGGATTTGCTGAATGTAGTTAGTTTAAGTTGTACCACATGGGAAAAGAAATAAATCTACAGCAACAAAATAATATTTTTTTCTGTTAGTAAAATTTTCAATCCAGTCTTGAATGCATGTTATTTGTACAGTAATAAAGGATATTTGATGACGCCTATCGGGTTGCGGCGACACAGTTGTTTGGCTTTACTCTCGTTGAGTGAGGACACTAGGTAACACACAGGGGTACTGTCTGGTCGTCTCTGTCTCATAATCCCTGTAGGAATACTCAACTCTCCCTTGTCTGAAAGAATGAAGAGGGACTTATTGTCATAAGTTTATTAACCAGATATATGCTTTTTACTTCTTAAAATGCACTAAAATACCGCATTTTAAATTCATGGTGCATCTTTACAATGCACTTTTGACCCTACCGAACAGTAGAGTAAAACACTGTTATAGCAAAGTCACTGGGACCTATCAAATTACTTCGCTATATCCGTAATTCGTTATATCAGTATAAGGAATTCTTTACATGTATTTGACTGGGGATCCAAAATAACTTCGCTATATCCGTGTGTGTACTAAACAACTTTTACTGTATTTTGCAGATGGAGATCAACTTTGATTTACCAACCTTAATTTACGGGTATAGAAAAATGTTTGACTCACTGACCTATTTAGGGGTGGAGGCAAACTTTTGACCTATTGACCTGTATTTAGAGGAGACAAACTGACCTGTATTTAGGGGAGGAGACAAACTTTTGACCTACTGACCTGTATTTAGGGGAGGTGTTCCAGGGTTGTTGCCAAGGAGAGCTCTTCTGGCACCACTTTTCTTCTTCACTGAAGTATTAGGACTGACATTCAGACCTGAACAAAGTCACAGACTGATTTATCAAGGTCAAAAATCTACACTTCCTAACTTGGAGGTTACTTATTTTGATATTAAAATCTGAGTATTTATTTAAATTGATTTTTTTTAACTGAATTTAATAAATGTTTAAAATTTCTTAATCAAGATCAGTTAAATATTTGTTTCTGACCTCTGAACTTGACAGCTTGTAGGTACACCACAAGGTCAGACAATTCCTTAGCAATCTGACTGGTCTTCTTCTGATGCTTGTTGTTCCTTGGCTGCTTCTCTGGGGGTTGAAGGTCAAGGTCAAACTGCCAGTCAAAGTCTGGATGACTTTTTGGTCTACATTTCTCCCCACTAAAGGAACCACTAGAAGACCTAGATAGATTAGTGTTTTGTTCTGTAATATTTTTACTATAGACACATAAGTAATTGGGTTTGAAGCATTTTACTTTAAGGAAGGATTCTTCTCATATTTCTTGTATTTAAAAATCAATGAAATTTTCACAAAATCAAGAAGACAATATCAGTAAGTGATAGTATCAGTGAAATTAAATTTGACCGTTTTATATGAGAGGCAAGGTCAGGTCAAGGTCATTATCTTTTTCCTTGACATTTAGAATAAAAAATACTGTTGCAAATCATGTTATGCCTACTTCTATTTCAAAAGTTTAAAGATTGTTTTTTTGCATAAAAAGATATTACTATATCGGGTCTTTAGAATGATATTACCAAATTTTCATAAATAATTTAACTAAACTGGATATTGGCTAATCCAAATTTTCTCTGTTTTTCTTAATTTTTTAGGATATATTAGTTATTTTCATATGCTTCCTATATTTAACTTTTTCTTATTTTCACATATAATAAAGTAGTCTTATGAATCTAAAAAATGATACAAAAACAAAAAGTTTTGATCGTTACTAAGAGAGAAAAAATACTTTTTATGGATTTTTGGCTCAAATCTGCACTTTGATGCGAAGCATTTAAAAGCTAACATAGTTCTGGTTTGTTTGAAAAATCATATTTATGCGATATATTTTGAAAGTTGATCCCCTTATTATTAATTTAACTTACATTTGAAAATTTCTCAAAGTCTTCGATTGTGTAAAAATTATAACTAAACTCATTGTTCTATTATAATTTTGAGAGGCAGAAAAGCAGATATTTTCATACGCCACCATTCCGCCAAAAATATAGTCCCTGCTAGTTTTCAAATGCAGTTTACTACCATTTCTATTTTAAGTTGTACAATTGTGATGAGGAAAGAAAAATATGGTCTTTTAAATCCCTTACATCTAAATATATAAGAAATATAAGCAAATATACTTTGAATGTTTCATCTAGTCAGAAACCATAGAAGAATCCTACCTTAAGCATGTTTCTGAGCTTTAAATAAAACTATAGGTAAATAATTTTGGTCTTAATGAGTTTCTGTTAAGGAATCTGTATGAGGACTATATTTTACCTTTGTTGGTCGACAAAAGAGTCTGCCCTGGGTCTTACTGAGGGAGTGGAACTCCTCCCTCGGTCATCTTGTTCCCCCACCTGGCTGTCCTGACTGTCCACAGACTGACGCATTTCAGGGTCCTTCACTGAAAGTAAAGAAAAAAATCAACGTATATTCTGTCATTATTACTACGAACACTAAACCTTTATGTCGCAGATGCTTCAAAAAATGAAAAATTTTGTTTAAAGGATGCGATTCTATCAAAGAATTAAATCTTCACAGCTATAGATGCAATATATTTCTTTTTTTGGGGGGGTGTCAAATTTTGAATTGCTACCATCTGTTATATCATCGTCATCATCATCTTCATCATCATCGTCATCAAAATCGTTGATTGACATTGAGGTATCTGTAGAGGCCATACTGTTGGTTCTCGGACAGGAGGGCACCTGTTGAAAAAAGATTTACAAAAAAAATAAAATAATTAACAAAAGGCAACAACTGGTCTAAGTCAAATAAATATTTTACTTGAGAAATCAATTTCATTTAAGGAATAAACAGATTCTTAAAGTGTAATCACTAGAAAATTGATTTCAGTTCCTTATAATAACTCTGTCATAGTCATTTTTTTTTTGCAACAATTTTGATTTTTTTAAAAATCAAATATATCAAATCTTATGTCCAAAAATTTATGAGAGCTATGCTCTTCAACAGTTTGTTGTACTTCAATATCATTAAATTCTTGCAATCAATGAAAAGAGGAAACTGGATATAACATGAATTGGAATCCTTTTTGCACAGCTGTCTCATAATTCCAACAAAATTGAATATGCTGAACAAGAAATCAATGTTAATTTTATTTGAAATGAGGAAGAGAAGAAAATAGATTAGTAAAGATAAGGAAGCTCATCTATAACAATGTTAAACATAATCTAGGCGGTCGATCTCCTTATCAGATGAATATTTATTACAGTACATTAGTACTGGGTCACTTCATCGATAGAGAGCTTCCATTTAACAAGAGATGTTGCTTGCAGCATCTTTAGCAAGGCTGCTACTAAGCCTTACTACTAAATCACTATCATAAGTAAGTGCAATGGATGGATGATTTCACTTTATCACTTTGTTATATTCATTAAGTATTATTCTCTCATCTTGCAAAATATAGGTCAGATGCAGCATCTGAAGCAAATCTATTGATGTGTATCGATCTTTAAATGCATCATCCATGAAAGTTAGGTTCAGAAAAGGTAATTTACTATTTAATTGGAAATGGGCCTTCTTCAAAAACTAACCTTAGACACTGATAGCTCACACTGACTTTGGTGAGGTGTGTAAATATGCTTGGGAGAAGTTTTCTTACCTTTTTCAGAGGATACGTATCGAAGTCTCTAATCTTCTTATTCTTGACCAGAATTTTGTGTTTGAGTTGGCAGGGTGATGGAAGCTGGGGGTCCTCACAAAAATCACTCTCAAACAGAAGTGATGTTACCAACTTATCCCCAAATACTGACTGCAAAGCAATAAGTAATGTCACTAACTTATCCCCAAATACTGACTGCAAAGCAATAAGTAATGTCACTAACTTATCCCAAAACACTGACTGCAAAGCAAAAAGTACTAGAAAACTGACCAGTCAGCAAGGGCCCCGCCATGAGGTAGAATTATAAAGGTGCAGCTTATGGAATGATTAAAAATATATGACGAATAAGAAACAGCAACTGTATTCTTAAAATTTCAAGATAATTCCTGAATATCCAAAAACCTGTAAATAATATCCTTGTATTTATTTTACATAAGGCAGTAAATAACAACTCAAATACTGAATGTATATCTAAACAATAATGAAGCTTGTGTTATATAAAATGCCAGCCTTCAATGAATGCAAATACATATCATGAAGGCTTGCAGACCTTAACTTCAAAACAAACAGCAGTTGCAGACAAAGGTTTTCATTAATCTTAAAGTGACAGATAAAAGATGAGCCTTCTAAAATTTCTGCAGCAGACTAGATATTTAATCCCTAGGGATTAATTGTACTTCTCTCTCATCATTTTCTTCTTAATTTAGAATAAGAACTTTTTCAGTAATGATAAAATGAGTTTTTTATCCTACTGCCTTAAAAATTAATAATATTCTTGAATTTTCATGAAGAAAAAAAAAAAATTATAAATAAAAATAAATAAATAAATAAAAATAAAAAATATATCTTCTTTAATCTATTTCTTGTTTTTAGAATTCAATGAAATCAGAACTCATTGTGTAGGGTATTTCAACAAAAACAAGCAAATTCAAAGAATTGTGGTCCCCCGCTTTCGGTGTCTTTGTTGGTGAGATGTTATTTTTTATGACATATTGTGTCTAATATGAACATCATATGTCATTTCATAGAAATTATCATTGAAGTTGATTTTTTTGAAGGATGAAAACACTTATCCTGACCGTTAAAAAGTTATGGCCAAAGTTAACGTTTTTTAAAAGTAGGTCAACTCCAAGGTCAAGATCAAAGGGTCAAAGTTGTTGATGAAAGGATTTCTCACAAGGATTACATATGTGAAGTATGAAAGCCCTAGCCCTTACTGTTCAAAAGTTGTGGTCAAGGTTAAAGTTTTTAAATAAGTACGTAAATCTTTAAGGTCAAGGTCAAAAGGTCAAAATTGTTGATATCCAATGAAAGGACTTGCCACAAAGAATACATATGTGAAATATAAAAGTCCTAGTATCTACCGTTCAAAAGTTGTGACCAAAGTTAAAGTTTTTTTTAAAAGTAGTTAAAACTCCAAGGTCAAAGGGTAAAAGTTGTTGGTATCCAATGAAAGGTCTTCTCAAAAAGATTACATATGTGAAGTACGAAAGCCCTAGCCCTCACCGTTCAAAAGTTATAGTCAAGGTTAAAGTTTTTTTATAAGTATGTAAATCTCCAAGGTCAAGGTCAAAAGGTCGAGGTTGTTGGTATCCAATGAAATGTCTTGCAACAAGGAATAAATATGTGAAATATGAAAGTCCTAGTATCTACTGTTTAAAAGTTGTGACCAAGGTTAAAGTTTTTAAAAAGTAGTCAAAACTCCAAGGTCAAGGTCAAAGGGTATAAGTTCTTGGTATCCAATAAAAGGTCTTCTCATAAGGATTACATATGTGAAGTACGAAAGCCTTAGTCCTCACCGTTCAAATCTTATGGTCAAGGTTAACGTTTTCTCATAAGTACGTAAATCTCCAAGGTCAAGGTCAAAAGGTCAAGGTTGTTGGTATCCAATGAAAGATCTTGCCACAAACAATACATTTGTGAAATATGAAAGTCCTAGTACCTTCCATTCAAAAGTTATGGCCAAAGTAAAAGTTTGAAATTTCTGTGTAAAAGTGGGTCAAACTCCAAGGTCAAGGTTTAAAGGTCAAATTTGGTGGTACCCAAAGAAAGGTCTTGTCACAAGGAATACACGTGTGAAATATGAAAGTCATAGCTCAACTAAATCAAAAGTTATGGGCAAGGTTAAAGTTTTTGTGACGGACAGACTGACAGACGGACAGACTGACGGACAGACGAGTGAGATTTAATGTCCCCTCACTTTCGCGAAAGCGGGGGACAATAAAGTAAAAACATTTATACTTTAATCCACATTTCAGAGCGTTCATAGCATTCCAAATGGACTTAACTTCAAAACAAACTTCATTTGCAGACAGAGGTGGTAATTAATCTCAATGTGACAGATAAAGATAATACTTTGGATTTTCTTCAAGAGGAAAGCTAATCAATCCCAAGGGACTCATTCATTGCAGTATTCAGTTTACAATGGAAACATTTTCAGAAGTTATCTCTCTTTGCCAATTCATTCTTATATAAAGTTAAGGAATCTACCCCACCACCCCAGCTCCAAACCAGAGGACATAGAGAAACAAACTTAGCATCAAAATATGTCTTTTTGCCTACTGAACTACCATACCAAATTTGAACTTAATTGGGCTACCATAAAAAAAGTTATTAGGAAAAAACAGAAAATTTGTGGACGGAAGAATGACAGACGGACAGACAGACGGACAGACAGACAGAAAGAGTGATTACTATAGGGCACCCGCAAATCCTTGCGGGGCCCTAAATATGTCACTAACATATCCCCAAATACTGACTGCAAATCAATGAGTAATACATTACTAAACTTATCCCCAAATACTGACCGCAAAGCAATAAGTTATCATAAAGTTCTTAGTGGTTTACTGTATGCTTTTTTGAAGACTTATCATTAACATTAAAGAGCTTTATTTATTGCTATAATGTTTGACATTTGAATAATTTTAAAATCAAGAAAACCCCCTTTCCCATCCCACTAAAGTACGTAAATTTTGTACTGCCGATTTTAATGTTTCGATCTAGAGTCAACTTACAGTAAAAATCTGAGCCATTTTCTGCTGCTGTAGGATAGAGCAGTGGTTTTCTATGGAGAGTATTACTGGGTAGGGAGACATGACAAAAGCACTCCTGTTGATGGCTTCTACCACAGCCTACAAAAAACATCATAAAGAATACAACTTACTGCAATTCTAATTATAGATAAAAATACTTCAAACAATTTTCTTTTGAATTTGTTTATAGTTCTGCTTCCTGTTGAATTACTGACCTTGAATGAGATTTTGGTGGTGAGAGTGTGTCCATGGTAAATAATGGGCATACCGTCATCTCCATCCCAACAATCCAGCTCCACACAACGACAACCCATCAACAGCACCTATAAATATAGAGCAACCTATCAACAGCACCTATAAAATAAAAATTAATCCATCAAACGAACCTGTTTAAAAAGAAACAACACATCAACAGCAAATATAAAATATATAAATCAACCCATCAACCAAACTTGTGTAATAAATGACTACCCATCAACCAAACCTGTGTGATAACAAGTCAATAAACTCTGTTTTGCCTTGTTCCCTGTCACTTGTCGAGCAGATGCAATGTTGAACAGTTAAAAATTGCATCATATATAATAACTTCAGTTTGCTACATTCTCAGTAAGTAGACCTACCTGACTGTACAGTTCCACTGACGACTCCCCCGTCAACTGATGTCCCGTTAAGTACGTGTTGTGGGAGGAAGCTACATAGTAGTGGGATAGAGGATGATCCATGTCCTAAGGAGAATAACAATTTTACTGTTAGGTGTTGTTATATACAAAAAGGATGAAATTATTAAGTAAATTTCAACAAGGCAGTCATCACTTTGACATCATGTAATTTTCAAAGAGGATTCAGTGTGTGTAATTTTCAAAGATGATGCCATCATCATGTATAATTATGTGATTTTCAAAGAGATAGTACCTGGTCCTAATCATATTAAATTTCAAAGACTAGTTCAGAATTAAATGTTAATCACAATTGGAGTATAGATATTTTCAGTGCAAGTTGATGATTCTATTTTTAAAACATAAGGCAATCATACACCTTTTCAGTTCAAAGAAAAAATGAATATCTTTAGAAAACAGTGCAGACAGTCTGAGACTCCAAGCACCTGCTATATAGAGAATCTCACTACAGGAATATCTTTGTACTTGTGACTAGCCTCACCTCATCATTGTGTTTAGTTTTCTCGTACAAGTACGCATAGTTATCCTTATCCATCAGGAATCGAGCGAACCCCTCAAAGGACAGACAGCAGCTCCTCCTTAGATTAGAATCAGGTTCGTGTCTCTGTAAATCAAATATCCAGAATTAGCCAATCATCAAAGGTGTGTTACTAAATAAGGAAAGAGCTGTAAAGTGCTTCTATCTTAGGCTTCCTTATCTCTTTAGGCCATTAGTTCACAAGATTCAAGAGTACAAAGTTTAAATCAGATGGGCTATTTCAGAAGTTCTATTGGAAACTATTTGCTCTTGTGGAAGGACAAGACGGACCTAGATACAAAAGTTACAGCCATATTTACACACACAGTACCTCTATTCTAACCAGGATCAGCTCTATAATTATTGTCACTGACTTACCTGTATCAGCTCTATAATGTCCTCATCTTCCAGATGCTCCTCCTGATAATCCTCGAGGAATTCCCGGAACTCCCTCAGTCCCAGACACCGGTTCTGGTTTGACTCGACTCCGGCACAGTTAGCCACGATACTGGCTACGGCCAGAGCATCACAGATCTTCCTTCTCTGTTGATTGTCCTTTGTACGGTCATAGGAACTATTTCTGGTTATTATACCTGGAGAAAAAGCCAAGTGTTATTGACTCCACTAATAATAAGTTCAATGTACTTTTTGATCAATCTCTAATGGATACAATTCATTCGAAACTTTTTAGCAAGTTTTCTACTAAATTTAATTCCTTTATCTTAATTCTAAAATCCTTTAAATAACCTTTATTTCAACACAAAAAAAATCAAAAATAAAAATGCTGAAAATAATGACGACTTACATGTATCATTGCTGGGTGGAATGTAACCCTGTGTTCTATTCACTGGAATGTCCTTGTCATTAGGTTTGGGTGTCATGGCAAATTGCTCAAATAAATCCTTTAGGTCCTTCCTACAGCGCAGTCCAAAAGCTTTAAACAAATCTACAAAGTCCAGGAATGTCAGTTGTGTGGAATGTGTGATGGAACTCATTTTGTTATCCCCTGTACCAACGCCAAGTGAAATTCTCCTCCTCTTCATCCTGTAGCGATTGGTAAAACTGAAAGTAGAACTCCGCGGTCGGAATCCCAGGTTGGGACTAAGTTTACCAAGGTTCTGGTTTAAGTTGGGATCACTAGCACTATTAGCTGACCGATTCATTTCGGATTTAGTTTGTCTTAAGGGACTAGGTGAATTCTTTTGGCTCTGTGAAACCTTCTCTTTCTGCTTCTGGGTTGAGTTGGGTACTGATGACCCAGATTTTGGACTCTCCTGCAATGAGGAAATGTTCTTGCTAAAATATAACTCTGTCTTCATTTTGTGTCTAGTTCGTGTGATTGTAGAGTTAGAAATGAATCATTTTATAATCTGTTAGATGCAATATGTTACATTCAGCATAATCTACAATGTTCATCTCTAGGATTTTCATCCCGTCTTCCCGAGTTTTAAATGACACAAGCACACCATTGGACAATAACTCAAGTGAGAGAGAGCAGTAGCAGGACTTTCTTATTTAAAAATTCCCCTCAAATTCATCATATTTAGTAGCCTGCTGCACAATATCCTGTATAATACTGATAATATTGATAAATAATAAACACCATATTTACATTCATATTAGGAGACTGAGGCAATGAAAAAAATCTGATCATTGTTCAATAAAATGTCCACCAAATTTTTGTCTTTTTGAAAAGGATCACGAAAAATTTATATGTATTTATGTGAAATATCTGACCCTTATAAATGTGTAGCTTAATGTCCCAGTACCTCCCTACCCCTTAAAAGTAATGGAGCTGAGGCCCAAAAGGGACTATCAGGCCCATTGGTTTTCAGGAATGGAGAGATACTGGGATATTGACCAATTTAAAACAATTGCTTTAAATGCTTGTTTACAAGTAATGCTTGTCTAGATGTGATGCTGATGTGGTTTGATTAGATTGATTGATTATATGTTGTATTTAAGTTAATGTACCGGTAATATTGGAGAATTTTCCACTGAGACAGAGACAGGACTCCAGACTTGGACCTTTACTCTGCAATCAGGACCATTTAGCCATGGTGCTCATATATTTCAGAGTAGCCGTAATATTCTATTAGAATTATACATTTTCATCAGAACTTGAATTTGCTTAGTATTAGGTCAAGGGGGTCATTGGCTGTGAGAATTACTGAAATTTTTCTGAAGAAGAGGCAAAGCAAAAAAATTATTCTTTTGGATTGTTAAATCTCAAGTATGACTCAATTAGCACAGAAACAATAATTTTATAAGTCACATAAGTGACACACGATTTATTTTTATTAATGCTTAAGTCCTCCGCTAATTTTATGTTTTCTCTGCTTCAAAATGTGCATCATTACTTTGATTATTTTTATAGAATAAATTTTGATAGAGTGCCATGCACATTATGAAAGATTTTTGGTCGATGGCAATTAGGAATGAAAATCTTCCACAACTATATACATACATGGCAAGAGACCAAAGTTATTGCTGAAGATGGAATTGTTGATTTACCATGCTTATCATAAAGTCTGGAACTAGCTTGTGTAATTTTTGCTTAAGCCTTTTTATTAAAGAAACCCTATACAAGTTCAGATACCAACTTTCTCCTGTGAAAAATTGTTTTAAGGTAATATTCTCTTTTATACTAAACACACAATTAAATGAGGGAAGGCTGAACTTTTATGAAACAATATTTAATTCCACAAGTCATCCAACTACCTTGACAAAACACTTTAATCAACAGTCAAATACTGCATTATATGTGACACATTGCATTATCACAAAAAGTTCATTTTAACTCAATTCCGATAAATGGTTGATATTTTTATAAATCAATATTCAATACTTTTTAACTGTCCATGTTTTTTGCATGAATAGTCAATTGCAAAGTTCTATTATAAATTGTAGATTTGAAAATTTCCAAGGGGCAATTAAAGAAGTACTTTAGCTGATAAATATTCATAAATCTGACTGTTGGAAAGGATATACCATAATAAAAGAGTGAAAAAAAATGGAACTATTATCACTGGGACTTATCTGTACTATCCATGCTTAATACGGTAAACATATATACATCAAAATATCTGGAGACAGAATATCTCTTATTTCCAACAAACTGTACTAGTCTAGGTGATTAATTCATAATGGAGAGAAACACAATCTTTGATTATGACCCTTGTATTGGCAAGTAATACATCATTTTGGAGTCCACAGTTTCTGGATGCTTCTATACTTTCCTAATAGCTGTAGAACAGTCTAGAACCTTGCTGATGCTTTCAATGATATACTACTATTGATTGGGGTATAGTCTTAATGATGAATAAATCTTTTATATTCAATACAGTTCCAATTAAGTTAAAAATTCTTTGGGAAGTTGGAGGGTAGCTCAGGATACTTAAAATTCACTTTGTATGATTTTCATATGTACTGTAGATTCTTTATTTTTCAGGAGTACTAAATCATATCACATTAGACACAAAAAGGCTCTGCTGCACCAAACTGCAAGAGCAATACTTTGAGAATGGATGGTTGAACAAAAGAATTAACATGGATTTCAGCGTCATAGATAAAAAATAAAAGTGTATAATTTCATATATTGAAAGCTGTGCTTCTTGTGAAATTACACCATCATTAATTACTTGTGTATATTAAGGTATCTACATACAAGTATTTATGCATGATATTAACTTGCACAGAGTATCTAAGTCTAGATTCTGCATGAACATTGAAAGAAACATCAAATTGCATTCATCCCTACTTATATAATATTCACAGAAATGCAAGAATACTCTTGCTTCCGTAAATGTACCATTAACTGATTTGAACTGCATATAAAATGGCAAAATGATGGCTTGACAGTTCATTACCATACAGTAGGTCAATGGCTGCAGCCAAACAAACTCTCCCACACAATCCTAATTAGAGAAATAAATGCCATTGTGAATTCTGGCAATATAAGGAAAAGTGACAGCCTCAGAATAAGAACAATTGATAATCAGTGGTGACTATACATTAAGATGCTTATTGCTCACACATGAACTCAAAATTATCGGAGAAAATGGAGTTTTAACTCCAAGAAAATGACACTTACTGCTTGTAAACAAAGTCAACATCAAACAAGGACAGTTGCACTGCTTGTCAACAGTCAAGTTCTATCAATGACCATTTCACAATTCTTGTAAACAAAGTCAACATCAACCCAGGACAATTGCACTAATTGTAAACAGTCAACTTCAACCATATACTTGTTAACATTCAGTCAACTAACTTAGTTGCATTCAAGTTCTTTGGATAAAGTCCACATAAACCAAGGATAACTGCACTGCTTGTCAACAGTCAACCTCAATCTAAGACAACTACACTCTTGTCAACAAAATCAACCTCAACCTAAGACAACTGCACTTTTGTCTACAAAATCAACTTCAACCAAAGGCAATTACACTCTTGTCAACAAAATCAACCTTAACCAAAGACAATTGCAGTCTTGTCAACAAAATCAGTCAACTTCAACCTAAGACAACTGCACTTTTGTCAACAAAATCAACTTGAACCAAAGCTATCTGCCACTCTGTTACCCAAGTTAATGTCAGTTTCTAGGCTCTAGATGGACTTTTTAATATTTGGAATCAGTTCTCAAGACAACACTGCATGATTAATGTATTGTAGAGTTTCAGGAAGAGGTCTCATTTGATATGCTTATAGCAAGGCTGTGTAGAAATATTCATTTGCAAATGCCTCAGTATAAAATTCACTACATGTACTACAAGCATAGAACAGGAGTATATTACTAAATAAATTATGAGGATCACTATGAATATTAATTAATCAAATTAGAAAAAATATATATTTTTTTTAAGTTTTAAGGATTTTTTTTATGATGAGATACATTATAGACAACAAATTGATTGTAACAGTTGATATTAGAGAAGACTTTGCACTTCATTGCTCAGTTGTTTACATGAGAGGGACAACAACTTACAGAATAAAACATGTAATTTTTATTTTTTTTAATTATTTTTTTTGTTTTACTAATGAATGTAAGTAAAATGAAAGAGGTTCCCTCTATATAAGCTGTATATTGAATTTATTCACAAAAATTGTACACTGAATTAATGAACTTTTAAGCTGTACATTGAATTTATTAACTTTATAGCTGTACATTGAATTTATAAACTTACCATGGTATTAAACGAGAAAACAGATGAAGAGGCACTACAAATGATTAACTCCAAGACAGCACATTAATACTGATCTCCAACAAATCAAACGCAATTAAATTGCAACATATCCCCTGAAAACTACACCGCCATTGTAGAAGTCCCACTCCTATTGTTTGAACAGGTTGTGGATCATAAGACGCCACTGACAGCACATTCTCATCAGAAATCCATTTGTTCTTCTGAATCAGAGCAAAGTTTTGTCCCAACTTTCTGTCCCTTAATGCTTCATAATACTTGGATAATTAAATTGTCCAAGCCACGGAGGGCAAACAACAGAAATGAATTCAATCCTGACAAATTCCATATTAGCCGCTTCCTGCAGTCTCCCCAAACTTGTCAATATGAATCATTCTTGACCATTGCTGCATGTTTTGTCTGTTTTTGCCAATTTCTTCATTTCCCAATTTGACAAAGTGCCATCGACTTCAAGAAAACCAAACTTTCACATCACTGTTATAAATGATGGTAGTCTTTCTTAACGTTAAAACATTTTAATAAAATTTACACATCTGTTATATAACAATACTCTTCCCTAGCTGTTGCAGAGTTGCTGCATTTTCCTGATCTGAAAACAGGATTTTGTCGAGAGGATTGCAAACAAATTTTTTGGACTCCAAATTGGTGATTATTGGTTTTCAGCTGAGCTTCTTCATCAGCAATAAAACCCCCTTCGCTTCATTAACATATACTTCTAATCTGGCATAAAACATGCTACAATCATGAATATAGTGTTGGACACTCAAGTATTTATGAATGCAGCGAGGATTATAATCAACACTTTTCACAAATGGTCAATAATTGATCTGATACAGCGTATAAACATTTTCCGAGAGCTTTCTTTCTGCAGAACAAAAAGGAGGAAGAGAGAAAGCTTTAATCCTTAGAACTTTGTGTGATGAGAGCTGGGCTATACTGGCTAATGAAGTCAGATCAAAATAGAGGGTGCAAAAGGGTGACAAGTATAATTTACCTGAAAAACCGACTGAGAAAATATACCTCCAACTTGGAGAACCAGAAATCAAAGAATCTCTTCACTTGAATTCAAAACTTTG